CGGCGGAAAATCTCCCCGATCTTCGCGGTGAAGTTTGCGCACAGTTTGGCCGGGCAGTTTGCTCGCGGGGATTTCCTCGCCGGCGGGAAATGTATCGAGCCATCGAGCTGTATTACCGATGCGCGGAAGCGGCACGAAAGCACGCGGAAACCGGACGGATCGTAACGCAACGACACACAGCGATATCGCGACGGCGACCAACTGAGACCGTAATCCGTTTAATTCCCGACCAACGAAATGTCCTTTGTGTTTGATTAACCCGCGCTAATCCGCGCCTGAGCCAATTGTTTTGCTAAATCAATCGCGTATCATGCGCCGCAAGGTCGAGCTTTCCGATCGAGCGGTCGCATTGATCGGCCAAAACGTGGAGCCCCCGAACTCGCGACCTGAGCGCGAATGTTCCTAGCCGCGCCGTTGCATTCCCTGCGCGATGCATCGGAATATCCCGATCGGGCAAAGTAAATCCAATGTCACGCTCCGGATAACCGCGTCGTTATCCTGCGTCGACGTTTCTGTTGACGGACAGATGACTGATTGACGCGTCTCGCAGAGAAGAAAATTAAAAAATTGCAATAATCATAATATCGTTCTTATTCTTTACTCAAGTATCATTATTTTATAAAGAAAGAGAGAGAGAGAGAGAGAAAGTGAGTCCTTTTTAATTATAAATATATGAAAAAAATAAATGTTATATTTTTCGTACTTTTTCTCATATTCTTATGTGATTTCTTATACAAATTCGTGGTCACGGAAATTGATGTCTACTATCCTATAACGTCTGCATTATGTGCAAAAACGTGACGTGATTGTATTTGGAAAATTCAACAGATCGAGAGACCATTTTTAATCTATTAATTCGCGATGCGCATAATATCTTGTTATTTATACAATTTTTAATGAAATTTTTCAATAAGAAAGATGAGAGAAAAGATTGACACAAATTTGTTTGGCGTTTGACTCAATTATCCAAGAAAATAACTAATGCAACAGAAATTTGTATGACGAAAAGAGGAAGCGAGAAGGGATAAGAAAAGTGAGAATTAAATTTGCAAACATCAATTTGCTCAATATTGATTAATTTACCGTAGTTTCTCAGCTCAGCTTCAGTAAGCTTAAGTACCGTTCTGCTATGTGAGAATGTGCTTTTGTAATACAATAATATTATAGTACAATACAATATTATAGTACAATACAATAGTACCTCCTGCTATAACGTACGCTATACATGTCACAATCATCTTAATACGCCTATATAACAAATACGGAACATAGATTTCGCGTTGACATACGTCGGATCAACTGTGTTTTCATATCCACGAGGGTCGCGTAATTATACCGTAACATCGCGTGGAAGTAGGAATACGTTAGTACGTCAGAAATTCCATCGTAGATGTCGAAACGGCGAACCACATCGCGCATTTCCACGCGTGACCACGATATTCGATAAAGGTTCATTTCGTCCCATGAAAATTGGATTTTCCGGGGTGGTACTACGTGTGCGGCGCAACATATGCGATTCAGTTCAGCAATGTATCCAGAAAGGTAATATTTGATTTCTCTCGCGCGACTCGTTTGTTTCGCAGAAAATTCGATGTTGCGATATAATCTAGCGGTGTTACCGCTTTCGTTCGTATTTTCAATTCGCAAAACGTATCTTTCTTCCGATTATAACGTGTATACCTTACATGCTTTATAGCGCAAAATTCAATTTCGATCGATCTAACTGCAAATAGCTCTTTATTTTATTAATTACAAATATTGTTTGATATGTAAAGAGCAATTGTACTCTCACTATTTCATATTTAGCTATGTGGTCATGTTAATTTCCATAATTTAATTAGGATTTCAATGCGTTTTGATTCGAGCTTCTCTCGAAATTGTTAATTTCAATATACCTATGTTCGTGTTATTAAACGTTATCAAGCGCGATAGTTGATAGCCTTTAGTTTCAAGACAAGGGATGCTTCTGACCCTCTCAAACGGACCGCGGAGATGAATTACGTCAAAGTAAATTGATTTCGAAGCAATCTCCTGCTCTACTTCCTGCGGGCGGAAGATGATGTCGGATTTATGAGAAAAGCTCAAAAGGTCCTATGGACGATTTTTAAAAGTATTATATAATATATCCTGCCAATTATATATGTTTTGATTTTATTGCGGGAAGTATTTTGATATTTGATTTAGAAATATAAAAAAAGCACACACGTTTATGTTTTTCTTTTGAAAAATAGAAGCTTATACAGTAAGCTTGTACACAATAAGCTTGTACAGTAGAAGCTTTGCCAAAGATTAGTTGAATTATAAAATACTTTCATCGTACACGTGTATTGCGCGAGCTTTTTCCTGGTTTAATTCTGGTTTCTCGCAGATATCCTTTCCCGTCTAGCCCCAAATGGAGACATTAAAATATTCCACGAGTGAGGAAACATTGCACACGCGCGTCTCCCAGTAGCGACTTGCATTTGCAGTTTACTTTAGACTGGCTCTCTGCTGCAATATAATCTCATTATTCCGCGAATACTTGAATGAGACGAGCGAGAAAATATACCGGCTGCCTCTCGTGTGGATCACGCTCGCCCTGGTCTCTTTCCCAACCTCCGCTTTCTTTCCTTATCCCGGTGGCTTCCAGGAAATCTTTCTTCGCGAACTCTAGATTTAGTTGACGAACACTAGCACGCATACAACACACACACATACACATTCGCATACACACATCTTATCTCGCAAATACCTTCAGACACCTACACGTGTTCGGCCAGATTGAGCGTGAAATACAGGAGGATCAGCCGCACGAATACTCATACGTAAATGTATACTTACGTGTATGTATATCCGACGTAAAATAACGTGAATAAATCGATACGCATGCAATATAAGTGCATACAAGAGTATCTAAAAAAAGATATCGCGAGCTAAACAATTTTTTATTATTTTGAAGAACGAAAACGATGATTTATTCTTGATTTACAAGTCCAAATTATTTTACCTTATAAAAATGAACAATTTGATTCTAATACTTAAATTGTACAATTATTTATACAATTTAAAAATTTTGAAACTTTTATTTTGGAAGGTTGTTGTACCCAAATATCCTCTTTTTTTTTAGAAAAACTATAAAATTTACAGAATCGGAAAAATTTATAGAACTGTGTTGAATGTTTTGTTTAGATTACCGACAAATTTTTAAAAATTCAGATTTTTTATTCATTCATGCGTGTATATGCGATGAAAGCCGTACGTTGCACCGATATTGATATTTTTGTTGGCGTCTTTAAAAGTACCGCGACGGGAATTTATGAAATTCATCTTTAAACCTCGGGCACGTTTCTGCGCGCGACTCTCTGCCAAGAAAAACACTGCCGCGTTGCGGAAGATTAATCTACGTCCGCTCCTAGGAACGGCGTCGCCTAAAAAGAATCCGTACAACATGAACGTCATAAGGTTAAATCGCAATGAAGGGATACACACACTCTCTCTCTCTCTCTCTAAATTTTCCTTGAGATAGAAGAGATTTAAATTCATATTATTTTCTCTTATCTGGAGAGTAAAAGTTTTGAAACTAATTTAATATTTGCACGCAAGAATTTCTTAATAAGCAATAAATATAAAAAAAAATTATTCATAATCTGCAGATTGAAAAATGTTTGCGCTTAAACAGCCGCAGTCAAATATGTACATATATGCATGAAAGAATATTTTATATAATTCTAAACGTGTAATATATTTATATAGAGATTTTCTCTAATGCGAGTTTTTCGCATTTTTCGAATAAAATAATTCATTATAAAAGTTCAAATATATCTCCCCCAAATTATCATGTCGCATTTAATAGGACATGTTCTGACAGCAATATGGGTTCCGCAAAACGGAAATAGTATCGGGTCAATTCAACAAAAACAAGTGCTATAAAATTCCACATCATTTTGCGTAACCGTTCTCAGTAACGATTAATGTGCCGAGAATATGGATGACTAAAAATATATATGCACACAGTCAAGGTTAAAATAACTTCCAGAATTTATCCCAGTCCAAGCCGGATACCGAGATGTCAAGATGTCTCTCAAATTAATATCGCGTAGGCATTCCAAAATTATGAAATTAGATACTGTAATAAAAATGTAATATCTAATAATATTGCTAACGATCGTTAATATCAATCAAGCTATTTTCAAAACTATTTAATACAAGAAACTATAAACTATTCGTAAAAATAAATTAAATGATTTTATTAATTAAAAAGTAAACACATTTACATTATCTAACTATTTTAAAAATTCATATTTGAAAAGTTTTGCACGTAAATAAATTAATAATATTTTATCTTTTATAAATCGCAGAGACATCCTTTAAGGATTAATAATTTTCTAATAAATGCTGTGTCGCACGCGGATACAAATTGACGATGATTAAGGTACAAAGAAAATTCAGATCGGCTTCATATTAACGATGCTCACCGATTCGATCTAAGCGGATTACACGCGAATATCTCAGTGTTTAAATCACGCGACTTCCGACCACCGCATCGCTCACTTGGGGACGGTCGGCGAATGAATGGGACTAGGATGAATGGCAGATTCGTCTAAAGGACGCTTGTGAATGGTGCGTATTAGCGCCCGTGCCATATATATGCGCACAACTTGTGTGTAGCCGTGCCATATCATTTCGTGAAAGATCATAAATAGTTGAGAATTCTGACTTTATTTTCAATAATTTTAGAGTTCTTGATAATTTAGCGGCGTTTTATTTCGATACGTTCAAGTAAGAGATTTGCTAGATTTAAATAATATTTTTAGATTTAATTAATATTTTTTATTTTTAAAAGACAGAACTCTCTTTTTAGAACTCTTGTAGAACTATAAATTATTTCTTTAAATTATTAAAAACTCTAGAACTATTGAAAATAAAGCCAGAACTCTTAATTATTATTTATGAATTTTCATGAAATAAACGCTTTACACACTTCTCTATTGCCTCTATAAAATAAACAACTTCTCACTCACCGATACCTGCAATGACGGAGTTGTAGTACACAACATATTGATCTGAAAACAAAATATTCAAATTATGTATATTATGTACATATGTGTGTGCGTGCGTGTGTGGATATACAAAGTTATTTTGAAAGTCTAGAAATGATCGAATATCTCGTAAATAATATATACAATTTGGAAAAAAATATTTTTATTTTGCATACCTTACAGCTGCCCCAACGTCGCCTGATGCCTCCCTGGGCCTCCTCCTCCTCTCTTGGTAGCACTCGCGACACTCGCGAAAACACGAATAATTACGATCGCCCGACACTTTACACGGCACTCCCGACGCGCGAAACTTTATACGGCACTCCCGATGCGCAACATTTTACACGGCACTCCCAATACGACGCGTGAATCGTACTGTATATCGCAATATTACCTGTAACAAATAAAATACATACATATATTAGAATAATTTTATTATTTTGCATTACAGCATACAAAATATAAATATTAGATATAAGGAATATCTATAGATATAGGTGTTTGATTATCTTTATTTTAGTTTAATTAATATTTTTTTCTGCTTTTAGAAGGCAGAATTCTTTTTTAAACTCATGTAAATTATAAATTTAAAAAATTTTGATAATTACTAATAAGGAAAATGCTGTAGGACAAAATTGCATGCTGCGTGAAATTTGCAATTTGTCCTTTGTTTGCTTCGTTTTAATCGCCAGAACTATTTATTTAACCAATCAATAAATCTAGAATTATTGAAAATAAAACCAAACTTTCAATTATATATGATCTTCCATTAAATAAATATGCTAGCTTCACACACATACATATGCTGGAAGCGTGTCTCTATATACGCTAAAATATAAAATGTAAAAAAAGGAAGAAGGTAATGCGATTGATATTTAAAAGAAAAGAATACAAGAATCACAAAGGAATATTCCCCGACCAATTTAAAGTCAATTTTTTTTACTATAATGTTCAGATATAAAATATTTTATTTTTTTATTTCATTATATTGCAATTTTATCTCTCTATCAAAAATGATGACGAAAATGTACTTCTCTTCTTTTTTAATCTATTTCTGCTTGTGGGATTATTTACCAGTATATTATTAACAAGGCTTTTCACATATGTATATGTTTATGGGAGTAATAAACATATACATCTCGCGCTCAATACTGTGGACATCATTAATTCGAAACATTGAACACAAAGCTATTTATAAATTGTTCGTGGATATATAACAGGATAATTATGTTTTTAATCGTTCTCAATTCCGTGTTTACATATCGCTAAATATATCGAGAGCTCGTTGTTATTTTTCACATGCACTGAAATTTATTGTATTTAAAATTTCATGTTTTTCTTTCCATGTTTTACGAAACAAACTTTTGATATTTTTAAAAATACTGGTAAGAGCTTAGAACAATACAAATTAGAAGTATATATATTAAAGCTTAAAAAAAAGATAAAAAATAAATTGCACAATATTTTTTAATTTGTGAAACAGGAGAAAATCTGTGTAAACAACTATATATATTTCACCAGCAATGCTGGTTTGAAATTTAAAATTAAGGTATGTTCGTATTTACCACATGAAACTTTTATCTGCATTTTTCCGATAAATATCTAGTAATTAATTACTATCGAAAAATATAATTCGATAAATTTGAAACTTAGCTTTTCATAAAATGACGATAAAATTAATTTAAAAAATACTTCCAAATATTGACAAAAATTCAACAACAGAATATAAAATTTCTTACATTTGACTTTATTTTCATTTTCAATATAATTTAATAAGAGTATGAATGCACATTCCTGATATCACAATAATTTTATGTAATTGTTCCCTTTTCAACTGCTGTATACAGCATTAATATGTAACAACGAATGAATTAAAATTACATTTCCATTTTCCGAATGTTAAATCTCAAATAGATCCAGTGCAAGTGGACAGCCGCGAGCGAATTAATTTCGCACACTCTCGCTCACGTTTTCACGCTTATAAAATAGGATTCGTTCGTAAAAAAATATTGCTTTTTCTCTCTTTTTTCCTTTTTTTTTATTCGTGATTATTGCGGATATGTTAAATTTTTCATAGAAAAAAAGAAAGAGAGAAGCGCCATTAATAATTAGAATAAAGTTACGGAGCAGCCGGAAGACAGACATCGGCAGAGAGGTGGAATTATCAGGAAAGAACGAGATAAATAAGGAGGGCGTGCGTATCTTGCTTGCTTCGACAGCGCGTAACAGCGCTAAATCTCTAACCACCGAGTGTTAAAATGAGTACCGGCCACGAGAGAAGGATTAGTTTTCTCGGAGGCATCTAACCGTAATTATGGGATCGACTTGAATCACTTTCGCACGCGATCAGGATAGTGTGCGAACCGCAAACACGCGCACGATGCGGCCAGCGCAAATCTTCACTTGAGAAATAGGAAACTGTAAATATTCAATATCTCATTTTATGTCAGAAAGCTTGCGAAGGTACTTACAGATTAAATTAAATAAAACAGTATATGTGGAGAAATATATATATAAATAAAGTTAATCGTGTAAAGTAAAAATTACAAATTTTTATTATTTACGTAGGAAAAGCTAAATAAAATAAATTGTAAATTCAAGATCTCATCTTATCAGAAAAAACTTATAAAAGATTTATTACTTTCAGACTAATTAGAAAATATATTTGAAGAGAAAGATATGTAAATTTTCACACACACACACACACACACACACACACACACACACACAGCGGATGTTATAAAACATGCAAAATGAAAAATACAAATTTTTTGTTACATAGGAAACTTTCATATAAAATAAATTGTAAATTCAAAATTTAATTTTATCAGAAGATTCAACATTTTTAAAATAAGAAAGTATATGTGAAGAGAAAAGAGAGAGAGAGAGAGAGAAAATGTATTTTTCGTATATTGTATGTATAAAGTAAAAAATAAAAATTTCTTGTTACATAGAAAACTTTCAAATAAAATAAGATTAGACAATAATATACACATATATACTATTTTTTTATTTTTTTATAATTTTATAAGAATTTCGAGGATTATAAAAATTTTGAAAATTATGAGGATTAAGAAAATTTCGAGAAATTCGAAACCTTCACGGATTTCAAGGAAAACATTACGCGACAATCTCGATATTCGCACATATATTCTGTCACTCGGTCTGAATAAAGTATCTTTACTCCCTGTTTCTGTTTTTACTCTGTTTTTTCTTTTTTTCTTTTCTTACCGTTTACATCTTATTCTCGCGAACCGGATGCGCGATGCTCGAAGTCGTAAAATACCAGCGTCGCACGCGCATGCGAGATAGAAACCGGTTGCTCTCTTTTTCTCTCTCTTGTAACGGAAAACAAATATTTTTTGGTGCAGCTATCCAGCGGTTTTAAATATTTAACACACACATATTTCTCACATTAACTTTCTGCTCGATATGGTTTATTTTATATGGTTTATTTCTACATATTGACACGCTTTGCAATGCAATAAATATAACAAATTTCGCTGGATGCAATATAGTGCACATTGATGCAAATATCCTGGAAACTTACACAGAAATTTGCCTAAATGCGAAAGCATAATAGAAACATAATTTGATAACTTATGTTTATATCCCGCAATGAATTAATTGATCCAATCATTTGAATAACATGCATATATTTTCGTGTGTACCAATATATGTATAAAGATCATTAAAGCAGAAATTCTTGTTGTTTAAGTATTATATACATAAAATACGACGATAATTTCTAACACTAAAATCCATCATTATATTAATAAATTATTAAAGTGCTCCAGCAACAATAATAAATAGAATGTCATTTCTTTTCGATTGTTAAATATTTGAATTTATTAATCATTAAAAAGGATCGGTTCATATAAAACCGACGTCCTTATTTCGGACTATGACAGATTTAGTCCAACACTAGAAGACCCCTTCGTAAGCTATTGTCTTTGTCGTGTTATGAAATCTAACCACGTCGCTAGTGATAAATCAACGCGTCGAGCAACAGTCGGCCGATCTCGCTGGCAATTCTCGATCGTGCTACCGGTCAGCCGATCAATCACGCTCTTTCAATCCACGACACGTGCGCAATCCGACGAACGTCGCAGCGTACAAACGAACGAAGGTCAATGTGGTATCGCGAGGCAACCAGCCAGCACCAGGTGGACCGTACACGCTAATTCACTAGTTTGCCTCGCACAATCGGCATTGGGTGTGTCACGTTTCTCGATTCACATCTGCCTATCCATGCTCTTTGGATCTCAGTGCCGTAATTTTAGTCAGGGAAAAGTGAGATCAAATCGAACACAGAGAATCAGATCAAATCTAAAGGATGTCTTTTTCATCAAGCCTTTATGAGATCTAATTTATCTCGTCTTTCAGACACCGTATGATTAAAATTGACGAAATAAAGATATGTTTCATATTATTTGACATCTTGCTTTATGTTAGTAATATTTCAATTTCCACAAACAGAACATATAAATCAAGTTTATATTATAATTATTATAATTTTTGTTTTGATCACCTATAATAAATGTGTAATATATAAACATGCGCTCAGCATAATAATTGAAATAAGTACATGTGTGCAAAATATATTCATTACACATATACTATATCATATATTATATTTTAATATCATATATTATAATTCTTTATTATTTTTTCGAAAACTAATTATAAATGATGAAATGTTTTCTGCGTCTTTAAAGCGAGTGTTCTATAGTTCGTCTCGTCCTAGTCACGGTGACTCTCACCTCTCTTGGTCTCTGCGGCAGTCGAGACTATAACACATTGCTTTCGGAGAATTAATTGAACGGCTGCGAGACGCAGAGATGCAGGGATGCGATGACCGTATGGAGTATAATGGATGGATAGTCGCGTAGTTAGATAATAGATGGATAGATACGCCGGTGGATGATAATGGGCCGTGTCAAGTGCGAGACGCGACGAGACGAACTGAAGTAACCCAAGTGTCTGTAATGTGTACGTGACCACGGGGTCGAAGGCTGGTTATGTGTGACGTCACGACACTCGTCTATAGCATCTCTGACATCAGAACCTCGTCTGTATATTATGTATATTATTAATCGCTATTACATAGAACTACCTCAAAGTTCACAAATTATCTGTCATCTATACATTCTTTGACCAATTTGCTAAGTAAAAATTCGTCAAAAAATTCATAAAAGAACAAATTTCCTAATTTTGAAGTAGATGTATATATATCTTTTCAATTTTCAACATTAAATCTCATTGTAACTATTTCTTAACTTATAAATTTTTTTAAGATTTCAATTTTTTAAATTTACACAAAATATATAAGCCATTTATTTTTAATAATTAAAAATATTATAATATGAATAAGTATTTTAATATATGTATTTTATGATTGACTATTTTAAAAGCAATGTCAATATACATAAATCCAAAGTTATCCTATTGTGTATCTTGCTATGCACATATAACAGACAGAAAGTTTGGAGACTATTTTGTTTAAACACTGAATTATTTGAAGATCATTGTAGATTGTGGCTAGCCGGGGAAATCTAGCTAGTCGATCCTTTAATCCCTTGCTTTGCAAAGTATCTTGTGGTCGTGCTCTATCTCCAATTTTGAGGGTTGAAACGCACAAGAATATCCCAAGAGAGATCCAGAACGATTAATGGTTGTTTTCGGAAAGTTTAATAAAGGAATGAATTTCTTATAAATGAAGTCGTAAATATGATTTTAGTGCAATTTGACTTAATCGATCATATTGCTACTTTCGTCATGTTATTTAATGCACAATAAAATAATATAATAATAGATATTTAAAAATGATTGTTCTGCTACTTTAATAAATTATTCCTATTTATAGATAAGTATAATCATAATATTTATTTATTTTATTTATTGCACATTAATTGTATCTAGCAAAAGATGTACTTTTAGTTTGATGGCCCGCGATGACCAGAATAATAATAGTTGATTTATTATTTCGATAACCTCTGCATAAAGATCAATTCCGACAATTGCTTGATTCGACCGAATTGTATTCTGCGCGCAATTTAAAGAGCGTTCTGCTAACGACGCGTTTCCTCGTTCGCCAATGTCTGCGTGTCCAAGAGAATTAACTATCGCATTTAACCCGCATCGCCATAAATTGATTAAGTCACTGAAAGCGATGTAATTTGTCTTTTATTTCGTTTTGTTGCAGATCAGTGTGGAAAGTGCCGCGCCAGCACGAAGAGGCTAAATCTCAACAAGTACTGCAAAAGAGACTATGGTAAGTATATGTCTCCAAACAATGTCGTAGACAGAGAACAGTGTATTAATTGCGCTTTCGTCCCTGAGATAATGGAACACGTAGAAACCCAAACGTTACACGCAAATCCCTTCGCAATGAGAATTTCTCAGAGTCCTATAATTAACTGTTATATATGCCTTGTACATACAGCTGCTACAAAAAGAATAAACGTTCTATCTGTAGAACGACTCATTATCTACAAGATAAAAAGTTTTCTTAATTTTCTAATAAATATTACATATATATAATAAAGAATTATATATAGAATTATATTTATTATATAGGTATGTAATAAATATTATGCATACATAATATATAATATATATCTAAAATAAAGAATTAATCCTATATTAGGCATTCCGTTTTCCAAATAGAAAAATAACAATTTAATATCGTTATATTCCGACGAGCTAAACAAGAACTATCAGGACGACGATAAACGTGATGATATAGACAATCGTCGATTCTCTGGCTATTGTGGAAAAACATTACCAGCACAAAGCTACCGGAATTGTTTCGGTTTTTATCGGGAATAGATGTGTACCCACTCTGATAACGGGAGAGAACGCATGTGAAGCAACGATTTATGCCAGAGTGCCATTCTCTCTCTCAAAAGTCCTTGAAAAAGTCGAATATAAACGTACACTCAGAAAAAAAGAGAACCGTGAACAAAAAGAAACAGAGAGACAGTAAGAGGCAATTACCAATTTTGCTTTAGAAAGCTCCGGGAATTTTTCTTTCTTTCTTTATCTCGCTCTAAATTTTCATATTTTTTTTCACAATAATTATAATCAGTCTTCATATTTTTTCTAGTCATCGTTCTGTATAATAAATATAACTAAAATATAATGTTATTTCAAATTGTAAATTAGGAATCGATAATAGTTGAAAAATAATTTCTTTATTTATTTGATTTTTAATGTTTGAGAGTTTGCTGGAGCCAATCGTGGAGAAAAACAGGGGAGAAAAATAGGGTTGTTTGCATATGGTACTTTCTCCTCTTGGTTGTGTGTATAATGGTTCGTTCAAAAATGAAAGACTCGAAAGTTTTAATGGTGCCGGGTGCTTTCAATAATAGAATGGTATGCCTTTGAGCCGTCGTCCGGCACGGGTTTGGCCGGGCGGCTGTTTCGACCTCCTGTCTCTTTTCCTGTCCTCTCGTTTGATTCAGCGCAGATAAATCTTCAACAGGTCTGCACTTAGCTGTCTCGGACTTAGAATAGCGACTGAAACGACCGCGCGTCCCGTAGCCGCGTCGCGGAACCGATCGGGAACGGCGACGTCGTCCTCGACGCTGCGCGTGCCTCCACGTGTTTTTTTCACCATCGCGAATTTCGAATATGCGAAGAGGTAAAGGCATTGCCGCTCCATACAAAAACATACAGCGGTTTCGGTATTTGCAATCCGTAAAAAAGAAAACCGCGACAGAGGATGATCTCACGCAGTTATCTGATCAAAATGAAAGAATGAACAAGAAAAAAAGGAGAAGAGAACGAAAGTAATCGTTAGAAATTAAAAAATTTCACAATTAGTAAACATATAATTAAAAGAATCACGTTGTGTATTCTATTTCTTGTCGATCACTTGCGTTCTTATAAAGAAAAATGGAGCGATTCGAATCATAAATGATGCAATAGTTCAACAAATGCCAGTTTCAGAAATCGTAACTATAAAGTTATCGAAGAAAACGCATATTTCCGCTTACAAAGATATATTCCGCTATCCTGATCCCACCCCGCGAAGAATGAAAAATCCCCAGAGTACAACATGAGAAATAACGCGGCCCCATGATTCGAATAGCAAACTCCGGGGTCAAGCAGGACAGAGTATAAACTCGTAACACCGACGTCGAGTAATGAATGGCCCGATCGAATGCAACTCAACGTTGAATCGTTTCGCCGGGGCATGACCCTAGTCCTTGGCGAAAGGCTAATAGTATCCCTGTCCGGAGGACGACAGGATCGATGGTACGATCGTAACAAGAGAGAAAGGAAGAAAAAAAAATCTCGACCGCGGTCCCCCATTCGATTCTATATAGTCTCGAACGATTGAAAGAACCCGGGCATCCCTTGAACACGTAAGGAACACGTGTGTTCATATTAAAGTCTGATGCCGATTATATTATTTTAGTTACAACGTAAAATATCGATTTTATGATTACATCTATTTAATGTTTTACAATGATAAAGAAAAATGTTTCGTTCTTTATTTTTCATTTCTGTGTTTGATGCAATTTCAAAAAATTTTTCGTTTAAATTATGTAAATTGTTTTAATTGTTTGTAATTGATGCACAAGATATTAGATTTATGCTTCGTTAATATTATGAAACATTTGTAAATTATGAAATAAAAGAATATAATTGTCTCCGCAAGAATATTCTGTAAAATAAGATTAAAGATCTTTTAATGTAACTTTCTTAAAATAGAGATCTTTAATCTTTCTTTTGCAAATTATTTTTGAGGAGATAATTATATAACTTTATTTATTGTAAAATAAAATGCTTGAAATATTCAATATATTCTGTTTTATCGTAGCTATTCTGGGCAGAATAACGGACAGACACAAGAAAAGCGATGGTTCGCAGGGCGGCACAAGTGTATCAGGAACATCTTGGATCCGATTTACTCTAAACGTCGACTTCATTTACAAGAAAAATACAAACTCGAGAATTCGACGTGGGGATATATCTCTTTACGTTCATTCGTCTGATCTGGCCTGCAGATGCCCGAAAATCAAGCCTAACAAGTAAGTACTTACTCTCTTGACAAATTGGAGATATATCTTTATTTTTTTTATATTCAACATTCTTGACACTATTTTATTTTATCATTTAAAAATACTTTACTCGTCATTAAGCTGACAAAAGTTAATTCGAAATTTAATGTTTGTCTCTAAAGACATAGAACACTATTTACTATCTAAATAAGCTAAAATATTATATAATACGATCGGTTTTAAGAGGTTTCTAAAAATTGCTAAATATCACTTGTAAAAATATAAATGTTTTTTTGAAAATTCAGATTTTCGATATAGACTTTAACATGTTTTTTTCTCTCGCTAACTATAAATCTCACTCTCTATCATCATTGTCCAAAATACACACATTTAAAGGACTTTATAAAGATATGCAAAGTACATCCCAATTTTGTCAGACATCCTTAAATATTTTTTATAGATCTTTAGTGCCTTCGTTTGCCTTCAACTAAAAATCAAACCAAGCGGTCAAGGTTTTTTTTTAGAGGACATAATGTGATGATCTAATAAATGTGATATTAAACTTATAACATAAAAACTGGCAACAGTTCAAACGACCGTGAACTGCCTGTCAGATTCGGATCGAAATCGCGTAGTGGCCGGTGACAGCTGGCAACTGAACGCTGGCGATTACGACTTAAGCTCACGTCGGTTCTGTTATGTGTGTTCTCAGGTCGTACTTGATCCTTGGCCAAGAGAACGACGGCGGTGGCCAAGGTGGACTCACGGTGACGCAGAGGTCGATCGTCATCGAGTGGCGCGACGAATGGCACCGTCGAATGCGCCGTTTCCAACGAAGGGCGAGATCGTGCCATTGAGATGTTCGCGCGTTGCGGGAAGAGATGAAGAGATAAAGAGAGAGAAAAAGAGAAAGAAAGAGAGAGAGAGAGAGAAAGGAAGGGAAAAAGAGAGAGAGAGAGAGCGAATGAGAGAACGAGAATGTGCGAATGTATGTACGTATGTGTAAGTACGTATGTGTATGTTTGTGTGTGAGAAAGACAAAGAGAAAGAGAGAGAGAGAGAGAGAGAGAGAGAGAGAAAGAGAGAGAAAGAAGTCGATCCTTTCCCAACCGTGTTCGTAGAAGCCTGCATATCTTGATTTCCCGGCCGCGAATACCGGTATCGGGGTGCCGATTTTGTTTTGCGCGCGGTACTCGTCGACGACTGTATGCAAAGTCGAAGACAAAGTACGAGGAAGAGGAGGACGAAAGGGGAAGCTGAATATTTCCAAATGGAGCATCCGCCGAATGAAATGACGCGAGCAATGCATGCGAAAATAATTCCATCACGAAATAATTCGCGAATAAATTATCGATCGTTCCAAATATAGATACTGACAAGTATCTATATTTGGAACGATCGATAATTTATTCGCGAATAAATCAATAATTTCGGACGATTCGTATTTATCTTCAACGAATTATATTTTTTTTATACGGACTCTCCTCCTTCGTTTCGACGTGAAAAACTCGCGAAAGTCCAAGCCTTCGAGCCGAGTTGATATATTTGCCCGCACGAAATGCAAATCATACAGCTTACATTTTTTTTCGATAGCAAATCGCATTCCTAACGAGTACCTAATGTCTCTGTGTAGAACGGAGCGAGTGTTCCTCGATGTCGATTCACTCTTGACATTTGTCGCGCGACATTTCTACGTGACAAGCGATTTATTGAACGGCATGAATCTTTGAGGCCCTGTCCGTTCGCACCCGATAAATCGCGCGTCCGTGAGAAATGTCGCGAGATGAATGTCGGGTCGAATTTACGCGACAGATTCAATTACTCTGGAATACCGCAAATCGGTATGGTGTTCTCGGCAATATTCAATGGCGAATAATCGTCCGAATATAACGTCGTCTATGTGGTTTCTATACTGTATATCTATATCTGACATTTAAACCAGAATGAAAAATATTTACTTTCGCGTCAAAAAGCACGCGTTGATAGCGCATTCATTCAGAATATCGCCCTCAATAGAAATTAATGGTTTTAATTAAGTTGCACGCATAACGATATTGCACGCAACGTAATTTGTGGTATTTATATGATACCGTTTTAATATATAGAATAATCAAGCTCTTTCAAAACGCTTCTCCACAATGATAATTCATATTCATCAACATCAATTTGCTATATACAAAAAATGGACATGTATAAATTGTATGTGATATGATGTGAGCGCGATATATATGAACCGGGCGTTAATGCATCTATATTACGGAAGGTGCTGTCATTAAAGCTTAATAGATTCGGTAAAGCGAAATCAATTTTTGAAATCATACGCGTCGCTGATGCACAATGTCTTTAATCTTGTTCGTCCCCTTTTATTTTTGCTTTACGAGCAGAAATTGAGGCAATGGCTAAAAAGGACGCATAGGCAAAACTCTTTTGTTTTTGAGAAAAATTCTACATCTAAAGCTCTTTTATTTTCTATATTCTATACGTTCTTACTAAGTTAATGGACTTGTAATTTCATTCAAGTATTTTAAGAACGAAAGTTTTATATATATTTTTCTTAAAACAGGATTTTTTGCCCCTCTGTACTTTTTTCAATTTGTCTCAATTTTGAATCATTTTTTTCAAAAAGTCGTAAATATTAGCTTCTGTAGCTAATAACAAATTTTGTTTTATCATTTTTATTTTTAATTGAATCGTTCTATCATAAAATTCTCTCGAACATTCAATATGTAAAGTATTAAAAAATTTTTTACGCGTAATAAGATTACGTAATATATACGTCACGGCAATATTTCGACATTATTATGAATAGTAATCAGGTATAAATACATGATAATACACACGTGTTTCTCGACTTTATTCTTAAGAAAATCGCGACACACCTGCTACGGAAGCATGATTCAACCGTGTCCAGTACTGGAGGGCTCGTATCGTTGTCGGAGTATTTTAAAAGGCTAGTCTCAAGTAGACAAGCGCAAAATGCGTACGCACATGTACCATGTCTTAGCCACTTCAAATCTGATTTATTCGCGACCGTCTTGTCTTGAGAGTCGGTGCACTCGGAGAAAGTGGGCGTGAGAGAGAAACAGCACGAGAATCTCCAATGAAGTCTCGAAAGAGGCAAAAGGAGAAACGAAAAATAGACGCGAAACAAATAGATAAGAGAAGATACTCATTCACAGACATGAAAAATATATATTTAACCGTTATATATATTAATTATTAACGGATGTATTGAATTGAAATTTTTGTGAAACGCTATTGTTTTGTGTGGATTTGCTTTGCTAAAACGTTACAATGATTCTTAATTATTCAATATTAAACATCACCGGAGTGCAAAATGTTTAAAACTTATTGTTAGTTAAATTACGTTTCAGATTTGTTTCATTATTTTTTTTTTAATATCGAGAGAGCTCATTTATTCTCGTTGCATTATAATATAATTTAAATTATTGGTCTCTCTAGATTTTCATTAAGAAAAATTATGAACTTTTTAAAGAACACACATGGAAGTGATACGATAAGTCTACATATATATTGTATATTCTATAACGAAGAGTTTTAATCTTGATAGCGTTTTCTCAATAGATTCTTCATAAGAATAATGACCGCGTTTCTATTTCGTCCTATTGATTACTATGCAAACGTTCGCGAAATCAAAAGAGAAATCATCTGTAGACAGGAGAAATTCTCTGTTATTTCCTTTCATTCTTCATCAAACTTGCGCATATAAATATTGTTTAAGATTTATACAAACTAGCAAAAGCATAAATATGTATCACTTTCTAAAACTGCTCTACTTCTGTAAATTTATATTAGGTTGTTAATGATATTTAAGAGAAAGACGTTCGAAAAATATTATATTAGTATTAGAGCATTTGTGCAAAAATGCATGGTTAAAGAAACTCAAATTCATTCTGTGAATTTTAATTCAGTTAAACACATCCGAGTGTGCCCACGTAAAAGCATGACACTCTCGCACAGACATTGGTTCGTTCAGTGAAATAAATTGCTCGCAATACATTCGGCTCTCAGGCTATTAGCAATTCGAGGAGTGCGGATTTAAGTCAAGTTGTCAGCGTTCGTTTTACTCGGTTTAAACGTTTCTTCGAGCGAGATGCGCTCATCTAAAATTGGAACGAATGGAATTTGCCTAGAGAGAGAGAAAGAGAAAGAGAGATCTTGCCTCTAATCAAGAATAATATCGCGGATACGACAAAGCTACGTTCAGTTTAAATAAAATGGTTGAAAAAATCAAACAGATCGGTATTTTTTTTTTAATATCTTGTTTGTGATTTTTGTCTCGATACAAAAAGTAAAAAAACAAGTGTTAAATGAGGACAAGCATTGCATTGCACGTCATTTGTGGACACAGCGGCGGAGTGCCCGATTGTAAATGGCACAAAATTCGTCCCCGGGCTTCCCCTCCCTCTCTCGCGACTTCTGTTTTAATTTATTTATTCTTCGCTCTCGCTCGATCATCGCGCGTCGACCGTATTCATATAGAAATATCACATCGCGTTCGTTGAATGTAGATTTCTCTTGTACATTTTCTATATAAATTATTAAGATCCTTTTCTAGCTCGTATATTATATTATGTAGTACTGAGAGAAAGAGAGAGAGAAAGAGAGAAAAAGAGAGAAAGAGGAGAGATCGGTAGAGGCTAAGCGCACTGACACGTGTCGCGATGTGAGTCGCGGGCTTATCGATCAATGGTGACACTCTCCCGGATTGTTTTGCGTCACGGATTCCAGACGGTGGCGGCAACGGCGGCGTTCAGTTAATCATCAATCGTGAAAACCGCGAAAAGAACATCACTGATTTTTGAGACAATATTTTAGAAATATAATTGGGGCGATAAATGAAAAATACCCGAATAAAAATCGTAATTGAAGAAAAGTTATTAACATAAATTGAAAGCAGTTAAGAACACCGTTTGTTTAGAAATTATCGCATATTGGTCAATGTAATTGACGAGCCGCAGCCGCAAAGGGCCCACCTGTTACGTCCCGTTGCCTGATCCTATCCGGATTTCTGATATCACATCAGCACGCGAGGAGACTATCGCGAGGACTATAAGTCCTTCTTCCAGAGCTATAAATCCTTCTCGCGACAGTAAAAAAAGGATTCGCGAAAATCTAACGATCAAACGGCACAAGCGTATTATTTAGAGATAATAAAATAATCTGTAGAAACATTTATCTGTAACCACGTGCTTTGTGTGGTTTGATAGAAAGAGAAATTTCTAAGATTAATTTGATCCTCCGAAAGGAATGAAAATACCGTCTATACTATTCGATTTTTTGGCGATATTGAGATAAAATCATTTCTCCATTTACACGTCACAATATGTTAAACTATATCGCATATGGCTATATAATATTATATTTATAGCGATTGTGATGACGATATAAAAAGCACAAAATTACATCTATAGATTATTAATATCTAATATATCTATATCGCTAAAAAAATTGCGTAGTGTAAACACATTGTTACACGCGATTGCGATAATGATCAAGCAGATTATAACTTTACGCATCGCGTTTCGAGCCAAGTTCCTAAATTGTGCCGAATGCGTTCCCCTCTTCCGTTTCATTAAACGATCGATTAAAACGATCTGTTCCTTCTAGCGGAAAACAGCGCAAAAAAATGGAACAAGGGGAAAATGATTCTGTGCACATGTCGCGTTCAAGAGGAACCAATCATCGATGCTCGCATCAGATTAGCGCAACAGTAGGATCGACATTATTCGATTACATGTTAATTTTTCCAATATACGAATGCGCATTATCGAGTTTTTTTACCTATACTCAACGGAATTTTAAATATATGTCCATACAATACAAATCGTGATCCTCTTTTTAATCAATAATTAAAAATTATTTATACATATATATGTATAGCTTTCTTTTGAAGAAAAATCGATAATAAGTCAATTAGAAAAATTATAATCGAAAAAAATATAAGCATAAAAATGCTTGAAAAATATTCTACATATGTACATTTATATAAATTTTTTTAATCTTAAATGCTGAGCAATTTATTATATACTTAAATGAAGAAACTTATAAAGAAAAAAATGCTTTTATTATAATATTAAAAATAAAGATCGATTTCGCGCGATTGCGCAAAATTAGGAGAAAATGCCTTTATGATATTTGGATACACGTTTTTGATATTTATAAATTTAAACTATTGATAAATATTGCATCGCAGATATTAATCATATGTTTCAATATATATATCGCGCTAATCACGTGCGAGCGGTTTTCCGGAAGAGGATCCCACAGGAAGTATAAATCAGATGCGATCGCTCTCGTTTTTGAAAGAGGAGAAAACAATCGTACGCTCTTTCGTGTGTGCCGTAGTTGACAATGTATGTATGTACTTACGATTTTAACGATGGCTGAACGTGACGTCGGAAATGAAAATGATTTTGACGGGCGATCAATAACATCACAGATGGATGGCAAACGTTCACGTCGTTGCGACCGCGAGCCTATAATACCACGGAGACGATTGATCTCGATCCATCGATCTTCATGTTGCAAGATGGTGCGTTCTGAAATCAAAGATTACATCAGCGATTAAATTTGCGTACTTTCGCTTTTTGCGCTTTATGTATCAAGATTTTACATACAAACTCGAGTCTACATTTTTTTTCAATATTATATCAATATATGATTGATTTTAAAATATGTCTTGACTGAAAAGTACCGCGAAAGATATTAATTTAAATTGACAAAAACATGTAACGTTATTTATCAAAACTTGCAATTCGTGTTAAATCGTTGAATCTGTAAAATCAAAGGAAAAATAATAGAAATTCATATTTAATTTTGTTAGAAGTTATGTAATAACTTTAGACAAAAAATTATTTTAATATTTAATGCGAATTCTCAATTATATAATTTCAATTATATTAAACGCTTGTCTCTCTCGGTAAGAACTAAATAAAAGAAAAGATAAATTTATCACATTCTATATCTATTTTTAATTTTGTCAAATATATATTACGCAAAATTTTATTAGTGTAGCATTCTAATATCATATAATAATTCTATTCATATTTTCAATATTTGCAATTTACATAAATTATATATATATAATATGAAACTAATATTTCTCAGTTTCTTAAATAAATTAAAATTATAAATTAAAATTTATATTTAATTCTATTTTTCAATTATACCATCCACCTAGCGCCATAATTTACAAATGGGATCCGTCGTCTCCGTTATCTATGCTATAATTACATGTATAAAATGTACCAACTTTAAGATAGCTTTAGAGACTAAGATTAAAAGACTATATACATATATCATCTATTTGCAAATAACACGTACAGTCGGGGATTAATAAGAAGAACTTTTCACTTAACTGAAACAAATAATAAATTGGACACGCATTTATTACATAAATGAAGTCATCGATTATCAATATCATTAATTATAAATAAACTAAAAAAAATAACATTATATTTCTTTTAAAAAATTTTCAATTAAAACATTGCTTAATTTTATACTTCAAAATTTTTATACTTAAACATTTTTCAATAATCCAAATAATCTATAGCCGTTTTCGAAAGATAAAAGATTTTTATAAATAAATACAATGTAATCTTTCCTTCGTAATGTAGTTTACTGATTGAAATATGCGTATGCATAATATATCGTTAACTGTCAATTGCATTACGATCGAATATATAGAAGAGAAGAGACAAAAATTGTTATTTGTGTAAAATCGCTTGATTTTAAGAGGATTGATGACTTGTTGATTTTAATCCCGGACTGTTGTCTACAGATTTAATCCCTGACATGTCGTATACAGATGCGACATAATATAATGTTAACGGGCAATTTATCTACGCCCTTGTACGTAATTCGATGTAACAAAATAACTTCGTCACGATTAAAAGTGTATTACATACGAGTTTCCCCGAGAATCGTTGCTGACACAAAAATGCGACTTTTATTCGGAATTTACGAACAAGTATATATATCGTAGAGTTGTACGCGATGTTTCGCAATAAGAATATGCTATTTATACCTCCGCATTAATCGATTGCTACTGTACCACGATTATCACTTAGACTCGATTAAATTATTAAGTGTACCGTCGTGTATTGTGGTGTAATAAATGTGATTAGTTGTACGAGAAATAAATGCAAATGCGTAAGAATTATCGCGCCTGTGTTCTTTCAATGATATGACTTTATTTTTATTATTAATATATTTTTCATAGCGTTATAAATATAATTTCGTAATAGAAAAATTGTATTCATTTAATAAAATTACGCGTCCATTTTCATTCCTTTTATGAAAAGATTATATATATTTTTTAAATATTTTTAATATAATCGAAATTTTCGTTCAAAAACAATACTTGATTCAACAATACGAAGATAAATAATATATATTTAAACTTCACAATTCGTTAATAATTTTACGATTTATAATTAATAATTATTACAATATGTACTTATGTGCGACATTTTTACTTTACGTATAATTCTTTCAGTTACCATTCGTACCGTCTGATCGTGATATACTGCTTCCCAATTCTGCCGCAAAGCAGAGAGAGGGCGTTAGCGCACGGTAAAGTAAACTATCGCGCCAAAAATGTACGCCATCTTGCTCTAGCCATATCTCTTTGTCTTGTACATTCAATTTGGACTCTTTTTGCTGTTTTGTACTTTCTAGCTTTTAAATGCTAAAATAATGACATATACATACCTGATCGTACGCACGTCGTGCTTTCGATGCGATTCTCGGTGGCAAAATGATTCGCGAAACACACGAAGACGATGTTTTGTCGAGCAACAACACGGAACGCGCGAGAAACGGATTACTGCGACAACGAAATTACAATAACGTCGCGATTTTGTCGCACACACGCGTCACCACGCACATTTGACACGGTCGACACTTCGCGAGACACGTTCGCGATCATTTTTCGACCGCGAAGATTATTTAGACACCAAAAAGCGAAAAATACAGACGAGTTGGAGCGCGCGCGACTGATCAGTGGGGCGTCTCGCGGTTGACTGTGAAGTTCGAGATTAATCGAAGCCCAATTGCGATTCTCGAAGTATCACACTATCGATATGGCGAACGACAGCCAGTGGCATTTCCCCTAGAAATAAAATATGGAATATTTGGTTAAAAATATTGGGAAAAAACGAATGCACAGCGCTGATTGTTATGAAAATATGTAATCAGCGCAGCTCATTTTTTACAAAATAAAATGTATATACACACTTGAGAATAATATATGCCTAATGAGGAAAATAGATGCGCTGAATATATATGCACAGTCGATTATAATTATACGAAAGCAGATCGTCGATACGAAGGAATCATAAAAAACAATTAATATTTAACGCATATTTGACGACATACGTCCGACTAACTTTTGTGATATTCACGATACTGTTTCGTACGAGAAATTCATTTTTTGAACAATAATTATCGCAATACTCACGGAACGATGTGACCGCCACTTGCTGCACCTCACGACTGATCGTTTTATTCAAAGCTTTGAAGTTAACTGAAGAGCGCTTGATGCGTTCCACTTGACGCTCCTGGAATTATTTCATCCTTGTTGCTCGCCTGAAACTGAACAAAGACAGATAATCTAAAGGATCAAGTGGCGCGCGCGTTTTAAAAATGTTTACATTAGAAATATTTAAATAAAGACTAGAAAAATGTTTGAAATCATTGAATTGCAGCACGACTTTTACGATATTACAAATAATATTAAAATCATTAAATGCACGGTCGAAATAATAGTATTTAAAAAACATAAAGATTAAATTAAATTATTACAATGTTAATTAACGTTATCATGTGTATAAATACAAATATAATATAAATTCGGAATTTAATTATAATGTATTATTACGTGTGAATATATATAATGATTTTCACTAAAGATATAAAGAATTCTGGAAATCGATGTCATGCAGCATAGTCTTTATTTATATACGAAAAAAGTCATCCATAGAGATATGTTGCTGGCGTCATTTACAATATTCCTTAGATGTGTATTAATTAATATGTTCTTTTTCAGATCTCGTTGATCGTCCAGTATATGATATAAAAATGGTCGTTATACTATTGCGATAAATATCGTTGATTCTTTCGATTAAATTAGGAAGCAAGCACGTGTATTTTATGTACATATAAGTTCAATATAGTTCTCGCAGTATTGTAAAATTTCGTTTAATAAAAAGCATAATTAGAGACGTCGTCGTGCATTGTGATATCGTCCACGAAATACTGAAAATTCTTAAAGTAAACTAGTGTTATTGTATATTTTCTTTCATATCTTTTCAGAGCAAAATGTATTCTTTCTTCAATTTCGTATTAAAAAATATGAAGATATTTTTTCCTAATTTGCTAACGTCTCTATGTATACTTTACATGTTTGCTCATAGATTTATATCTGACAAAATAAATACGGGATCGATTCTTTAAAAAATATATATTACAATATTGCACTTAAGGTAAATGTACACGATAAAACGCGTATAAAATATACAATGAGTTCCTCTATCGAGGCACTAACGACAAGGAACACAGAAGTGTCACATAGTGCATGCATGGTTGTTTGTGCACAGATTTTTAACATTTGCATTTACACAATTTTAGTTTATCATATGTCTTAGGCGTCGTATCTTCAACTTTACATGGAGGAAATTTAAAAGCTTAAAATACACATAGGTATATCTACAAAAATATTGTTTATAGAAGTGATATTTTTGTATAAAATTAGATTTCATAAGATCTACTCTTCAAAAATAATTACATATATATAATATATATTACATACATATAATTATATATATCATTACATTATATAATTTATATAAAAAAAAAAAAATCTTTTACGTTGAAATACATCATGTTTAATATAACTATTACGCTCAAAACAACAAGAAGAATATTTTCTAAATGTATCTTCTTCATATAGCCTTTAAAAAGAGTAGATATACCTATAAATATTTTAATGCAATCAATACATGGACAAGCATACACCATGTGTGTGCACTTAATTACCTAATTATACATACATACATACATTTTTGTTCGTAGCAAGTCGCATCTATAGTTACAATATGATTATTGAGTCGGTTATTTAAGGCGCACAAATGAGATTCTCGCGCTTTATTTCGTTTTATCCTTTGGATGCTAATTAAATATCGCATTTGTTGTTCGCATTTCGAAATTTCATTACCATATCTACGACAAAGAGTTAGACAATTGTATTATTACTGGTTACATTAGCCAATAGCTAATTCAATATAGTACGGTGCCACAGTATACTAATAACTGTGACGGTGCTGACAATTACTTGGCAATCCATTTATACTTGTAGAGAATAAATGGATATTTCTTTTAAATGATCTTTTCGTTCATTACATCTATAATACAATTGGCACATCATCGTCAATTATTCCACAAAAATATTACATTATGTTTAAAACGGAAAGATATTGACAATAATATACAAAAGATACGCTTCACATAGTTACTTAAATAATAATGATATAATTGTAACTTATTATACTAAAGATACGAACAAAATTATTATAATAAAAAAGAAATAGAAAAAATTAAAATTTCATATACATATTAGAATTTTTTAAATAAAATTTGCAGATTGTTACAATTCCTCATATCATATAAGGTTTAAAAAAATTTGATATATATAAATATATAGAATATATATATATATATATATATATATATATATATATATATATATATATATAGATTATATTTTTAAGTATTTTATTTATAATATATAAAAATTTTAATAACAGAAAAAAAGCTCAACATAAAATATAATTTTATATCACAAAAGTTAAAACCTATTAAACTAAAAATCTCATTTTACAATAAATGATAAATAGTTACTGCTCAAAATATATCACTGGAACATTAATAGTTTCTTTCTGATGGAAAATGAAATTCTGTGGTACACAAGTATGTACACAGTGCAACTGTTTCTGTAGACTGGTTCTGATGTGAGATGTAATATATATATAGATGTTTAAAGTTTCAAAATAATGTATTATTCATTGTGTGTGTGTGTGTGTGTGTATTCTAGGCTAACATCTTATTCATTTGTGCTTTTTATATACATATATATGAACTTATACATTATATATTGTTCATGATCGCTAAATATTAGTAATTTGGAATAATGGATGGAATGAGAGTATTGTCGATTAAAAACTAGATATATGTATATTACATTCATGAGTTCACTTGTGACTCATGTTTCAACTCGAGACTCCATTATTCACATCTTGAGATTCATAAATCATATATTTCATATAAAACATATCTCTTACTGACAATGAGAAGCACTCACTAGTTTCACATTGATTACGCAAATTATCTCATAATATAAATAAAAACGCACAGCTATAAACATACAATTATAAGTCATACACGATGCAATCATCATTTTAGATAATCCTGTCTTGTATACTTAAATGAAAGAATTTAATATGACAATTATCTCACATTATTTGCATCTCAGTGACTAATTTTCCACAAATGTATGTATGTTTCTAGCTTCGTCATTCTGCTATATCTTGCCCATTATAAAAGAGATATACGTATTTGAATATACTTTTATATCGATAGAAATGGTGATAGTCTATATTTCTGCATAACTTCAAGCTTTCAAGCCATGCTATATATGCAAAGCTATTGCATTGTACTTGTGACTGTCATTCTGAAATATGGATAGCAATCTTGAGATTGTGATTGATCGATGATATTACATTTGTTCCAGTATTAAGAACCTTTCATTCATCCACATTAAACAAGAGTCTTTTCATTCATCCGTATTAAACAGGATGGTACGTAACAAGCACATACAATAAGCTTATTGCAGTTAAATTGTATGAAAATACATTTTTGAGATTACTCTCTTAGAATACAGTTCGATAATTATATATAGCTCATACATTCTTAAACCTTGAATGTATCCTATCTTCGTTATGAAGGCCACTCAAAAGACGGGACATGATAGGATTTTGCTATTTGAAACTGAATATTATCATAATTGCCAACAATAATAACAAAAATAGAAAGATCATATATTATTTTAAAATGTGTAAATTAGTAAAAAAACCTCCGTTGTATATTGTAAATATTTTATCACACGCTTTCATTGTAATAATCTCATACTTAGCACCTTATCCATGATGTAAAAATGCAAGATAATGCAAACATCAATTTAGTTTTGAAAAATATGCAAAATTGTTTAAAATAAAATTCTCAATTTATTATACATATGTATGTGTTTTAGAAAATAAAAGTATTATTATGTAAGCAATTTTTAGCAATATACAGTAAATGTAACATTTATAAGAAATTGCACAAAAGATCTCTCATTAAAACATTCATTAATTTATTTGGAATATCTTATTTATGTTTGCATTATTCAGCCTTGCTTCTTCACACAAGCCAATATTAATCAAAATTTTCGTACGAAATATATTTGATGTGGCACACAATCTCGATTATTTTATTAGATACTTATTGTGATACATACTATCTCATGAATATCAGAATTTCAAAATAGCAATTGAATATTTTGTAGTGAGAATCCTCTTTCAATTTCGACATATCTAATTCTATTCATGTGTGAGAGATTACATATATTTATGAGAGCAATATCTGTGTTGTAGCAGAGTATATCGAATAATATTTTTGCATTCGAGTATGTATCTCCCTTCAGTCTTGAAGAGATCGTTTTCAAAGTAAATTGAGAATAGATACGTAAGGAATAGATCAATATATGTTAAAACTGAAATGCAGCAATACAGTAATGTTACATGTCGATATATGAAGCAAGATCAACAGTATTGCAAATGTTTAACTATTATAAATTATGAAAAATTATAAGCTTCTCAATAATAATTTGTGATATGAATTAAAACAAATAAAATAATACATATACAATTGAGCAAAACTTTTAAAGTAATAACAGTAGTCTCTGTTCAAAAAATTTCTAGATATCTCAGAAAATATTCACAAACTTATAAAAAAACTTGTCACATTTCAACAAGTTTTAAACAAGAATACAAACTGAGTATAGATCTATCAATAGAGCATATTTCTGTGGTCTACAGATCATTTTTCATAATTTCACTTGTTATAAGAAACACGTCTATAACTAATTAAAACAATCAATTACGTTATTTATACAGAAAATATCATTTCTATAACAAGTTTTTTCTATTTATTTATATATAAAATTATCTATGATTATTTTTGTGCAAAAACTTCTAGTAATATTCTATATTATGTTTCTTTAATTGTAAAAAAAGCTTTAAATACATTAAAATTAGAGATATTATTTGTCTTCATTTATCATTACTTCTTTCAAATATTTAATATACATTTATTTTAATATAACAAGTTATATATATAAAATTTTAATTATAAATATATATTCGGTGAAACGAATATATAAATCACATAGTACTGTAATAAAAATATGTATACAAAAATTATATAAATTATACACTGTATCTTTAATTATTTTCAATAAAAAATAACAATTATATAAAAAGTTTTTGCACAAAAGACTCAAATTTTCTTATCGCAATAAGAAAGATTATAATTAAATTTTGTTCTACCTTGATACTTACGCAGAAAATTGAACCAACATTTGTTGAAATGTTGTCGTTCCAACAGTAGTAGACATTTGACTAATACTATTAAATAAAGATTCCGCTTGTAGATTCTCTGGCAATCTAGTTAGAAACTGTGCACCATGTACGAAGTCCATTTTCAACAATTCTTCCTGATACAAGTGCAATACTCCCAGCGCTGTTCTGAAGAGGAACTCATCTCCATCTCTAAGAAAGACATCCCAGACTCTACATGCAACATCAAGAGGCATTGCTTTGGCATATATAGTATATAACCAATCTAATAGATATAAATCTGGACTTAATCCAGCTACAGTGAAATGGGAAAAGATTTTTGGCAGCTTATGCGCAAGAGCACTGGAATATACCTTATAATAAGTGTCCATTCTTTTTTGGTCCAATGTAAAGGCGGCTCTGTGACAAGGATAATTTAGCAAATTCGCGAAACAAGCAAAGGCGTCTGCTGGCTCCATGTTTAACGATAGCACAGCGCCAATAAAACTCATTCCTTGCACGTAGCCTACATCCGGTCTGTAAACGGCATACGCTGCCAAAATACCCTGAAGACTATTAGATAATGGTCCACCCTCTTGAAAGACACATAAGGTAGGAAAGGTACGAGATACATCTAATCTGATTGCAGCTAACGATTCATTGTTTGGGCTCGACATCGCTCTGTCTAAACAAAGATTATAAAGATGCGGCGTTATATTTAAATTATTTGAAATTGCTAATTTCCATACCCTACCACGTACACTCGGCGGTAAACCGCGCCACCATAGCTCCCTCACTTTTTTCATATTTTTAACACTTTCGAATTTAGGTAAGACATGCACATTCCACGTATTAGAATCTTCGGTTAATCTCTCCTCTTCTTTCAGTTGATATTCTCGTTGTTGTTTACGTTCCTTCTCTTCGCGTAATTCCCTCTTCCTCGCAGCTTCTAAAATAGCAGTGTATTGCTTACGATGACGTTCTTCTTCCAGGACATTTTTAGCTGGTAAATTTGCTGGTCTCGGTTGTTGAATTAAAGCTGTACTACCGCCTACCTTGTCGATATTTCTCGACGGGCTACTAGTAGGTGTCGACTGTTGAGAATCTCGATTTTTCCATGAAAACATATTCTTCGTAAAAAGTGAGTTTATTCCCCAACGTTTAGGTGCCTTGTCGGTTTTTTCCACAACGTGTTGCTCATCAGATCCCAGGAAGCTTCCTGACGGTGATATCTCGCTAAGGGAAGACACTGTGCTACTACACGACCGTGGCAGGCTATTCCTTGGACTGCTGTTAGCACTGACATTCTCGAGTTTAGTATATTTGTCCATTTCAGGTTTGCTAGATCGTTCCTTACCATTACACGGAGACTCCAAGTACTGAGAGGTACAGTCAATTTGTGCATTGTTGAGAGCTTTAGTTTCCTCCACGGAATACAGCTGCTTCGTCGAAGGATTGTAAGCCAGGGACATGTTCTCCAGAGCATGATTCAGACTGGTTCCAGCTACCCCTACGGAGACCACATTACCCGCGTCGTACCACTTGTTCTCCCTGATGTGCACGCACAGAGCCTTGGTCTTCGTCGCCGGAATAGGCGCGACGTCACAGGCCAGTGCCTCGTCGACGTTCACGCTGTCGCAGCGCACCGAGTCCCCGTTCAACGATACCAATTGCTGCTTACCGATCTTGGGCGCGATGTTACTGGCTATGTAGCAGCTGGACTCGCGTCCGGCGACCTTCACCACTTGGAAATTGTTGACCGCATTGTTGTAGCGTGACTTCGCTGCGCTTTCCCCGATACCTGGAGGAGGCTCTCCGAGGACGGGACAGGAATCGGTGCGGTGGTGCCATTCAAACGCGGGGACGTTACGGGACTCTTCATGGCTGATGATCTCCTAACCTTTCGTCCAGGTCGCCTCTAGTCCAGGTGACGTATAGCTGGTGACGCGTCGACTTCTTCGACGCGAGACTCACGAATCCATGCATGCTTCCTTATCGATTGTCAAGGGTCTGCGAAGGGCCAGCATGGAAAATGGACGGTCCGGTTTCGTTGATATGTCGACTGCGACTCCTTGGACAATTTCCAATCCAGCGGACGTCCTCGAGCGGAGCGACGAGCTCGGGTCTCTGGCAACTGTCACGCGCACGTCACATATCGTGATATATCCTCGCTCCGGTCTCGTCAAATCGTAATTCGGCTTCTATATTCGTCAACGGATAAGATTCTCGTCGGTCGCGTCTAAAAATACAACGTCCGATAATAATATCGGACGCGAGACGCGAGGCTGGAACGAAGGAGGATCAAATATATATATATATATATATATATAGTCACAAACCGCAGCAGAAAAATCACGCTCTTTGAAATTAGTCGCGAATCGGGAGATCAAAGAGTGCATCACTGCGCATTAAAGGCTGCTATGCATGAAATTATCCGAAGAGAAAAATATAATTCGAGCGGTTTCGTCGAAGAATAAAATAATTATCTTGTATTTTATTTTAAATAATGCGACACAAGATTTGACATTTGTCGCGAGAACAGCTGATGCTGTATGCAATTTTTGCGTTGCGATAATGCCTTTATTAATATGACGCGTACTCGATTAAAAAAAGGATTGGTAACACTGCAGCAGGGAGAAGTGTCGAATTCACATATTTGAATTTCGAATAGCTGCGAATGTATAATATATTTTAAATTAGCGCTAATTTTTATTCAAATTTTATCTTTTATTGTTAGCAGCTCACTTCAGAAAATTGATTAATTTCATTAATTTTCATTAATTAATTTCAATAAATTTCGTTATCTAATAGAAGAGTTTGCTTTTTAGTAACTTTAACTAGCAATATTTTAGGATCTAAATCATAATTTTTTTATTGGACATTGAACGTACGAATTAAAATGATTACAATAAGATTTAATTACGACACAATCAGAATGATGAAAATAATAATTGCGCCACTGCGCCACTAGCTGTGACCTTTCCCCCATCTGCGCGTCACATTCCATTCTCCCCACTCCTCCCCCCATTCGCTCTATCCCCACTCTTCCCCCTCCCCACTCCACCTACGCGCTGTTCTGCGCAAGTGCGCACCCATCCACAGCTTCGTCATTCGCACGGCGACATTCGAACGAGAGGGTGTTGTTATTCGCGCGCTGACAATTTGACCGGAAAATTGATTATCGAAAGACAATTCACTGTATACGAATTAAGGAAATTTACGTTTTGCGACGTGGCAGCACTGAGTTGATGAATTTCTGTGCTAGCGCTAAAAGTCCGAATTTTCTCACTCGATGTACCATCTAGAATTCGCGTGACTCTGCTTGTCGGGAAGCCGGGCGGTGATTGGCCGGCCGGGAATGTAGCGAAAACGGATGTTTGAGAGATATGAATGATAAGATAAATTTGAATTTCTCTCATATCTGAACGAAAAAAACACAGAATTCATATATAATTCTACGCATTGAAGTGTCAAAAATGTTGATCTACGATGTGTTGCACAAAGAAAAGGTATATCATATTGTCGCTAACGATCTCAGAAGCCTCGGGGTTAAATATCGCTTCAAGAAGAGTATGCTTAAGAGCGAACGACCCGAGGCCTGCAAGAACATCTCCAAGAGAATCTTCAAGACTGCCTTGTTTTATCAGCCTCTGGACATTGTGAATTTATCGTCAGGTGCCATAGTACACGTTCCTGTATTTGTGATTCAAGCCTCGACGTTCCTGGAAAAGTATATCACTCAGGAAGGCCTCTTCAGGAAAGCTGGTTCTCAAGCCAGGCAGAAGGAATTGATATCTCGTCTGGATGGCGGTGGCAGTTTAGGCGAAAAGAATTACGCCATTGATGTTGCTAATTCCTTGAAATGCTTCTTCCGTGATTTGCCAGAACCATTGATTCCATATACTTATCACGACTTGTTTGTACACTGTGCATTGTTAAAGAGTTATCGGGTACAAGCAATACTGTTAGCATGTACACTGCTACCTCCGTATCATTTAAACACTCTAGCGTTTTTCATGGAATTTTTGAAAAAAGTTTCCATATACGAGAAACAAAACAAGATGAGCATTGAAAATTTGGCAAAAGTTGTCGGACCCAATATTATGCCGTTGCAAGATACATCCATGTCAGCTGTACAGAACAGATTGCAAATGCATTTAACTATTATTAAGGTAATATAATAGAATGTTTTTAAGAATACTGATAGATTGCACACAAATAGATGTATCATTATTTATAAAGAGATTATTATTATAGATTCTCATTGAAAACTCAGAAAAAATTGGTATCTTACCACCTCATATTGTGCAAAGTATTTCTGCTGAAACAAGCGGCAGCACGGATAATGGGTTGGACTCCTTTGAACATGGGAATTCTAAAAAGAAGAAGCATCGTAGTGGAAGCCTTACACGTAAGCTATTATGTATATGTATACGTGTAAAACATTTTTACATAATGTTAAACATTAATCAAAATAATGCTTAATTAAATGATTAACAAGATTAATAAAATATACATTATAATTTGGATAGAAAATACTAACAGAATTGATAAATTCATATATACTTTTTTTATATATTATTATAGCATACATATAACAAGAGATAATATATTATTATTATATTTATTAAATATATTGTATTCCTTGTGTGGCATGTTCTATAGGAATGTTTAATGGTTTGAAGAAAATGGTTGGAAAAGGTACAGATGACACACCTAATATCAATCATCTACATCCTGCTGTACATTCAGGCCTATCAAATATGCCTGCAAATAAATTTACCAAAAACGAAAAGTAGCTGAAAGAGAATATCCCCCGAATATAAAGAAAAAGTATGAAAAGATTGATTTTATTGTTCTTATATTTGTTTTTTTTATATATATATATGTACAATTATTTTAATATCTATATAATCTATTTATATACTTTTATTTTCAAAATAATATTAAATATAAATAAAACAAATTTAATATATATATGTTTTACAAGAATTTAACATGTACATGTTTTAGAAGAATGGCTGAAAAGTTGGATAAATCAAAAAAATTAAGACTGAGTTTGGACAAATTTGTACCTAAGAATAAGCAAGTAAGTATAAATATGATTCTATATTTGACATCAAAAGTTTAACTAAAACTGAATATCAGTAGATATATTTCTTACAAATTTATAAATTTGTACTCAAGTAAATAACATTGTATAGTTTGTTTAACAATAATTTTGATAAAATCTTTTTAGAAGAACGCTGATGATTTATCTGGTTTATATATGAATAATTACAAGTCATGTAGTGAAAGACATTGGAATTCGGTAAGCAATACTTTCAATATATATAAAATATATAAATATAACAATGAAATAACATATATAATGAATTATAATGAACCATTAAATAATTATTTTCAGCAGGAGTACGATGATATGTTTACTGATGCCACTGTGGATTTATCAGATGATGGCGAGCAGAATTTACTTATAAATGAAAGCCATTGCAAAAGTGATGATCAGTGGAATATAAGCAGAAATTCAAGAAAATTGGATGCTACAGATGAAAGTGATAACCTTTGTTTGATGCCTGAAGAAAAGACTGATTCAGAAGAATTTAATACTCTTCTCAATGCTGATACAGTATCTTTATCAAGTGATCAGTGTGACGAAGATTATGTCAAGATCTCTAAGAAAGAATACGAAGAAATAAAAAATCGAGTTTCTGCAATCGAATCGCGTATTTCTCAAGAATTTGGATGCATATATAATGAAGAAAATAATATGTCTACACATTCTGTAAACAAAGTACAAACAGCATATGAGAAAACATTAGAAGAGGCTAGTATCGAAGATACTTTGACGAGTGATTATTTAGCAAAGAAATTGAGTAAAGAACTGAAAATTAGAAGATCAAGAGAACATAAAATAATAAGATCTCCTAGTGCAAGGAAAATTGGTTCATTAAGAAGACGTTCACAGGAGAAGATTGCAAGGTACTTTTAGATTATATCAAATTTTTATAATTTTTCTTCAGTATTAAATAAATGATAGTCATAACTACATTATACACATTCTAAAATTTTATAATTATTTCTATATATATTTATTGAAAAAATTTAAATATTTTACAAAATAATTGATTAGAGAGTAATATATAAAAGAGTAATATAAAAGAATTATTTGATTATATTATGTAAATTAATTACATTTAAATTATATGAATTATTTTTTATTTATAGCAAACGTATTAGACGAACTGCATCATGGCATATTTCACCAGAATTTAACCTACAGCATCATGTTCAACTTGAAGGATCAGTAAATGTTCAGCCCATCGAAAAACAATCGAATTTATTTTCTAATGAATACTTAGAGAAACAGTCCTATCCCACAGAAAGATATAATGGAATTATTTCCAACAATACAAGAGACGAAATAACATATTTACGTAATCAGATGAATACAGCAATTTCTCGTTCAGCAGAGCAATACAAAACTTCAAATAATGATTTGAATCTTTCTGAATTTAAAGATTTAAATTTGACGAATAATTGTACAACCTCATATGTGCGTAGAGCATCATCTTTTCATGGAAAAGACTTTGTAGATAATTCGTGTTATTTTGAAAAGAAAATTGATGACTTAAAAAAGACCAATAGTCATCAGAACATAGCCTTAAATAATGATTTACAAAGAGATAATATTGTTTCTGAAGGCTCAAAAGAAATATCTTGGAAAGATGCAGATAAATATTTTCAATCAGCGTCCCGAATAAACACACCTACTCCACAAACTGGTAGGGCATCGGTTGCAAAACTTCGAACGCAAAATGCTGGTATGGTGCTAGCCAAAGCGAAATTGTTTGATGAATGCACCACAAAAACATCGGAATTTGTTTCTGCCAAGGTATTAAACAGAAAACAGTGTGGTAATAATGTAAATAAACATTCTCGGAATATGAATACTAAAGAAATGGATATGAACACTGAACATTTTAAGCAATCATATAAAAGGACAGAAGTTTCTCGAAAACAATCGAATAAGGATTTGAAAAGTAAAATATCTCCAAAAGCACAAGTCAAGACACAAATAATAGATACATTAAAACCACTTCAAGAACGAGTGGATAAGAATTATCATTCTACACAAAAATTCGAATTACAAAATCAGAAATTCTTAAATAAAGATCCAATTGTACAAACTTTTACTAAAGATAAAGGAATTAATGTTACAGATAATATGGAAAATCGTCAAAAAGAAAATATTGCTGCAAGAGTATCTCCATTGACGAAGAAATCTATCAATACAATACTGGAGATTAATTCAAATATGTCTCCATATAAATCAGATGTTAACAAAACGCCGCATATTAAGCGACCTTTAACAGTAAAGACTCCGAAAAGTTCTAAATTGGTGCGGAGGCCTCCAGTTGATACACGTAGAACACCATTGAAAGCAACAGCACAATTAGGAACTCCAAAACGTCAAAGTCCTAAAAGTATCTTGAAAACAAAAGCTCTCAGTATGCATACATAATAGATGCACAAAGTATAATCATAAATATTATATGTTAAATTCATGTTATCTCATATATATGTTTTATTTTAAGAAATTATATAATTTTTATACACATATTTTTATAAGTATATATCTGTTTTGTGGTGTTCCTAATATATTAAGTATATTAGTATTAACAGAATAAAAAAGTCGATATAAGAGTAAGAATTAGAATGTCACAAATAAAATTAATAGATTATGCATAAATGTTTAAAACCACAAAATAAAATGCTAAAATCACAAGTCATATGGCTTGTGATTTATATATAAAGAGATGCTTTTATGGATTTATATTTCTCTATAATTTATTTTTTAAGACTTTGGAAACAAAAATGAAAATATTTAAAATATTTTTAAGAGGCTAGTCATTTTGTGTATAAACTGCCTTTATTCACATGTGTTCTAATTACATGCACATTCACATGACAAATTCAAATCCATTGCAATATTTATATATCATTGCTTATTAACATGTAATATACACATCATCACAATTGACATTTAATTTGTGAATGTACTCATACTATAGCATTAATTAAATCATAATTTTATTTACATGTATTCCTTTATTTTTAGTTCTAAAAAAATTTGTAATGTTCCCGCTCTTTTTCAAACATTTGCGATACCATACAACAGCGTTTTTTGATGAAAGCGAAAATCATCATTATCCACGTGGTTCAACGCAGTATGTAATCATTTGACGTATGACCAATCACGTGGCACCGCCTGGCCTTCGCTTACTGTCAAATTAATGGTTGACATTTCGCGTCTCGCTGGAGTATAATTAATAGAATAAACGCTATATAAAATCGTAAAGAATTATTATACGATTCTATTGTTTGCTCGACGTTTTCGTATGTAAAAACAAAGAAAAAAATCGAAGATATCCGCGTTGTACTTCGAAACAAAATAATATTTGTATACATATAACGGCGGGGGTTAGGATAATCGAAGATTACCGCGACGATATCAGCGCCACGTTTTAATACTGAAAACTCGTGTTGGTTACTGTACAGCTGTGAGGTGCGAAACCGTCGTAAAATTCTCCGTGTGACAAGTGTCAGGCTATATTTTTCTCTTCTTCGAATAAGCGCGACTCCGCTGGCTGACGAGAGGGCGAGCATCTTCAGCGCGAAAATGAGGGAGGCAGGAATAATGCTGATAAGCACCGCGCTAACGTGCGTTGTTATCGGCAATGCGTACTACCAAAGAAAACAATTCTATCCGACCGTTGTTCACATAACCAAATCCAATCCGAGCATGACCGTGAGTTTTTTTTTAACGTAACGTGACATTTCCGACTTGCCACGCGACCGCCGTGCGCTCATTGTCATACATATGTATATGCTTTGTGCTCAGGTGATTTACGCTCAAGGATTCATACTCGCGTTCATGATAAACGCCTTCCTGCGAAAGATCTTTTTCGGTACCCTACGTGCTGCCGAGCTTGAGGTAAATTCATCATATTCCTTTCTTAATTTTTTCATCTGTCCTCCGAGTTTTTCGCATAATTATGACGCAATTTACTCTTGCTTTGCAGCATCTGGTGGAGAAAGTGTGGTATGCAGTGACGGAAACATGCTTGGCGTTTACAGTGTTCAGGGATGATTTCAGTCCTAAATTTATAGCGTTATTTACTCTCCTTCTGTTCTTGAAGTCATTTCACTGGCTCGTGGAGGACCGGGTTGATTATGTGAGTTAAATTTCAAATCGTTTTACTTGAAATATTCAATGGTGCATGAAATATATTTGTATGATTTTTATTGAATATGATAAAGTTATTTGTAATTATCTATAATTATATTTTACCATACATTTGATTAATTTGTCTTGTTTAGATGGAAAGAAGCCCAGTAATAACATGGTTGTTTCATCTCAGAGTTGCTACTTTACTAGGACTTTTGTTTGCCATAAATTTAACAATGATCCATTATGCTTATAATACAACGGCCACTAAAGGACCTTCTGTACAACTTGTATTTGGTTTTGAATATGCAATTTTGCTGACTGTTGTTTTTAACATCACTGTAAAATATGTATTACACACTATTGATCTGCAAAGTGAAAATCCATGGGATAACAAGCCAGTATTCCTGTTGTATACAGAATTGATTATTGGCTTATTAAAGGTAATTAATCTAATACAAGAATTTTGTAAATGTTTATAATTACATATCGCGAATTGAAACAATTATTTCTCTTACAGGTTATCCTCTATGTTGCCTTTGTGACTTTAATGATAAAGTTATTCACGTTACCTCTATTTGCATTGCGTCCTATGTATTATACAATGCGTGACTTTAAAAAAGCATTTCATGATATTGTAATGTCACGAAGGGCTATCAGGAATATGAATACACTTTATCCAGATGCAACAACTGAAGAATTAGCTGCTGCTGATAACGTCTGTATAATATGCCGGTAAATATTCTCACACGTAAAAATTATTATCTTATCTATATAATGTCTTTATATCTATATTTTTAATGTCTAATATGATTGTGTGCATTAAATTGATACAGAGAAGAAATGGTTGCAGCCAGTAAAAAGTTGCCGTGTAATCACATCTTCCATACTGCTTGTCTACGTTCTTGGTTTCAACGTCAACAGACATGCCCGACATGCCGGTTGAATATTTTGCGACCTACACCGAACAATGTACCACCTAGACAACAAAATCCTCCCCAGCCAGGACCACAGGCGCCTCCTCAACCTCCACAAGCACCTGGTGGCAACCCTCCTATTGGTATGATTTTATATCGTTTGCTAGACTCGAATTTTAGATATGAAAACAAGTATTCATTTTTAATCTAATTTCTGTTACTTAAAATGTGTAGGGCCACCATTTCATTTCCCAGTATTTTGGACTGGATTACCAGCTCCAGGAATGCCGGAACAACAACAACAAGCAGCAGCAGCAGCAGCAGCAGCAACCGTCTCAAAATAATGCTGGAAATACGCCTCCGCCTCAAAATGTACCACCTACCGGAAATATACCGCTTTTCCCGCCACTATTTCCTGCAATAGTGCCATTGCCACCTATTCCTGTACCACCACCAAATTTAACTGAATTAAGCGAAGAAGAGCTTCGAGCGATGGAAGGTAATTTGCGGCAAGCTGTTCAGGCCAGGATACAAACGTTGCAAAGAATTCAACTTTTATTGGATGCAGCCAATGCAATGATGAATCAATATCAAACAGTGGCTGTTACAGCTAAGTGAGTATGCAATTTAAATTATTTACATTTTAAAAATATAATTTATATATATATATATATATTTATATATAATAATTTATATATAAATAATGTGATATTTCTTCAGCGTTCCTGTGCACAACAGCAGTTCTACAAGCAATATCGATAGTACATTAGATACATCTACAATGGCAAAACCAAGTACAAGTAATACAGCGCATACAAGCGCCGGGATCACTGACGAAAGTTCTCAAATTAAAGTGGAAAACAGTCCTACTCCAAGTACGTCGAAAGAAAATACTTCTTTTCCAAGTACGTCAAAGGAAGATGTATCAACATTTAATGAATCTGCTGATATATCAGATTCACCTAGGACTGAGACAGAATCTTCGAATGAACAAGAAATGTTACGCAGACGTAGATTACAAAAATTTTCACCTCCGCCAACAGAATAAATAAAAATAAAATTGTGTGATAAAGATTATGTAACATAATAGTCTTTAACTTGGTTAATTATCGGCCTCAATTAATACGAACAATCAATAATTGAGGATTGTAACAACTAAAGTTTGGATTTTGTGATCGATATGAGAGTTTGTTGAATGATATTGGAATCAGCCAGTCAATCGGTTAAGGACAGATAGAAATAATTATAAGGAATTCTCTAGCGATTGTTAAATCCAGGAGTTAGTAATAACTGAGACTGAAAGCTCGAGACTCAAATCATAATTTGAAGTTATCAGCATTCATAAACGCATGAATTATTTTTTAATGAAATGACAATTCTTTTGTCTTTCTTTTTATAAACTATTATCAGAGTATGTATAAAAAGTATGATAAATTAGTTCGATTGGCATTACATTTTGGAGATTTACATAAATATGTTTATATATTCTTACATTTATCTATATATACTTATAAAGATTTTCTTGGTTCTTTATTTATAAACTTTATAATTTGTGTTATATGAAAAAATTTCTTATGAAAATTTGTGAAATTAATTCTATACTATTATATGTATTTGAGTACCTACGTCCCTAAGCTTTAATATATAGAATTGAAGTTTCTCTCTTATGTACAGTTATAATCATATAATATTACTATGTAAATAAGCAATTTTTCTCTCTTATCTTTTTATGATTATATCAAGAAAACACTAATTATAATAATAATTTCTAATAGTTATTATATGTAATTTATTTATTATTAATATATAAGCTTTTTTTTATAAAAATATTTACATCTGCTTATAAAATGATATATATATAAGAAAAACAGAGATATAAACTTTAACTTGATTTGAATAACTATCATTTTAGTATATATATAAAATCCTTTTCTATAAATAACAGTCTTTAACAAATAAATTCTCGAATAAAAGATAAGATTTCAAAGTATTGCACACAGGATAAATATAACTACACATTAAAATAAAGTTGCCACAAGATATTACTTTTCTCTTTTATAGTATGATTATAATTTTAATTTAAATTGTTCCAATAAAATTATATTTTTAAATTATATGTTCATAACTAGATTATGAATGGCCAAAATGAAAAATATAGGTATATAAAAATAATGTGGATATTAATAGAAAGAAATTATTCATTGTCATAGAAAATTGCCATTTATTTACATTTAATATATTATGTGTTCTTTTTCTTTCTTGCTATATATAAACATGTAAATGTAATTATTGATAAATGTCACTCTCTCTTGAAATCACATTTTTATATTTGACATATTTGTGAGAAAACTATCGATCTAATAAGAAATGTGATTAATGTGAAAATAATTAAAGCTGTAAGAAAACTACATCTGGCGAGGATTTGTCCATCAAGTCTTATTGATCAATCGAAAGATATATTTATAACCTCATTTTAACATCTAGAAAATACGTATGCTTTCAGTTTTGCAAAACAAAGAACACATATTTTGACACATCGGGACACTCGTTGCATATTAGAATAAAACAAATTCTTTTCAACAAATTTTTATTTGACTGATTTATATCTAATAATATAATACTCGTAAATATATATCACGCCACTTTTAATATCTATTTTCTTACGTCATTTAATATCCGTTTAATTAATTCGTTTGTTTTTCGATAAAAAAATGATTTGTTTATCAAATATCGATATTTGGATGAAGTAATGTATATAATTAATGTGTGTGCACACATACACATGCTTGCAGCAGGTTTATTTTATCATGTGTGTGTGTGTGTGTATATATATATATATATATGTTCTGTCTTCTATATATTATATATATATATATATATATATATATATATATATCTTATTTTTAAATTAGGCTACAAGTATTTTATTTACATGTTAATATACGCATGTTTTATCTTACAATTATTAAAATTACTGTGCACACTTGAAAGATAATTAAAAAAAAAACATGAAAATGACACGTGCATATATATATATATATATATATATGAATTGTCAAAATAAAAAATATATAAATATTGCCTATTAAATTCATAAATTTATATTAAATATATATATATATATATATATATATATATATATATATAAATAATATAAAATGCCAAAAATTTTAATTATTTTATACACGTATATCAGAATCTCAAGAATATGATGAAGTATTGATTATATCAACTTTTATTTATGTATGTATTCAGAGTCTTCAATATTGTCAAGCTGTCATCTTTGGGTTATGACACATACGATAATATCTGTCATTTGAATTCCGAAAAAAATGCATATTATTCGCACGTGAAAGAGAAGGAAACGTTCTCAAATAAAACATGCAAAAGGAAATAAAAACAAGATCGGCAAGAATAATATATTATTCGTGTTGACGTATCGTCTATATCGCGTTCGACATAGCATGACTTTCGCGAAATCATTATCATGAAAAAAAGAGTGATTCCTCCGACTCATGTTATCGATATCCGCGTAGAATCGACAAACGCGACTACACTCTGTCACCCTGTCGCAAGCGACTCAATCGCTCGGTAGATACGGTATAATTTTTCTCGAGAAAGATATGTCCTCGGCGGCCATCGGTGACTCGATGACGTTTGAATTTCGCGGCAGCATCCTTGCGTCGTATGCGGGAGACCCCGTGGCGCGTTGTTATGATCTATCATGGCGGAATGTAGTGTTGTGGCTGCTTGTGGTTGCCTATGTCAATTTTGAAGTGATACAAGCTCAGGGGGAAACGGGGTAGGAACGGCGGGATGCGAGCCGACGACGACTACGTCACGGGTATTCGCGCGAGATAAATCGTGTTCCTATGAGCAGCCGCATCGCGGAAGTAGCCTCCATTTCTCGGACTCTCTACGTTCGTCGTCGCCGCCGCCGCGGGAAGAATCGTACACAGCAACCAGAATCGTGCACGTCGACTATCATCGGAGCACCGTCCTTTCGGATAGAGTCGCGAGTAAGTCCACGAGGAGCCGTTCGAGAAGCGTCTCGTATCGTACGCCGGTGCGTCCTCGAGTACGTCGCGATCGCGACACGTGAGAGTGCGAGCGAGTATACGTCGTCGCGCGGACGTTTCCCGCGCGCACTCGTCCCTCTCGGGGAATTTTCTCTTAGCGGGCGCACCAGGAGCATCGGGGAGCGGGCCAGGTTGCGTCCGGAGAATTGTACGTCTCTCGTGCACGCTCCTCCACGTCGCGGTAGATCCATTCGACGAGCTGGAAAGGCTGGGGAAGTGCGGAACGACCATTGCTCATCGTCCTATACTCCAAGTCTGAAAAAAAAACTAATTAACGCATTTCCTCGACCGATCGGAGCCCCGGACTGGTGTATGAAATCTTGCCGGTTCTCCTTATCCGTCACGCCAGATTCCTGGACTGGAACTTCCTAGTCTCGCATAGCGTACGCGTGTCTTTCGACAAAGGCATTCATATACTGCTACCAAGTACATTTTGTTTATACCGTACTATACAATATGATGCAATAACAAGAAACCTTGATGGGATGTACAAGGGCATGTGGAAATTTGACATATCTCGGTTTTTGTCAGTTCATTGATACCTTATAATATCTGAAGATTTTTTCCATAGAGCGATAATTGTCTGCGATAGCCAAACATTGAGCTAATTATTTGGAAAGGCATGCGGAATAGTTGGTGATATTAAGGGAGAGAGTGCACTAATTAGTTTTACAATATGACGGATACACGTAGGAGAGTGAAATTGTATGCTCTTAACGCAGATAGACAGTGGGATGATCGCGGTACAGGTCATGTTTCCTCCTCCTATGTAGATAGATTAAAGGGGATTTCTCTTTTGGTTAGAGCGGAAAGCGATGGCTCTGTCTTGCTGGAGAGTAGAATACAACCTGATACAGCATATCAGAAACAACAGGTAATAACCAGTTGGAGAATATTATTGATTTATTTTTGTTACCACTATTTTTGTTAGAAAGATCTTTACAATTCTCTACATATTTTTACCTTTGTCACATTCGATGATTATACGTGCTACATTATTATCGTATGTAGCTAATTCTATGCCATGTAGCAAAGTTCTATGATTTAGTTAATAATATAAAAATATGAACATGAATAATGAAATACACAAAACAATGTCAGAAAAATAACAGTGATGTATTTCTTTAAAAAAATAACATATTTCTTTAATATTTTAATATAATAAAATAATTTAAAAAATCGATTTTTAGCATTGTTTACTTGTAATAAAATATTTAGTATTTTTATGTTGTAAACAATTTTTATTATAAATATTAATGTATTAAATACATAATTTATGTAACATATTAGAAGAGTGATGAAAGGAGGATTAGTATGCATATAAATATCTACAAGTAAATTGTTGTATGATTTTAGGACACGTTAATAGTATGGTCTGAAGGAGATAATTTCGACTTAGCCCTAAGTTTTCAAGAAAAGGCTGGCTGTGACGAAATATGGGAAAAGATATGTCAAGTTCAGGGCAAGGATCCATCTGTAGAAATTACACAAGACATTGTAGAAGAATCCGAAGATGAACGGTTTGATGATATGTCAGATGCAGCACCACCTATTGAATTACCTCCGTGTGAACTTAGTCGATTGGAAGATATTAATGAGCTCATAGAAAATTGTTTAACATCTCCGATGAGAAAAGAAAAATTAGCAGTGGCATTAGAATCTGAAGGTTATATTAAGAAATTGCTAAATCTTTTTCGTACTTGCGAAGATTTGGAGAACATTGAGGGATTGCATCATCTTTATGATATATTCAAAAATATTTTCCTACTCAATAAGAATGCATTGTTTGAAGTTATGTTCAGCGATGATACGATTTTTGATGTTGTTGGATGTTTGGAATACGAGCCAACGTTATCTCAGCCAAAGAGGCATAGAGAATACCTGCGACAGTTAGCCAGATTTAAACAAGCAATTCCTATTACAAATACCGAACTGTTAGCTAAGATCCATCAAACGTACAGAGTTCAATACATTCAAGATGTAGTGCTGCCAACCCCGAGTGTATTCGAAGATAACATGTTGAGTACGTTGAGTAGTTTTATATTCTTCAATAAAGTTGAAATAGTGACTTTGATACAGGATGATGAGAAATTTCTTACTGAACTTTTTCGTCAGTTAACGGACGAAGCGACTTTAGATAGCAAGAGACGCGATTTGGTTCTTTTTTTAAAAGAATTTTGCAATTTTTCGCAAAATCTTCAGCCACAAGGAAAAGAAACGTTTTATAAAACATTAACAGCACTTGGTATACTTCCCGCTTTAGAAATCACTTTGGCGATGAATGATGCGCAGACAAAAACGGCCAGTATAGATATATTGACTTATATCGTGGAATATTCTCCAAGTGTTGTACGAGATTATACATTACAACAGATAAGTAACATAGAACAGGACCAAATGTTAGTGAACGTAATAGTTGCTCAACTTGTCGGAGATAGCGATCCTGAGTTGGGCGGTGCAGTCCAGTTGGCTGGTGTGCTACGTTTACTTCTGGATCCGGAGAACATGTTGGCTTCTGTTAACAAATCAGAAAAGACTGATTTCTTAAATTACTTTTACAAGAATAGTATTGGTACTCTAATAGCGCCTCTCCTAGCAAACACAATCGGAGAACGACCTGCGAGAGAGGATTATAGAACAGTACAACTTTTGGGATTGATCTTAGAACTGTTATCATTCTGTGTGGAACATCACACATACCATATTAAGAACTGCATATTGAACAAAGATTTACTTAGAAGAATATTGGTTTTAATGAAGTCAACACACACATTTTTAGTACTATGTGCATTAAGGTTTATGAGGAAGATTATAGCTCTAAAGGACGAGTTTTATAATAGATATATAATTAAGGGTAATTTATTTGCCCCTGTATTCGATGCATTTGTAAGAAACAATGGTAGATATAATCTTCTGGACTCTGCTATATTGGAAATGTTTGAGTTTATCAAATTGGTAAGTGTGATAGTGTTTATAATTGATAAAGAATACAGAATTGAAATAAAATTTCCATTATTTTTATTTATGCGTTTTTTATTTGTAATGTTTTAGGAGGATATCAAGTCACTATGTTCACATGTCGTTGAAAACTTCTCAAAGGAACTGGAAGCAATTGATTATGTACAAACATTTAAGGCATTGAAGTTAAGGTACGAACAACATCAAGACAAATTGAAAGATCGTGATAGAGCCACAATTGACAGGTATATACATTTTTTTATATTTTTATTGTAACAAAAATAGGATGGAAAATAATTATATAGAATATGTTACATGTGAAAGACAGAGTAAGCTTATCAAAATATAGAAATTGTCCCACAATAATTATTTCTAAATATCAACGAATGTATTATAATAATTGTTGTTATGTGCATAGTGTTCCATCAATTTTGCGGAATAGTCGCTATCGAAGAGATCAGAGGCAGCTAGATGAGGAGGAAGAACTATGGTTTAACGAAGAAGAGGAGTATGATGAGGGTGAGGCGGTGGTACCCGCGATAGCAGAAGATGTTGTACCTGCGGTTTCTGCTAAGAAACAATCGTCATCTTCAAATTTTGCACTTAATTCCGCTCTTGCAGATTCAAAGAGTCATCAGCAGCAACAGCAACAGCAGTCTGTATTAAACAACAATACTTCTAATAATAACATTACCTCGCAACAACCGCAAATCAATAATAGTTCGTCAACAACGAATGAATCGCCAATTGCTTCGGACATAAATCCTACTCCGGCTATCGGGACTGTGGAAAAAACAGGAACTGCATTATTTAAAAAGGTAAATCTTTTAGAAAAGATTGATATATATATATATATATATATATATATATATATATAAAATATAGTAGTAAAATACACAAAAGTAGTGGTAAATATACTTTTTAATACACATAAGATAATTGATACTCAAATCTACATATTGACATAAATAATTAAATTATTTTATAAATGGTAATTTATATACAGACAAATCTCTACAAGTAATCTATACATTTTAAATCTATAGATATGAAATTAAGGTTCAGCAATTTAATTTTCAGGGATTGGTTGATTATGAAGGAGATTCAGATGAGGACGAGGACGATTCGGAGTCAAGTCCCTCCCCAAAACGACAACGATTGTCATAGTAGGCAAACTTGAAAAGAACAAGACATTTGTGATTTTTAATTGCTATTATCATTTCACGACCCTCCTACATGTAAAAACAAATCTATCCCCTCATTTTTGAAAACACAGATTGAGCTCTTGGTAAGGAATGGACACAACAATAAGTGCTTTTAAAAGAGATGTGTGGTGGGCACTCATTCATAACTCTGTCTGTGTTGACTTGTGTATAGTATGCAAAACATAAATAGGGTCTGAATGAAAAGTGAGTAAATTATATCGGTCAAATGTCAGTAAAACAAAGAAAGAATGAACTTTCTTTAATGGAACGAGCAGTGGTTAGTATTGTGGCATAATATGATGTAGCACGATGTACTATATAATGCGTAAAGAAAAGTTACAGATATTAAACGAATCATAGTCCATTCCATTTGTTTGGAAACACCTTGTGTGCACTAGGGAAAATAATCTCATGGATAATTATGAATAAAGTAAGAAAATTTGGCTACAAATAGTCAAATTTAACTGACTTATAGATATAGGAGTTCTAAGCATATGCTTAGATTCTCAGTAATACTGCAATGTCATAGTTAAACTATGATTACAGTAATTACAATTATCTGGTAAGTCTGTTAAAAAGGAACTTACAATGTGTATTGTAAGATCAGATTCGAAGGAGACAAAGAGTACATAATGTACCGCACAAGAACAACCGAGCGCTTTGTTTTGCCATTTGTACGTTTCTTATCGCCTATTGTGCGATAGAGAGACCTATGCTTTGAGGGGATCAGGCACTATGAAACTTTATCCAGTTCGACAGAAATAGTATTTAGTTTGTATATATATGTATATTTGTAATGATTGTAAAACACAATCACACTTGGATTAAACAGAAACACACATAATTTCTTTAAGAAATCAGTTCCCTTTAAAATACTTTCAATAAGCTTTTCGGTTGTCAATGTAAGTAGTAGTAACTGTATAATAAATATTTGATTTATGTATATTTACCAGTCTGCACTTCATGCCCAATGTTAATCCTTGATGTATAAAGAATAATCGAAATGTGTATCATGTAATTCTTGAACATTAGGTTTCTCAAGCATATTCGTATAAATTATTTTATCTACATGGGCAAAATGAAGCCAAAAAATTACGCAGAAAAGCTCTTTATATAAAACCACTATTTGTTATATAAATTTACGCATAATTTAGTTTTGTTAAATTATAAACATGTTTATAATGCAATACTTTATACATTGAATAAAAAGAAAACGCCAGAAAATGCAATATAAAATTCTAATTTGTGCTTGCTATTGAAGATTTGACGTAAAAGATTTATTTTATAGAAATATAATATTTTAAACTAAATATATATAATTGCTTTGAATATAAATATTATATATAATATTTATACATATAATTATATACATTATATATAATTATGTAATAATATATATAATTATTATAATATAAAATTAAATAATAATGTATTATATATAATATATATTATATATAATGTGTATATATATGTATATATGAATCAGCTCCAGAAAAAAATGTCTTTAACTGTTACAACCGATAAAGCTGACAATGAAAATAAAGTTTTTAGCATTTACCATTATATAATTCCTGTAGCATGCGTTAAAAACATTTTTTCATTGTTTTTTATTTAGTTAATTTTATACAGAGTGTTAAAAGCTAATGTACAAATTTTTCAACAATATGCCTAATATCCAGAAAAATTTCTAAGACTGCTTTAGAACTATAAGTACATATGCTTGAAATATCGCAATGAAAGGATACATACATGTACACATATACATATATATTGACTTATGATACTGTGAAAGATATTTAGGAAAGTTAATTCACATCACGAAATGAACAAATTGTGAATATCTGAATAGGCAAATTCGCTGGAGCTGAGTGATATATGTACATAAACTGTTGTGCAACATGGACTGACAAAAACTGAAATGTAACAAAGGCTAATATTAATTAGTTAAGTAAGATGATGCGCGCTGAGTAATGTTGTTCTTTATGTGTGTTTTACATATATCCACAATTTATTATTCGATAAAATTATAAAAATATATTATGCCTAGAATGTGTGACATTTTGGGTGCAAAGAATGTAAGTAAAAAAAAAAAATAAAAGTAAATTAATATCTAAGTGATACTAGAGAATAAAAATACGATCTCGTGCTATTTCAATCGATAAATTTGATACATACATTTACGGAGTGTTTTGGGCTATATTCATCTATTTTATCATCATTATTATATATTTTGTTTGTCCACAAACTGGCATTTTTTTCATTTTCAATTTTTATATTAATTTTGACATAAATTATATTTTAAATTTTGAAAAGAAATATAAGCTAAATACATTTATCTATTAAATATATTTAGCTACTATTATAAATTTTAACCATTAAATTTACAAAGAGATTAGAGAGAATCGTTTTACTCTCATGTTTATTCATTATGGAAATTTTGTGTCTTGTATTAAATATAATGTTTGATTATATCTACGTAACTTTAAATCTGCAAATAGAATATATAGTCTAAAACATTCTGCTTCAAAATCATTTGCCGAGATCGTAAGCATACATTTTTTCAACCGTCACATCAATGTAATATTAAAAGAAGAAGACAAACAAGCACACATTGTACAATATCACGTGCTAATAATAATATGCGTTTTAATTATGTAATGATCGAATAAAAAGCTTTTCTTTGAGAATATATATATATATATATGTATACAAACATTACATGTACACAAGACACAGGCATATATATATATATATATATATATATATATATATATATATATATATGCACAGAAAAAGAGACTTTTTTATATGAAAAGCTATTCGTGAATTTTTGTGAATTAAGAGCAAGCATAAAAGATATACAATCCTGTGTGTATTATAATAATAAGTGAATGAATTGTAATTGAAAAATGATATTTTGCATTTTATTCTGCTGAAGAATGAAAGATTAATCAGACTAACAAAGAAATAATATTTAAATGCAGGATTCATAGCACAAAGCAAGCAACTATTATCGAAAAAATTGCTTAATTCTTATATATATATATATATATATATATATATATATATATATATATATATATATGAGTTCTTTGCCCATTATTAATTAATAAATAATTTATTTCTAAGTTTTGTATTGAACTGTTAAAGAATTAAGATCGGTGTCTAAAGTGTGATGTAAAAAAAAGAATTACATTTTAATTTAAATTTATATTAAATTATATTTAATTACATATTTATATTAAAGTCTCATATTAAACATCCATGACATTTCGACAGATACATATATTATATGAGTAGAAATTTTATATGATAGAAGAATTTATTTTCTCTTCTTTCCATTATATTCTGTATAAAAATATACATTAGTAATTAATTAAATATGATACTGATAAAATACTTATGAAAAAAATTAGATATTTAACATAGCGTACTTATAATGCTGGTATTATGCTATGAATCCATCTCATTTATTAGAAAGTAGACTGCAAAGAGAAGTGAGAATGATAAATGTATGTTATACAAATACAGTGTGTTGTAGAGGTGCGAAGAGTATTTAATTAAATAAAATCTAAAATTAGATGAATATATACTTGTCAATGATCGAAGTTTTAACCTATCTTAATATTTACTTTGAATTTTTGTTGAATATGAATGTAAATATATATTCATTAATTAATGTGATTTAATCTAATTAATATGTAAAATAATTGTAAATATTTCTAAATATCATTTTATATCTTTTATATCAATTTATTCTTTTTTATACGAATTTTTATGAACGTACAATTTAAACTCTCATATTGAACATTTTGCAATATTTAAACAAACTTATATTCTTATACAAACATGTATATTCTTTTATTATATAAGAATGTCACATTAAGCAATTTTTTTTTAAATTGTAATATATTTCTTTTTTATTATAATTTTGTTAATTATCTTTAATTAGATATAAAATACAATATATAAAGGCGGATGTATATTCGCATTCACCTTTTGTTTTCTTTTATGAGAAATATTAATATAAAGAAAGATATTTTCTTAAAACAATAATAATAGATACATAATAAATAATAATAATATCTTACAATTTTGCGTACATTATATATGCGTTTCCAAAAAAATTCTAAATCACATATCATATTCGATAACATATTTTTCAATTGCGTAAACTACTTTGCCGCAAAATATAATTAATTTTACTCTTTTTATGTGAAGCACTTTACTGGAATTGAGAGTTTAAGATGTATATATATGTATGTCTATAAAATTATCGTAAATAAGCAATATCACGCAGAAAAAAGTAACTTTTTCTTTACTTATGCACAACTTCAGCTTTTAGTCGTTCTGCGAGAGCCTTTCGTACTTGAAGTATTGAGGGATCTAAAGCTTGTGCTGCTTCTAGTTCCTGCTGTCCTTTCAAAGTCGCTTCGGCAACTACTCTAGCCGAGCTCGGCCGAGTTTTATTCATTTCTAATTGCTGACTTCTGGCTTCCTTTTTTAAAGCTACAAGTTTATCTCGTCTAGCTTTCAAATAGTCTTGCCTCTTTTTAATATCTTCCGCATTTATCTGCATAATAACATATATGTTTATTATTGCATACATTAGTGTTTTAGATCTCTACTTATTTGTTATAGGAACTTGCATATTATGTTTTATCAAAAATTAAGTACTATGTGTGTATTAATATAGTTATAAATTAAAATAAATAAAAAATAATTGCCTCATCTTCGTCGGATTTCTTTTTTGAAATCGGTATTGGTTTTAAGGGCTCGTTCTTCCCAAGTTGATGAAATTTCTCTGACGGTTCTTTCTCAGTGGACGCTGTGGCACGTTCAGTCTCTTCCATAGATTCGTCATCCGAAGTATTCTTGGATGACTTTCTTAATGCTTCTTCCAATAACGCCCTTTCATTGTGATATTCAGCCGCCAAACGTTCGTGTTCGGCAATCAATGTTTTTTCGGGCGATATACTTGCTTCTTCTTCATTCTGATGCTCCAAAACATGTTTACTGTGCACAGATGCATAAGATATAATGATTTAAATGTCTTCGACATGAAAATATGCATGCAAGATCGTTTGTTAAATTTTTATTTTTAAACAGTTTGAATTAAACAGCCTAGACAGCACCAAATCCAAAATCGGCGCATAAGATATCTTTAAAATATGTTTAAGATGTCTTTCGGATATCATATCATAAGATTTCTTAAAGCTGTCTTAACGATTTCTTAATGATATCTTATGCGCCAATTTTGGGCTTGGTGCTATCTGGGAGTTTGATTAAACAGTTTAATTAAAAATAATATAATCTATTGGCTTGTGTGTGTGTATATTATTAATATATATAAAATACGGCATACGTTATCAAGTCCTCCATGACCAATTCGTCGTCGATGAAACCATCTTCGTACATAAGAGAGGCAGGTGTGAGACCATATCTTTGCTCGATCATATTTAACGCTTGCAGTTGAAGTTCCAAGTTTTTCTGTATCATCATTCTTTTGAATATCTCGTATTCATTCGCCGCCCATATTTGTTCAAACAAGTTCTATAAAACATGCTATGATGAAACCATATATATTATAAATTTAAAGAAGAGAAATAAAACAAGAGATTTTTTAATATAAAGCACAGTTGTGTGTAATGTATTACTTATGTATATTATATACTATTATTTACACTTAAGATCTTTATCTATTTTTGTAATTTTTTTTATCAAAAATGCACAAAACTTTTTAAAATTTTGTGAAATAAATACGCAAAAATAAAACACATTATTATATAAATAAGAATATATAATAATCGTACTTGTTGAAATTGTATTGGAATCTTTGTGTCTCTATTAACAGTGCACGCGTATTCAAATTGTTCCGGTGAGATACTCATATCTTCCATAAAACAACCCAGCAGCAAATCGACTAAATTTTTATATTCTTGATATATTTTCCGATACTCTTCGCAATCTTCGGTGTTCGCTTCGAAAACTATAACACATATCAGATAGCGATATAATTATTATAACATCGTGTTTTTTATAAATATTCAGCTGAAAAAGTTTCATATAGTTTTACAAAAGATTACTTTTCCGCGCGCATGCGTATATGTATTAATATAAATATACATACGTGTATTGCAGAGATAATTATATAATAATAATATATTTCAGACGTGAAAAGTATATTATAGATAATTTAAAATATATGTGCGTATCTTTTAAATGCGCAAACAAATTGTATTTAACAGAATATGCGTTTGCTTGTTTTACACATCGAAAAGGGCCTCATAATGCGAAATAATTAATATATATATTAATAAAACGAATAAAGGTCCAAAATTGGTGCATAAGACATATCATTACGAAATCTTTAACCATCTGTAAGAAATCTTATGATATTTCAAAAAGATATCTTATAAAAGCATCTTAAAGATCTCTTATCCACCAATTTTGGACATGGTGCTATCTGGGAAGCGACATTAATATTTTAATTAATTAAATTTCGAAAATTTTCAGCAGAAAAAATTCAAAGTTTTATTTGGAAAAAAGCGAAGATGCTTTCAACAACTGCGCATATTAATATATATATTTATATATATACAAACCGAGGGATTTTTCCTCGATGAAAGTCAGTAAAGGCGACGACCAAATTGGGCCCTGTAGAAATCCAATCAAGGAATCGAACACCCAAGCACTGTCATCTTTGTCATTCATTTTTGCCTAAATTGTCTTTGACGTTCGAACGACGACGATGAGAATTGATACACCTTGTGTCCCTTTCAAGTCGTGTTCGTCCGACAGTATGACTTCTTTTACCTTTTAGTAGTCATAGTTACGAAGGACAAAACATGAGACATTAAATCACATCGGAATAGACTTGCGCCGATATCATTCTTCCGGATCGATGCAGTACGTTTACTCGCGTCTTCAGTTTAGATTACGATATGAATATAGCGATAGATGATACCTGCAATATGCATACAGTGTCATATATTGGCAATTATAAAATATAGAACGTTCGAAAATAAGCAAACTTATCTATTAAACATTGTAAACATTTTATCATTCATATTATGTATATATATTCAATATCAATATGCAAGATTTATTTATATCGAAGCGCGATTGTGTAATTCAAGATAAAATGATCTATACATATAAAATATTTGTAATTTAATTTCATCAAATCGTGATAAAAGATTTTATCGAAAAGAATTATTTAAATTATATTATAATTTATTAAATAATAAAAAAACTTATATATATACGCTCTCGCAGTTTCTACAATACAAAAATAAATATATATGATATAAATATATTCTTCCGCTTGAGATATAAATGTAAAATATAAAAACTGTAAAAAAAGTAAAATTTTCTCGCAAATTTACAATAATGTAAAATACAAGTATATATTCGAATTCGCGGCCATAGACATATTTATTCAGCAAATTTAGAATTTGAAATATAACAATGTAGAAATCTCGTAAGGAATCTAACCTGATATGAATCGAGCGCTAAAAAGCCACATACAATCTCGTAAATACTACAAAACGTTTCCTCGCTTCATAAAAATTCGATTTCTCTGCCGGAAAATTCAGGACGGCGACGCGCCGTCCCGGAGCGCTAGGGAATTTCTGTCCTGACAGTCTGACAGCTGACAGCCGTGGCGCGGCGCGGAGGGGGGGGAGAGAGGTACCGGGCGCGCCGGCAGAGCGAGCGCAGCGCCCTCGCGGCGCGCGCAAACCGCGGATTGTCAGCGTCCGCCTTGGCGGCGGCAGCAGAGTCAACATCCGGCGACGCAGAGATGCGCACGTTTCGGCGCTCGGGAGAAGGACGCCGCGATCGTGATTTCGGAACATGAGAGCGAGATGAATGTTCGTGACACGAGGAGCTGAGAGCCTTGCGAGGAGCGTTCGGGACAAAACACTCCGCGAGGGCGATTCAAAAATCCTCCTGCCCGCGTCCCTTTCCTTCCGGCCGTCATCATCATCATCATCATCATCATCGTCGTCGTGTTGTCGTCGATCAGCCGGACGGTCGCGCCGGTGCGCCGAGCGCTGCGCGTTCCTCGCGAGTGTTGCTGCCTCTCGCCGTCGTTGACATCGAGGGAGAGAGTCGCTGCTGCACAGCTAGTCCCGTTGGAGGGCGAGTTTCGCGCGAGGGCGACTCCGGAGGAAACGAGGATAATAAAAAGAAGCCGCCTACGATCCGCCCGGCGCGGCGGGATCCCCTGGCTGACGTCGCGCCGAGGGAAGGAGTCTTCGGGATTCATCCGAAACAGCGGGCCGGTCCTTCCCCGCCTTCCTCCACTCTCCTCCGCCTCCCTCCACCGACGACCCGGCGAAGCTGAGCTTGTCGCGCGAGACGACAGCAAACACGGCGCGGACACATCGGGCACGAGGTACATCGCAGCCTCCTCTCTCGCTGCCGAATTAGAAGAGAGAGAGAGAGAGAAAGAGGGAGAGATAAAGGTGTTCTGAAAGGGAGGGAGAGACTCGTAGACGTCGAACGTACGTCGTCCCCGAGCTCTTCTCGACGCTTGTGTCGAGCCGGAATCTCGTCTTTCCCGTGAAGAGGGAGAGAGAGAGAACGAACGCGGTATTCGATCTGAAAGAGAGAGAGGGAGGGAGAGAGAGAGAGAGAGAGGACAAATTCGCGTGCTCGCCCGCATCGGAGAGAAATCAATTTTGGGCTCGTTGAACCCCGGCTAGCGCGCTAGGAGATAACAAACGGGATGATCCTGAGGAATATTTTTCTTTTCCGATCTCTCTACTTCTCTCGTCCGAACGGGGAGCTTTTCGCGAACTCCCAAGACGACGCGATGCCTCTCCTTCGACCGGGCTCTTCGCGTTTTTTATGTTCCACGACGCCGTTTAAAAATATATACAACGCGTATAAATCTTTGTGTAACGAGAGAGATATTGATCTGCGATCAAACGCGAATGTTTATGTTTTTGCTGGATAAAGAGAGTGTGAAAGGGGGCGAGATCGTGTTTGTCGATTGAAATTCTTTGTTTTACGATACTACCTTGTCAGGCACACATCAGCGAAACATTAGCGCGAGATAATCGTTTTTCCCTCGGCTCTTTATCTGATTACATAGTGCATTTATTAATGTTTTATGCCGCATTTTTCAAAGTTGTTAACCATGATTTCAATTTCACCTGCAAAACAATGAGATTATTCATCTGCCCACTCTGTTTATTTATTTGTACATGTGATGCAGATTTACATGAGATGTTACATGCATTTTATTAATATAATTTTATTTACTGCTTTTTTTCTTTCGTTTTAAGCATCATAGAGACATTAATTGTCAAAATGCATAATTAATTCTTTTATAAAAATATCTTATAAAGTACAACTAAAAAGAGAAATTATATACATATTTAATGTATCTCTATTGTTATGCTTGGTAGTTATTTTGGGATTTATGATGTATGTTTGTCCTCTCACTTCATATCATTAAATTAATTAAGCAGAGTTTTATGTATACATGATAATTTACATATATTTTTCTTTTTTGCTATAGAATCATGTCGTCAGGAGCAGGGTCCAGTGGAACTGGACGAGGACGTGGTTCCTCCTTGGCAGACAATAAACCAGAAAGTAAAGAAGCTAAGCCAAATCCAAAGATGTCGAAAGCTTTAGGAACTTCCGCTAAAAGGTGCAACATATTTTTGTCTCGCACAATGTAGTAGTTACATTGTTAATATTATAGTAATTGTTAGCTACTCTAAACATATTTAATATTTTTGTCAGGATACAAAAAGAATTGGCAGAAATCACGTTAGATCCACCTCCCAATTGCAGGTATTATTAACTGCTATTATTGTTAATTATGCGTAGCAAAATAAAAGTTTAAAATTACACTTAAAATATTTTACTTTATAAGAATAATATATAGTGAAATAATTAAAATAAATTTTATTTTACAGTGCAGGGCCAAAAGGAGATAATTTATATGAGTGGGTCTCTACCATATTAGGTCCTCCAGGTTCCGTTTATGAGGGTGGTGTCTTCTTTCTTGATATACATTTCTCACCAGAATATCCCTTTAAACCTCCCAAGGTAAATTGTTTTATTAATTCTGCATTACATATGACACAAATGTTATATGTCACTTATATAAAATTGCATAATGAGCAATGAAAAGAAAATTAATAAAAGTTATAAATGTCATGTAAAATACTGATTTTTAACTTTTTAAATATTTACATATTACGTATGACAATAAAATTTACGGTTTTTAATTATTTTATTTATTCTAGTGTACACTATATAACACTGTACATGATTATATACATACTGTTATGAATAAAAATGTATTTTCCTTTAGGTTACATTCCGAACACGCATCTACCACTGCAATATCAATAGTCAAGGAGTTATCTGTTTGGATATATTAAAGGACAATTGGTCTCCTGCGCTGACAATTTCAAAGGTCTTACTGTCGATATGTTCCCTCTTAACAGACTGCAATCCAGGTGAGTATTGTAATAAATTATCTAATAAAATTCATTCACAAATTCAGTGTACGATGTATACATTACAAATAATGAATATATTTATAGTTTGTTTGTTTTCAAGATTATATTTTATATAAAGATATTGCGCGCGTATATTTTCCTTTATATATAATTATTATATAGGTCTTGTTTAATTTTATTTTACAGCTGATCCATTGGTGGGTAGTATAGCCACACAATACCTACAAAATAGAGAAGAACATGATCGCATAGCACGGCTTTGGACTAAGCGCTATGCCACATGAGCATGTTCTTAATTCATATTAAACTCCTATTAGTCTCATGCCAATCATGATTTATGATCGCTACTGCTCTCATACAACTTGTCTCATTTGTAGCCCATATACATCCTTATCTATGATCATGTTGGTCAGAAAACACAGTGAGCAAAAGGCCGTTTGAGATCAGCTCAAACATGATTGTGATGTGCTTTTATGTTGAGTATGTAATGTGCCTAAGATGAATGAATGTGCATGCAAGTGTGTTTAAACGATGTGTTAGGGCATAACGAGACAGGAGTTTTTCACTTAAAAGTTACAATGAGATAGTATTTAAATGGATTGTATTGTGTATCAACAATACTACCCACAATGCTGCTAATGTTTTTAGATTAGGAGATAACATGAACAATATTAATAATCTAAAGTGTAAGTAATTAAGCATATAGAGATAATATAAGATATCAATTAAAGGGCCATTTTTCCATAATTGAATTCATATTTTTATATTGATCTATTCAATTTAAATTATTGCGTTTATGCGTATGTCTTTTACCTAACTCAAACTATAAACTAGTAGCGTATATAATTTTGCCGTACAAACTATTACTGGCATATACAATTTTGTGTTCATAATGTTACAGCAATGTGCAACGTTCTGCATGAAGCAGACGCAAATGATGCTTATGCTATTAGATATAATTCGATTACATGGGCCCATCCGTAATAATGTAATTGTAAATAAATTTACTGTATACTTATATGCTGATATATTCAAAAAAAAGCTTGTAATTCTGACCTGAATTTATATTCTGTTTTCTATACATGTATATGATTGAAATTTTTGTTGGCGATTGCACCAATCACCCTCGTTTAGTAATTCTGAACGTTTTTTAATTAGCAATTTGTTATCATCTTTTAAAAATCATAATTATTTTTAATTATGTAGGTAGAGAAAGAGAGAAAATTTACACACGCGCGACTGGCGCTAACCGATGTTGGTGCAATTTGCGTGTTCTTTAGACATTTCGTATTGTTTAATTGTGTTTTAAAGAATACTTACATATCAATTTTGTTGCATATTCGGAACATCTAGAAGTCGGAGCATATTAAGTAGTTTCGTTGCCTCTATCTAAAATGTTAGATATATATATGAACTGAGTGTGTCTTAAATAATTTCTTATAATTTTTGATATTATATGAGAATTTCACAAAGTGATTAAAATCACTTTGTACATATCTACTCTAAAATATAAATAATTGCTAAAAAAATATTGGATAGTGAGTGTAATTATATAATGATGACGAAGCAAAGAGATGGGAGAAGAGAGTTTACTTGACAAGTACTAACATTGTACAGTTAATTATATAAAGTAAACACGCTTTGCATCCTTTTCGTCACGAAATTTTCGAGGAATGTAAATATCACGTGTGCGGAATATGCGATTTTCGCGTAAGTTCCTATATTAAAATTAAATATTCTTTGATTTTAATTTAATCTAAAATCCTCGGCAACTTTATATTTTATAAGCTAGAATATGTGTGTGCAGTTTCAATACTATATAAATTAAACTGGGATAAGTCAATCCTTCGGGTTTGTAAATATAGATCATTATATATAAAATAGTACATGTATGTATACATGCCCACACGTGCATTTGCGAAAAATTACTGAAATACTAACAAAACATATAATAGATCTCGTTATATCTAAATGTCATATATACATTAAACGTAGTCACATAAAACGAAAACACGCTATATCTGAATCTGATTTAAAAATTATAGAATATATTAAATTTTCTTGTAAAAAAAAAGTGAATATAGAAAGGAAAAACCGTCATTTATTTACGAGATTTCAATTATCTAAAAACGCCTTTATTCGCATGTATAAAAAAAGAACAAGTGTAAGAAAATCAGTCTTACATATATTGATAAATAATGATCTTTTAACTATAATGAACTATAACGAACGAAATACAATTTATTATACGCTGACTGAGTATAGTTATTATCTCACCTGCCCTTATTTTATTTCTTAAAAGTATAAAAGCTCCAATTCATTTTATATAAATTTTACAAGGTTTGTGTTTAACATATCAACTTGAAAGGTTCATAAAAGAGAAATGGAGAAAAGGATCTTAATTGAAAGTGCTGCAAATAGTGTCATTAAATTTATTAGTATACATAAAAGCTAGATGAATATGTGCTAAGGACATGTTGGCTCCTATAAAATATCGTAAATTAGTTTTATTGTAATAACAAAATTACGTTTATATTACTTTAACGACATTGTGACTAATAATTTACGTTCACAGTAAAAGTAACATAAGCAGCCAAAATATAAAATTTAGTACAAAGTTATTTGTGTAATTGTGTACGTGTGTGTGTGTATATATATGTATATATAATATGTATATATTTATATGTAAAATACCAATGTTAGTTAATACTGATTACAATAATCTTCATCAGTCTTTTGCGTTGCCTGGTAATTAATACATACAAGTGTCTACAATTTTTAATAAAACCTCTGACACAAACAGATGCTTTTATACAATCAAAAGGAGCAAACTTTGGATATAAGTGCTAATTTCGAGGCTGTATTGCGCATGATTTGTAGATAATATCATTGAAATGCTTTCTAATCTCTATTAACTTATAACATAAACGTTACTATATGTTAGGCACACTTTAATATCTCATAGCTATTATTTCTATATGTTTCTGCAACTATATATGATTATCCTACGGACGTTCATATCTATTTCTGAGATCTTGTGCATTTGCCATTGTGCATGTGTGTGGGTGTGTATGTGTACCAATGGTAAATTTAAATTATCTCAACATTATATTGTAAAATAGAGTAAATATATCGATACACTCTGTTCTTATACATATAAATTCTTTGTGATAATTATATATGTTCTTTATCTTTTTAGACATATATATTAATGTTCGATATACATATGTCCAAAGGAATGTTAAAATTTTTATGCATTGTATACACAAGACTACAGAAACTTACATAACTCAATTTGAATTGTGGTACTTGAATTCGTGAAATCGACAAGACGCAGTGAAATTTCTAATTTTTTTCTCTCATTTGTTGTATATATTAATATATATATATAAATCTAAAAAAACTAGACATTTTTCTATGTAGTAAAACACACGTAATATTTGATGGCACCCAATTAGTTTCAATTTTAATAATTATATTTTAAGAAATGCTTTTCCTTCAAATGGAAGCAAGTGAATATTAATGCATTATATAATAGCTTTATTTTCATTTAATTCCTTTTCCAATATCAAAAGCTCTTTTAATATTGGGAAAAAGAATTCTATGAATACATAAAGTTTAAGAAAGTCTTTTCGTAAGTCTGACATATCACATAATAGTTCTCCATCCGTTATTTCTTTTTCGAAATAACTTGTTCCTGAATAAAAATAATCGATCTTGATCTTTTTACTTTGGTCCCAAATATGAATGAACTTAGTATTGAATATGCACAATATTTTTCTGGCAATAGACTGTCAAGAGTATATATAATATAATATAATCAAGTAAAAGAAAATCAATATCAGGGTTCACTGACATTGTAAGCTAAATTATTGACAGAATAAAGCTAGAGCTAGAGCTTCCATTCAATATTTCATTTAAATCGAGCTAGATATCAAGGTACTAATTTTGTTACATTGTTGGTACATAATGTACAGAATTTTTTGTGTACATCCGATATTATATAATGATACTATATACATGCTTGTATGTATATATATATATATATATTTATATTTCACGGGGCACCGTCGATTACGAATAAGAGTACTCTACTTCTGTTTTTGTTCGCAGAACACAGAAAATCATTATATAAATTTATATCAAGATTACTACAACATCGTATATATTATAAGTATTAGAGACTGTACTTTTTTTCGTCGATGAGGAGGCGTGAAAAACAAATGCAAAGACTTGCGCGCATATACTCAATATAATGTACGCTATTTTATGGGAGTATTAAATTATCAGAACACAACAATTTGTTTGCAATTAATTGCTACATAATTTGTCTCTATTCTGCACTCTGAGGAAGATTATGCAGAAATAGAGCGCATGATCTTTTTTTCGTTTTTTTTCTAAATTAAGTCTGACAAAAAATTAAGAGGAATGATGGCTACATTGAATGTTTTACCTCCTATAATGATACAAATTGTATATAATGCGCAAAAGATTACAAACTTCATGTATAAACATATCACATGAAAAAATAGATGTCAGATATTATATCATGGCACATCATTTAACAGGCACCTCGTCATACATGTGCCAAAAATTGATCAACGGTCTATTGATATAATCTCTGTAAACGGGATCGTATACATTTTCGACTAGTTTTCTTTTTTTTCTCTTTTCATTGCTTCTTATATATGATATATAATTTTTGGCAGATATTGGCAGTAATTTGATATTAAATTTAATAGAAAAATGTTAATATCCAAGGTGTAGCACTTTTCCTTTTTTTCATAAGAAGCAAGCAAAAGTAGAGATGCTAATTTGCATTCTCTTTACAAAAGTATGTATATGTAATTTCACGTGCATTACATACTGAAGCATCGTTAACTTATCACTGTACACTAAATACTTGTGACATCATTCCTCTTTGGATATATATATATTTATTTGTAAGCACAATAAGAATGATTACGGTTGTAATGAATCTACAAGTATTTTTCAACCAATGTATGATGAACAATATTATGAAAAATGCCTCCTAATTGATGGCAGATCAGTGTGCTGTGGTTTCGCTGCAAGTAAAAATATTACATCACTAGGCATAAACATAAAATATTTGAAAAACATCTAGTGTTACGGCATATTAAGCGATATATATATATATGTATAATATAAAAAACGAAAAATAAAAAATAATTTGAGTTTTTGTCATATTATTATTAAAATTTGTAAACTTTAATAATAACAAGCTTTTATGGCCAACATTGGCTTGACAAACGACATTTTAGATTATCTACGATAATTAAATTGAAACAATTCTATTGCTGTTCAACTGAGTATATAAGTGTGATTTTGTGTTAAAATAATTATGAATTTATTACGCTTTGCTATAATTTATATGTATAACATGAACAACTATTACTTTTTTGTCTATTTCTATACACTTATACATCTCATAAGACATTTTTCATGATTATAACACTATGTAAACTTTACATTGTGATAAATAACAAAACATGTCAAGTTAGATATATAATATTTCTTGTTTGTATTGATTCGTAGCATGTGTAGTTATGTGCAATTGCAAACTGAGGCTAATACTTTCCTTTACTTCCTTTAATTTGTTAAATACGGAAGTTTTTCATAAATCTAGATAGTATACCATTTAGCCATAAATTAAAAGTAAAAAAAAAAAGAAAAAAGGAACCATTATATTGCGCAATGACACATGTTACTTCCAATCACAGTTTCTTTGCACATTTCACATTTTCACAAGTATAGAATTTTTTTTAACTGGTTGAGTAATAATTTTCTTAAAATGGATTATATAACATGCAATATATAAAAGAAAATGCCCTTCATCATACACCGTTAGGTTAATGCTGAGAAAGTATCCACATGTACCTTAGTACTTTATTTTACATCTTGAAATATCAAATTAGTTGGCTTTATTTCAATATTTTGTAAATTTTTTATTTGTCAAAAAGGACAATTTTTTAATTTAATAATTTTCTTAATATTAAGTAGAGTCTATTAAAAATGAATATATATTATAACGATAGTAAATATAGCAACAAGTTTGCATCTGTTTATTATCAAAATAGCAGTGATTTTTACTTATCTGCATCACACTATGTTAAGTGCAGCATTTATGCTTTCATGGAAATATACTCAAATATGCTCTAGTAAGAGCATATATAATATCGATCCAAAAACAAAATAAAGTACTAAGATATATGGATACTCTTAAAACTTGAAAATGGTATTGCTTAGTATTATAGCAGAGCCTCGACAACAGTATCAATATATCATTACATCATGCGCGAAATATTATAAAGCAAAAAATATATAGGAACGACAAAGATACACTTTTACCAACAAGCTGAACAATTACTCACATGAAGCAGACATTAAATAAAAAGAAGCTTTTAAATACATTTGATAGTGATTTATATAATTTTATTATCGATATTACGGTTTTCGTGGCTCAACTATAACAATATCACAATGACACTAAACGAATTAGATATACATTTATAAAAAAAAAATGTAGTATGTCTCTTCGAGAGTAACAAATAATCCGTTATCATTAATATACAAAGTTGTTTTCGACAGCTTATTGTAAAAACATACAAAACATACGTGTGTGATGTTTTACGCCTGATAGATAAGGCAAGGCCCAAATACCAAAATAGCAGTGAGATTCTTTGGAGATCTTTAAATCGTTTTGCCTATCACGCACTTTTTAATAAAAAGTAATTACAAACTGCTCCTTTGGCAGTGTGTTAAGAGTAGAAGCAATAAAGGAAAGAAAATATTTTATGTATAATTGTGCATGGTTAAATGATAACAAAATAAGGAAAAAAAATAGTGACAGCTTGTGTAATAGACCAGGTTTTATACAAGTGCATTTTAGGCTTGCAATGAAAATTTGTGTCTATCAGCTTACACAGTCTCATACTCGCGACGAATTGAGCGAGCCAGACAGCACGCAAAGATTACTCCAATCAACTGAAAAAAGAAGAAAATAATATTATAAATTATTATTAAAAAAATTATTTTTAGAAATTATTTTCTTTTATTAAACTTTATTCATGATTATCACGTATGACATGGTAGTACTATTATGTATCTAACATTATTAATGGCATTAATAATGTTGTAACGAATATCTAAATCTTTCTTTTATTAATGTGTATATGTCTGGTTATAATTAAATTACAATTATTCTTTTAATGTAATTTACGATTAAATATTTTCATTTAGAACTTACTTGTATAAGGGCTACCCCTATGCCCACTCCTCCTAGGATCATAGCGTTATTTTCTATAGCAGATTGCAATTTCATCATGCAGCCGTCACCTTGAATGGAAATCGAATTTATATCGCATTTGCTCTGAGTAGGAACTTCCTTGCAGCAGGAGTCGGGAACGATGGCATGGTCTACGTAATTAATTTTGGGCCAATCTGCAGGACCATTCATGCCGCAGCATTGTAACTGGAATCATATTGTTTTCACAATTATTACGAGTTTTAAATAATGCTAATGCATTAACAAAAGTAATATAAAATTCTAGCAATATAAATTTCTAGCAAGCAAGAATTTCCTATTGATACTAATCATAATGCCATTTTTTACAGCAATTAAAAAAGAGTTGAATGTAAGATTGTATTATATTTATGAATAACAAATCATTTAATGAACTCACATCGTGTTGCATGATGTCCCATGAACGACGAATATCGTCATTAATATTGTACTGTCGCATAGTGCCATTCAGACGGTTTTCTAACATGTTAGCAACTTCTCCTCTCATCATGTAACCTGTGATTCCAGCTCCCAATTCCAGAGCGAATATCAGCAGCAGCAAAACTGAGAACTGCACAAATTAAAATTATTACATAAATATTGATGGAATTTATCTTGTTGTTAGCAAATTCTTATATGTATATAAAATGTAAGCTTTTTTAAAATTATTTTTCTTTAAATTTAATTATATCTCTTTATATATAAAGATTAGTCACCTATTATAAAAATGTTTAAAAGAAATATGTTTGCAATTTAAAATTGATACTTTTTTAGAAATAAATTTTGAATCTTGTAATAGAAAAGCATCGAATTAATTTATAAAGAATTTAATAGATATAAGTGAAATCTGATGTATATGTGACTGTAATAGGACAAGTAAATTTGTAGTATTTTTAAACTCATACCGTAATTATCATGCAATGATTTTCCTTCACGGCGCCGCAGCATCCAAAGAATGATACAAGGAAGACTATGACACCGACTATTATCATTAAGACTGGTGCTGCAAAGAACCAACTATCCACAAAGTTGCTGTACCCATTGTAAACAACCAGAATCACTCCACCCACCGAAATAAATACGATACCGGTGATCTGAAATAATACACAAAATATTCAATATGTTTTATCTTATATATATATATATATATATATATATATATATATATATACTAAATAATGACGTAAATATATAATAATGATAATATTGCATTACTTTTTTCTCTGACATGTTATATAGTAACTTTAGTTTACTTTCACCATTATATGCGCTATTGAAGCGAAATCTTTCATTAGAATCACTATTAAACATGTAATTTATGTGAAAAATTTTATGTAATATAATATTTGATAAATAAATATCAACCATCACACAATGTATCATTCAGGAAAGTTATTGTGCAGTCATCATACTTGAAATTATCTATCTCTAAAAGACTCAAGACAGCTTCCTGTTTAAGATATACTTTTCAATGTAAAATAAGTTGTAATCGATACTTTTAATTAGGTCAGACATTTAATACTTTTCTACTGAGATAAGTTTGATTTTTAATGGAAAGCGCGATCGCGTAAGAGTCACATTTACAAATAAGGAAGTAGAACTTTCATAATTACGCCAAATAAATATAACGAGACAGTTCTTGTTGGATTACGAAAGCGATGACTTGGATCGAGAATCAAAATAAATGTTATTTTTGTACAAAAATGTACGAGGATAAAAATTTAAATTACGTACATATATGCAAGATTTTTTATTATTTATTATAAAAAAAAATCGATTACGCAGATTGAAAATCAGCATGATACAGTAAAACTAAAATTACTATAACATATCAGAATTAGTTTGAGTTGTACATTTTATCTATATACTTATACATAATATAAAAAATAAAATTGTAATATTACATATCGTACAAAGAAGTGAATTGCGTCCAAGGCAACTTAACAAACTCGATTATTCCAAACTATTGGCGCATATAAATGTGCGATGCGTATAAATAATTTTTCTAAAACCCTGCGAGCGTGTGTGCGACTTTCTCGGTCTATTGTAAGTTTCGTATACATATATATATATATATCATCGTCGCCGGAAGGTCGTCGGTTTTATCAAAGCCGCGACCATCGGAATTGGTTGGCGTCCTGTCGGCTGGATGGATCTGGCTAAATAAAGACATCCAGGCACGAGCCAGCGCAATCGCCGACATTTTATGGTCGGAGGGGAAAAAAGGCGCGACTGCGACATCGTTTGTAGGTTGTAGGCAAAGCCGCGTAGCCGCTCGAGAGAGTATAGACCTCTCCCCTTCGCGCGAGAGCCTATGATTTTACCTCTACGTGTCTCACCTACGGCTTACCTACGTTTTACGCGTCTCCGAGGCTACGCGAAACCGAATCCGACCGGTCGATTCTCGCTCGCCCTCGAGCGAAGCCTAGATAGCCCGACTCGAGTCGAGACTCGTCGTACTCGTCGCTAACAGGTGACTTTATTAGACGAACTTTATGTATGGATTTACATTTGAAAAGTTTCAACGCAACGAGGACGCGCGCCAACGACGACGACGACGACGACGACGACGCGGCGACGATGACGATGACGATCTATATGGGACGTCCCAGAAAACAAAGAGAAGAGTAGAGCAGAGCGTTTTGTTTCTTCTAGAAAATTTACCATCCACTTTTGTTCTTCAACATCGTTGAAAATATATAGCGAGCTCTTTGTCAAATTAATCTTTAAAAAGGCGAATTATAATTGTTCAAAAATTTACCATTTACCTTTGTTCTTCAACATCGTTGAAAATATATAGCGAGCTCTTCGTCAAATCAATCTTTAAAAAAGCGAATTATTGTAATTGTTCAATTTCGAGCAAATTCACCTGGGATTTTATTCAAAGGCTTGATTATTCAAATGTCAAAAATATTGAAACTCGATTTGATTGAAGGAAGCGATTTTTTTTGACATTTTTATGGCGACAGGACTCCAAGCTTTAGAAAAATTAATCTTTAAAGAAGCGAATTATTACAGTTATTCAATTTAGAACAAATTCACCTGGGATTTTATTCGAAGGCTTGATTATTCAAATGTCAAGTGTTGAAACTCGATTTGATTGAAGGAAGCGACTTTTTTCTTGACATTTTTATGGCAACAGGACTCCAAGCTTTAGAAAAATTAATCTTTAAAGAAGCGAATTATTACAGCCATTCAATTTAGAACAAATTCACCTGGGATTTTATTCGAAGGCTTGATTATTAAAATGTCAAGTGTTGAAACTCGATTTGATTGAGGGAAGCGATTTTTTTGACATTTCTTCATTAAAGGCGACAGGACTCCACAAGTTTTGGACAAATTCTAAATTTCGCAGGGAAAAATTATACGTCGAATTCGTACGTTTTCTGGTACGTCCCGTAATAAAATAGTCTCGCAACGCTGGTATTTCACGCTGGACGGATCATTAAACCTGCAATAAGGGACGCGCGACAGAGATACGCCCGTCTCGTCGCGACATCCTTTGGGGTTGTTTTTGTGTCCTAGATCCTTCCGCGACAGTCTGTATGGCGGCGATGTTTTATCTTTCGCGAGAAACGTAATAAGCAATTTTATCATCGGTGAAACTTTTCTAAATAAATTCTTCCGTCAATGTGAATTAACGTCATTCTCTCGTTTTATTACAGATGAAAGCCAAGAAAATCTAGTGTCGAGTCAGTTCTTTGTCAAATCTGTCACCGAAATTCCTCGTATCTCCTAATTAAATATTCGTTCATTTTTATTATCATTTTTTATTATCAATTTTTATTTATCGATATATTGAGCTTATTGTAATATTTCTTATAGAAAATATTTTTTCGTCGGATACAAAAAAATCGAATTAATTAAATTGCACCGTACTCGAAATTTCGGAAATCGCGAACATTCGACAGCTTTTAATATAATACGATTTTCTACATATTTCAGGTTTTAATGGTGTGTCGGTTGTGTTGGACAGGCGAACTCTAGATTACGTTAAACGTTGAGGGTATCGATCGCCTTCATCCATAACACTTACACCGAGCTTCTGGAACATAAGTACAAAGTTTCCCTCGAGCTGATACCCTCGTACCAGTATCATTTATTCAGAAACCCTGTACAGTTTCGGTCACGCCATATATACAATATCGATTAAGTTATTATTTATCATTACGGATTATCAGTATTAGATGAAATATAAATCAATAAACCGGCATTTTTAATTTTTTTTAAATGTAAAATACGCGAAAATAATAGGAAAAGAGAATAATATCTCTTGTATTATATTACATATATTGCAAATGCATCATGTATCTATGTAACACGCCCAAGATTTCGCCATACGTCAATATTATCGGAAAATTGTATTACCAGAGACGCAAATCGCGACGATGAACACAAACATCTGTCATCTGATACAATCGATAATGTAATACTATAATATCTGGAAATACGATGCATCTATCAATTTTTAAAATATACGACTCGCAATAAAGAGAGATATTTACAGAGATACATACTCCAAGTAATATAAAATGTCAAAATAAATGGTCAAAATGTCATATAACGGAGGAAGGAAAAAATGTCATTTTCCAGATTCCTGTGCGAAACCGAGTGATTCATCGCTCGGCAATGATTTCGACGCCGAGATAAGGCATCGAGGGATCAACGATCCCCAGATGCTGCTCCAGGCTTGACCGATATACACGCAACAAAAGCCCGCCCAACGCGACGCGACGACGAGACGCCGAGAATAGCGGCTCGACTAGAGAGAGTAAAGAACGCGACGTGCACCTCGTCGTCGTCGGTTTCCTCGTACATGAAACCGTTAATCACAGTGTAGTATAGTACTCACCGCGAATATCAGGTTGAAGAGAAACAGCAGGTATTTCACACAAGTCATACCGCCGGACACCATTTTCGTAACTTCTCACTGTATGCGAACTTGTTCCGAGAAAAACACTAAATACGTCTGCGAGTATTACGCTTTTTTTATTACCGAGTATTACGCGGAAGCGGGACGCTGCCTCTCTCTTTCTTTCTCTACTACGTAATCTGCCCTTCTCTCCTTTCTCGATATCCTATAACGGAACCGTGCTCTCGCGATGCTCGCGCTCCGACTGACCGCCGTCGAATGCGGCGGACGGCGTATTTTTGTTGTTGCGCGGTTTACGCTCGAGCTGCGCGCGCATCCGCCCCGACGATGTCGGCCAGGGCCGTGTCCCTGCTCCGAGAAAATAGGGCGATTTGCATGTTCCATTGGGCGCGACCGGAAAGGACGAGACAATCGTGAAAGGGGAGCGCTTACCATTTTTTTATTAGTATTCTTTTATGTCATCGTACTATATTCATTAATTATATCGTGGCAAATACATAATATATTTTAATTTTTAATTGTCATTTATTATTTCAGATAAATTAATAAAGTGAAATTTTATTAAAATTATTATTTCTATATTAATGATTTATAATATATTATTTTTAATTATATATCTATTTATATATTAATTATATATATATGTATATATATATATATATATTATATATAAATACATATATAATTAAAAATGATATATATATATATTATATTATAAATCATTAATATAGAAATAATAATTTCACTTTATTAATTTATCTGAAATAATCGTCGTTATATATATATATATATATATATATATATATATATATATGTTGTGTATGTACATATAAATATATATTATACATCTATATTTAGCAAAACTATAAAAGAATCGATATAACAAACAGAGGATTTCAACCACAGAAATCAATAACACAGATAGGATATCTTATTGCATGAAATAACAGATGACTAGAAAAAAATACGATAATGTATTCTAGAGATTTTTGTTCTTTGAAAAATTTCTAGTCTTTTTCGAGGAAACATTAATAATAAATATTTTGTAGATGTCTTTCGCCGGAAATGCGTTTAACTTCCGGAGATGACTGTTACGAAAGATGTTCTCCGTTTATGTCTCTGAAAATTGGTATTCGCATCTCGTAGCGCGTCAACGTGACGTTCATCGATGACGGACGCGTCACCCGAGTGTGTTTACGAGCCTGTGCGGTGCACCTTCGTCCGACACGCAACACAACGCAACGCAACTCAACGCAACGGCGTTGCGTTTGGAACGATGGTGTCATGGCGGGCTTAACAGTAGTCGACAATTCCACGTAACATTGCGTATCCATATTTTATGCATACGTCTATCTTCCCCGTCCTCGATCCGCGAATATCAAACAACGAAACTTGCACGTGCAGTTGTAGGTATACGCGAAAGATCCATTGATTCAACAATATATATTAAAGTCGAGACAACTAAATCCAATAATTTTCACGACTGTCGGCACTACGAATTTGAAAATATCTACATCAGGTGCGTTTAAACTAGGTTTATTTCTTTATTATTATTGAGAATCTTATTAATGTACTATTTGCTTTTACTCTTCCTTTACTCGAGGAGAATGTATATATTTAATAACCGTGTATCGATAGATCGAAAATAGATAGATGAAACGACTGCGATAAATCGATTTGTATTTTCGACTGCAATTTATCAAATTGACAATTGGCGACTCGCCAAGTTTGTTTTATTTATCGAGATAATTAATTATGCAGGCTGTATATCGATTTCAAATATAGTATTGTTATAAAGAATGACTCAGACCGACAGAGAGACAGAGAAAGAGAGAGAGACGATGAAAGAGAATTAAATGAATGCATTAATACGAAAAAAGGTAGTGCAATGAACGGAGAGAATCGTAACGCCTACGTCGTGAATTACGATGCTGATATGCTTCAATATACTATTCTCTGTCGACGTCTATTAATATACACATCACAGACGCGCGTTTTTCAGGTCTACGACTCCGTCGAGGAGGAGTATATATTTCGTGAAAACGACGACGACTGTTTTGACAAAACAGACTCCATCAACGCCTGACGAAATTAATGTCGCGACATCCAACGCAATTTCACGCCCGCTCGTGTTTTCTCGCGTTTTCCTCTATAATTAATAATATTTACTCTAGGATGACTAGGTCTCTCGTGCGTGCGAAAATACAAGCGGGAAAAAGTCTATTTCACGCAATTTTTAACTCGTAATACAATTTGTTTTACATCAAGTATATCGTCTCTTTTAATTAATATTCATCTTACTTTAATTAAATTGCATGTTATTAAATGTACATACTCTCTAAAAAATTTTTCAATTGCAATGAAATCTCAATTGCAGTTTAAAAAGAGATAAAACTGATATTTACATATCTTTTTATCACTTATTATCAGTTATTTTATCAAATTGTTTCATTATCAATTATTTGTAAAATAATTTGTGAAATAATTGATAATGAAACAACAATATAAACAGCATAAACATGCATGTCATTTATTAATTAAAATTGAGCGAGCATTAAATTAAATGGAGAAAAAGCGAGATACAAATATTATTTACAGCAACATTCATTGATTTTACAATTAGTTCTAAGAGAGAATAATGAAATAATTAATTTAACTTCTTGTATTATGAATATAAAATTAGGGTAACTAGAAATATATTAAAAATTGAAAATGACACGATCTCAAAAATATTTCATATCTCAAAAAAATTATGATGATCTTTTCTTATACATTTATACTATTCGAATATGATTAACATACACATAAAATATTTAAAAATGACACCCATTTTATTGGTTAATTTTTTAATCTTCATTTGCATTCTTGATATTATTCGCGTTAAAATGCTTTATATCAGTTTTTCCCATCAAGAAGGGAATTAAGTCTTGACATTTACCCTAAATGTATTCATCGATTTTCTAAATATAATAATAATACCCGTATATGTATATGTATAACGTAATGTTTATGTTAAATAGTTGAGAAATAAAGACTTTGTTGGCCGCATTGGAAGCACTTTGCGCTCGTGTAAAAATATGTACAATATTTAACTGCGGCATCGTAAACTTTATAATAACCCTACGTACAGTAATAACTCATTACGCTTACATTTACACAGAAATATAACGCCGAGAGCTATATAATCGTCACGCTTATTGTTGCTCTTTTGTCTTCGTAAATAAACAGTTTTATATAACTAATTTAAATAGACGAGAGAGAGAGAGAGAGAAAGAGAACGAGGAAGTTAATGAAATGAGCACAATTACTCATTCTCTTTTCACCATATTCGCTTTTAGGATAATTGTGGATAAACATGCTACAGAACGGAACGTGACTGCGATGAACGAAACGCGTGGCCCCGATGTAGCAAGACGCAATAAGGCTATTAGCATAAATTGGACGGCGCGAAATCGACCTCTCTTCGCGTTCTTCGTCAAGAATGGCTCCGGTTTACGCTACGTTTTTGCGTGAACGTTGACCACGTGCGCGCACCGAACGTATATATCGTATATGTATATACAGTATACGACGCTCAGGGAGAATTCTCCGCGATGTCGGCCACGTCAGACCGTACACAACCCTCGGCCAATGTAGCTAAATATATATATGAATATAAAATGTGCCCGGCCCCGGAGCATGCGTGCTCGAGTACGCCTCAGGGCCACATCGGCCTCGTCCGAGCGCGATACATCGTAGTTAAGTCAACCCCTCGGGAATAGGAAAATTGGAAAATTAATTCCTCCGAATCCTTCTACTTTCCTGCCTCACAGTTTTACATATTCTTTACACGCAATTACATTCGAAGACAAATTAATTTATGTATCATTTTTACCAGTTGGACGGATGCAAAACGGAGTACAAAAGAATTTAATATATGTAATGTAAACTCATATGAAACACAAACGCACCCGTTAAATACTTAATGCTTTATTATCGAGAAATGTTTAAGGATATTAAACTAATTTGATTCTGATATCGTATATTGCTCAGTTTTTATCATTGTTTTTAAAACTTTTTCATTTTAATCATTCACGCACATATTTGTAAAACTTGTATTTTTATTTTTAGCGCAATTTGTCGAATCAATACGTTTTGCTATATGCACATATATACACATTTACAGTCAGAAATATTTCCGTCGCGCCATGTTTCGATAACAATACAGATTGTTTGGATTTTCTGGTAGCCGAATTTAAATTCACGTAACAAAAGTATGTGAGATATAATTCTCTAATCTTTCTTTTCAATTTAACGCATAATAACTGGTAAAAATAGTTGAAAAATGAAACTTTTTAAAAATACTTTACATCTTCAAAACAATCTATAAATATAAATATCTCGCGTGTTACAATTACGAGCTAGGGAAAGTAGAAATAAATCGCCTATTATTTTTGCGCCCGCTTAAGCGTGTGACATGTTTCGCGCGAGTAGATATAGGCATTAAATGCTTTCATTTGAACTTTTAAAATGAAAATACAGGTCGGGATATAGTTCATATACGCACACAGATCTATTTTGTCGATTTTGCCCCGCTTTCTCGTGGAAGGACAACCCGCCAGACGATATAAATGGATATTTGTGTCACAGATTGATCGTGGCATCATTAAGCGATTATGCGAGGGTAACAACTGCGTTATACGGACGTGCGGTGAGATATGTGTCAAGTGTTACCCTTGAGCACTTGGTTATTGAATATTATATTAGCTATGTTAGGATCTGTGTATGCCCTATATATTCTATGCCTCAATAGTCTCAATTACGAACTATAACTAACGACGTGACCGAACTGACGAACGGAGACCGCAGGTATTGTGCAATCCGTTATCGAGTTTCTGTAGATTTGCATGAGAAATCCGAATCTAGACACGCTTTTCTTTACCCGCCTATATAAACAAATACAGATGGATAAATAGCGAACCGACTGCTACTTTTGGATCCCTAAAAGTATCTGATGATTTATTTTTTCCTTTCAGAAATAGCTCGCGAGAAAAGGGGAGATTCAGAGAGAATACTTTGAATTTATGAAATATATAGGATGTCCAGTATCCAGTGAATCACTTCATTAAGAATTTTACTGTAATTTAATTGCAAAAAAATACACGATGGCAAACATTGGGAACACGTAAAAAATGATGACCTCCCTCGACATTTTCGCTGAGGAAAAATCATCTGCAAATAACATAAGGAATCTAACTGTATATCAGTGATTCGCTGGATACGGGGCACCCTGTATTATTCAAAGATTTCGATTTTTTTCATAAAAAAAATTGTTTCAATATAAAAAATATTGCAGCGTGCATAAAATCGTGGATCAATGTGAAATGGAAAAATCAAGCAAGCAACCTTTCAAATTTCACAATCTCGTTAACAGCTGGATCAGTGACAGGTGTGTGCGAGCTGCTCCAACACCTTTATCACGATCGATCGTATTTTGTAACGAATATTAAACGAGATTCAACCGGTCCTTCCTCTCTCTCTCGGTCTTTCTTTCCATATCGCAGACGTATACACACACACACACACACACACACACACATACATACGTGTGTGCGCACGTGCGTGTTTCACACTTGGCAGGCACATGCACATCGGCGCCACTCGTCGGAACGCGCGTTCCTGCTTTAAGGGGCTTTTATTTCGTCGTATTTTTCACGCTCTCGTGATCGCGCAGTATCGTTCGTGACTCGCTTTTGACAGCGCAAGATTGCTCCTGCTCGCGCGAGAGGAGTGTAAGGATCTCCCGAAAGTAACGGCGACATCGAACACGGCCAAGATGCAGCTGGGTCTGGCACCGAAGACCATCAAGTACTTGATGTTCGCGTTCAACTTGTTCTTCGTGGTAAGCATTAAATGTATGCATGCAGCCGAGGAACGACGTCACGTTCTTTCCGGAACGGTGAGCTGGCACGCATCACGCACGCTGCGAGCTATCGAATAGTTATATCGAACGCAATGTACGCACTTTAAAAATTGACATCGCGAGCATTTAGCAAAAATCAGTTTTAATACACACATTTTAGATTCGGAGATAAATGACGTTTTTACAGTGTGCTATTGACAATTGATGCGATATATATATATATATATATATATATATATATATATATCGCATCAATATATCCAATAAAGTATCTATTATATATATATATATATATATATATATATATATATATATATATACTTTATTGGATATATGTAAATTAAGATGTTGAAATAAGGCTGAATTTACAACAAGAAAATACAATTTAATCAATCAATGATTAATTTAATTAAGCTTGTGGAAAGCTCATAAGGCCGAAATTTCGTCGTGAATCTTACAATTAGTAGTTGAAATTTCAATCGAGCTTTTACTGATATGTCTTCCTAAATACACAACCTATAGATAATAAATAGACAAACTACTTGCTTAATAAATTATCTCAATTAATTTGATGTTTGAGCGGCTTCTATAAATAGTAAATTTTGCTTATGAACAATCATATTGAAATGCACATTATAATGTGAATAAAATCACCTGATTTAGCAGAGCTCATTTACAAATAATTATCGTGCCTAAGCGTATATTATTTTAAGATATATATTGAAATATCAATAATACATATATGAGATTTAAAAATATATCATTAGTAAACATAAAGTATCGATAGAATATACAAAAGTCATTGTGTTAACCTTTAACACTTTTTGAGTCACGCAATCGTTAAATTATCTAAAACAAATATTTCAGCTGAGGATATGGTAGATAAATATTATCGAGACTGAAATTAGACATAGCAAACATTTTTGTTTAAAATATAAAAAAACATGTTTGTATATTTATGATTATTTTTAAACATTTTTCTATGTATATCATACAATTATAGATTATCGTTGGAAAATTTTATTAAGTTAAGTAATCGGTTTTTAGAGAAAAAATGGAATTTAATTAAAATAAATCTAAAAAAATAATACACCAATCACAGACGATATTATCACAATATAACATCATTACTTTTTAAATAATCGTTTAATATCATTGATTTAATTGTTGTATTTTCTTGTTATATATAAATTCAGTCTTATTCAGTCAAAAACACATTCTAAAAGTGCTATTTATTCCTGAATATAAAATATTGTTTATGTGTGTATCTGCAAAAATATAGATTCCATTTGAACATATTTGTGTATACAAATTTAATATAAAATAAGATTAATTAAATGTTGTTATATCGGATTAGTTTACTCGTCGAGAAAATAATAGAAAATAAATCGCGAGAATCATTATTCGTTCGATAAAAATCTTACAATTAATTTAAGTAAAATATAATATAATTAAAAATATTTGTGCATTTTTATATAAGCATTCTCGTTATATAAATGATTTTTCTGAAAAAAAAAAAAAAAAAAATTCGCTGCGGACAGGATTCGAACCTGTGCGGGTAGAACCCAATGGATTTCAAGTCCATCTCCTTAACCGCTCGGACACCGCAGCACATCGAAAATGTGTTCAATTTGTACGATGTTAAGTTCAGGCACACGAATTCATAATTCGAATATATTTTCCGAAAATATATCAAGAAATTTTTTCGCCGAAAAGTTAACACGATTAAAAAGATAAAATTGATATATTCCTTTCAATTCTTCCATCAAAATGTTAATTATTACATTAATTATATTGTTTCACTAGCTGTTTAATTAATTGAGCTACAGCTGGATTATTCGAGAATTATTATATAATTATTATATAAATAAATTATTCAGTGTAATATATTATGAATTATACTTATAAATTCTGTTTCCTATGACAATATGCTACATTATATCAATTATTTGTTTAGATCACAGGGATAGTACTGTTATCAATTGGCTTGGTCATCCACGGAGTCTACTATCAATATCAACATTTTCTCGACAATAGTTTCTTGTCTGTACCATCTCTTCTCGTAGCTGTAGGCGTTATCGTCTTTATTATCGCGTTCTTCGGATGCTGCGGAGCCGTTCGTGAAAGCTCCTGCATGATAATAACGGTAAGACAAATATGTATTATAAATATACTTCGACGATATATTTTTTCCTCAATTAAATATATATATATCTTCCAATGCATTTTTTAAAAGCATAATTAAATTTATGCACGTCTACGTTAAACTATACATTCATTATAATTAGATGGGGATTTTTTATCTAACAAAAACGCGGCACACGTAGACGAAAAAAAGTCCGACCAACTCTATACCTGTACGATGATATTGTCTCCCCTTCGTTTCCATAATGTAATGGATCATATGTTTTACATACGAAGTATGTAATTGACATGTGTGTCCTCCCCATTTTACCTTCCCGGCTGTTATTCCGGGAAAATATTCTCCCTCGCAGACGAGGGCGGGTGCGCTTCCGGTGTAACTTTAAAAAATTGACGCAAATGCATATTATAAAGAGACTAACTATATACATATTTCGTGAGAGTTTTCTCCAGATTAAACTCCTGTGTCGATGCTTCATTTATAAAAAAATTATATATATATTTTTATTTTATTTTATATATATATATCAGATTGTTTCATATATTTTATTATATTATTATTTAATATATTTCATATATTTTGATACCGATTTACCTTTTACAACCCTTTGTTGCAGTTCTGCACGCTTCTAACCGCGGTCTTCATACTGGAAATTATAGGCGGAACGATGGGCTACGTGATGAGGACGCGGGTCGCGTCTATCGCCGAGGAAAAGATGCTGAAGACGATGCCCAAGTACAACGATAGTCAGGAGATCCGAATCGTCTGGGACAATCTGCAACGAGACGTAATGCGCAATTACATATATATATAGGATTATCGCCATTTATGTAATATATCGTACAAGATCAAAGATATCTCTGGAACAATGGACTAAATAGGATTCTCGGTTTCATTTCTTTTTTTTCTCAGCAACTTTGTTCCAAGTTTTTCACGCTTTTCGCTTTGTGCCTTCCCTATCGTGGGAGCGACGCGATCGTCGCGAGGATATCGCGAACGACAAGCGATTACAAAGGATAATTTCAGTGCACGACTCTAATTCGTCGCGTGTATAATGCATGTGTGTGTTGTAGAACCCTCTTCGTGTACGCTACGAGGGGGTAGCGTAAATCGATTTTTACCCTCGCCGGCTTCCTTGACCACGCTCAACGATATCTCGTATATATACGAAGATGTGAAATATATCGCAGACTTTTGCTTTCGCGCAAAATATATCTACTCCTTCGGAACGTTCACCTTTGCTTTTCGCATGCCTGTAATAAAACGTGACGTAATGAAACTCACGAGTTCTTTCCATTCAATTTCAAGTTCGAATGCTGCGGCACACGCAACGCCAGCGACTGGACGGAGAAAAACTTGACGATGGGTATCCCGATGTCGTGCTGCGATCAACCGATAGGTGCTATCGGCTCAATGAATTGCACGACGGACTCACCGACGCTGCATCACGAAGGTTGCATGGATGCGTTTGCGCATTTTGCGGAGAAACACGCGGCCAAAATAGCGGGCGTCGGCTTGACCCTCGCTGTGATTCAGGTAAACCTCTTCATCAAGTATAATATATAGCATGGATTTTCATATGCAGTCTTTAAAACAACTACACTCGAGGTTCTTATATTTCTGTGCATTCTTTTTATTATATAAAAATAATTGGTGTCTTGTGTTGCAGCTGATAGGCATCTTCCTGTCATCCTATCTAGTAAGATCAATCAGGAATTCTTACCAGACCATGTAAAGTGCCATGCGAACACCAAGCGTACAGGATTTAGTGTTTGTCTTTAAATTAGAATTAGATGTCAGAGTTATTGCTGGATTTTTAATGAAGATATAGAATTCTCATATATATATATATATGTATATATATATATGATCCTAATGGATTGCCAATCTGATTGCCGTGAATACATTATTTGTCAATGTAAGGGTAACCATTTTTGCTACGTGATATTTGGCATCGCATATTTTTAATAAAATATTTTTCATCGTCAAATATTTTTGCGACGTTACGTTTATTCTCGTATATTTGAAATATGCGGTAAACTTCATCTATTTAACGCTATTCTTATATGTTTATCAATATGAAACAATCATATTTTTTATTATTATTTATTTTATAAAATGTTATTATAAAATTTTATAAAATTTTATAAAATTTTATTATTATGTATTTTATAAAATGGCTTGTAAAATGAAAAAAGTATACGCTTGTCCCTGTGTGAATCATGTACACACACGATATTAACTTAATCGTCATATGAATCATACTCGTGTTATTGTTTTGCTCATGTATAAACGTAGCAACGAGCACAAGTGGCCGTCTCTTTTATATGTCCATCAATGAAAATTTCTCATCTCGTATCCACGATTTCAACATGTCACATCAGTGCTTTATATTATAATTATATAAATATATTTACGGAATTTTTTTCGATATTTATTAATATTTGGATTTTTCATTATAGTAAAAAATTTCATTATATAGTAAGCAATATATAATTTCATTTGCAATAGGATTGAATTTAATGCTCTACTACAATTCAATGAATTAAAATTTGTTTTCTCCAGTTAAACAAACAATAAACACATTTAAATATTGTGTGTTGTATACTGATGAGCATTACATAACTTTATATAGATTTAAATAAGACTTAGACAAATATATCTCGACTATTGAGAAACCTGCATATAAATTCTGTATTACATAATATAAAATATAGATACATAAAAATATTATATTACATTATAAAATGATGAATTAAAGGACAATTTCAAAAAATTGAATATGTTTGACAAGCAGCCACGTGTACACGTTTTTGCGTGAATTATTTCTTCTGCGCGCTAGCGTTTACCGTATATCTCTAATATGCATACATTTAGTACGTTCTATGAAATTCGCGTTTTGTCATATCTTTACGTCGCCTCGACTTTTGCATTCCCTCTCTCTCTCTCTCTCTCTCTCTCGCTCTTGGACTTCAAGGAAATCGCCCGCCTCGGTGTCGGTATATGTATCGTACAAAGACGTCGGCGAACGTGATCGTGCGAGATCGCGTGGCACACGAACAGTCGTCCGTCATCGTCCGCTCGCATTCGTACGTTTTCGTACCTGGCTCGTTATCGGCCAGCTGATAAGGGCCCGCGGGGCCGAGCGATCGGCCGATACCCGGGGAACGTCATCGACAGTCGGTGCGTCAAGTGCGTTGGAAGTGCGTCGGGATCCGCGTTTGCCGTGCACCTGCGTCCAGGAGTCCACACACGAGCACCAAAATGGCGGCCACGCACCTCGACGTTGGCCTTCGCTGCATCAAGTACCTGCTGTGCGCGGTCAACTCCCTCTTCGTGGTCTGTACTCTGTACCGTATACGCGACATCGCTTTTTTTCATCTTCTTTTATTCCACTCTATTACAATTTGAAATTACTCTCGCAAGTCGACACGTCTTCGCCTTAACTAATTTAAGGATTCATTATTGCGATTCTATATACGTGGAATAAAATTGTTGATGTCATCTTGACAATATTAATTTCTCATTTCTACGTATATTGATTGTATAGATTTGAGACTTCCTGAAAACGAAACGATTCGCCGCAAAATTTTTTATCGATATCGCATTAAGCTTATCGGGATAGATATTCTTGGAAAATGAGGTAATATATATGAATGTATCAAGTACTTTAAAGATATGCGTGAAAAGTCTTGTTCGATAATTTTACAATGAGTCTATATATATATATATATATATATATATATATATATATATATATATAATACATAGTCGTGGAGGTCCTTGAAAAATACGACGCAATTGTGCATAAAAGAGTGCTATGATACTATACCACACATATGTAATTATCGATTACTGTTATAGCGATATCTATTATATAGATATATATGAATAATGTTTGGAACCTAAAAACTTGTACCTTTTTACTTTTGACAACAGAAAAGAAATGAGTAACGTGTTCGCCAAAATAAAACTTTTTTTTCAGTTACAAACATGTTTTTGTCATTTTTTAAATATATTATTTGTAGAAAGAGAGAGAGTATGAAATTACATATGAAAATATCGAAATAAAATTTGTTTTTACATTCTAAATTGTCTTCTAAGAATATATCCTATCAATTTTATACGTCATTATTGCAGCTGTTAGAATATGCTAATACCGATAACACATAAACGGCAATTAATTTAAAAATTGACTCATTAGATATTTATTTTCCGCGTATATTTTTTGCATAATTTCCTCGAGTCTGCGCATCCGACAATATAACTGAAAAATTTAGTACGATCAGTAAATCGTTACATATATATGTTTTGTAAAAAAAGAAAATTATAGTTTATATATACCAGTTATTTGACGCGTTATAATATCAAGGCAGTATCAATTAAATCGATTCGCTATTTCGGTATTAAAAAATCGGCTTGAGATAACGCGTATCTGATTATTTATGATTTCACATTTGTAACGACGTAAAATATAAACCCGCGATATAGAGAAGAGAGGATAATAATGCCCTTCAGTACAAACGACACGAAGACACGAAGACAAAAACTAGTTTCTTTTGCGACATTAATATATTTCTTTTATTATTACATCCTTTGTTCTCTCTCCCTGTCATGCGAAAAGAACGATATGGGCCATGAGAAGTTCGAGTTTCGTTGTTAGAGAGATTGTACTTTCGCAACTGCGGTCGATATCACATAGAAAAGGCTATGCACTAATGAATTATTAGGGATGGGCGTATCTGTATAGCCCCGTTCAACCCGATTATATACTTTTTAATTAAATAAAGAAGCGATAACACGCGCTTTCTCCATATTTTGCCCCGTATCACTGCGCAGTATTGTCCTCAAATTTTCGTACACATATTGTAATTTGTGGACAATATATTGCGCATTGATAAGCAAAATACGGAGCACGAGACATAAACACGACATAAATTCGACCAATAAAATGTTCGATATGGAATGATATAATACTAAACATCGTTTAGCAACATTTGTGCCAGCCATCTTGTATTGCTCACTTATAAATTATAAAATTATAAATCACTTATAAATATATAAAAAAAAATAATCTTTTTTCTTAAACATAATCGAAATTTTATTTGTAACGAAAAGAACCGAGGATAAAAATTGTTTCGTAGTTTTATACATTCATATAATGCCATAGGCAAATATTTTACAACATCTTCGAACTCTTATACGTCGTTGCCTCTATCTAGAAACTTCATAGTCGCTTATCAGTAAAGATAATTTTGCAATCTCGTGATGATGTCGCGCGGTATCATCATACAACAGCAAGGTGGAAGGCTTCAGCATACGAGTCGAATGAAAAATTGTTAAAGTTTGCGCAGTTTGGTGCAATGGTCGATTGCCTCCTATTTAATCTTTGATTTCATTGTTATCGATAAAAGAAAAAATATGTTTGTCTCTTTATATCATTCGTACGCTTATTTAATTGGACCTTGTTTATTTAAATCGAATTAAACATTTAAGTACTTTTCCAATCTTAGTATGGCATCTAGTTTTCAATAACTTGTCAATTAAATAGCAAATAATAAATTTAATTTTCATGAGAACACAGACTTGTATCAATTATATAAAAGATACGACTTTTATCACGTAGGAATAAGTAACTCACTTTGTAGAACAAATAAAAACTGATGTGTACATAATGATATATTTCACATAGTAACGATAAAAAGTATTGCCTTTTCTTTCTAATCTAAAAAGCTACCCGAGAACGCATATCACATGTTACATAATAGTTAAACAATTAATGCTAAAGATAACTGCATTGCAAAAATAATAAAAAATCTTATGCTACAAGACAAAATTAACTCATTTGATTATACTGTACAATTTGCACATTTGTAAATTATTCCTATAAAATGAAATAAAATTTATAATGTTCGACATGTGGAATTATACGTACTTTGAGTTGTATGCAAAAATGAAAACAAAAAATTTTTATAAATATGTAAAAGCTTTTCTCTCTTTTAAACGATAGAGAGAATGGGCAATATTTCATAATTTAATTCAAACATTACAATTTAGCAGTTTTCAATACAATATATTTAATTATCTTTTTATTAATATTTTATTGCAGTTGACGGGGGTGATGATAATATCGGTCGGCACGACAATTTATGCCGTTTATGAGAATTTTTCGCATTTCCTGGATTCAAGCTACTTTTCGCCAGCCACGCTTTTGATCGTGGTCGGAATATTAGTCTTCATAATCGCTTTTATGGGATGCTGCGGCGCTGTTAGGGAAAGTACCTGCATGGTTCTTGTGGTGAGTCATCTGAATCCTACTTACTTTAAATATTATTTCCCGAGACGTATACTACATTCATTCATGTATGTATTTGCAGTTTGCAGTTTTACTGTCGTTTGTTTTGGTGTTGGAACTCGCCGCAGCTGCTGCTGCATACGCTTTACAAGATGGCATTAAAGATCTCTTAGCTGAGAAAATCAATCTAACAATGCATCAGTATGAAAAAAATAAGGAAGCCACGATTGCAATTGATTTTATGCAATCTAGGGTAAGAGGATTAACCATTCTCTATATTACTAGTTGTAACTTATGAACACTCTTTTTTTTAAGAATCTCAAAAATAAGATTCTAAAAAGTTATGAAAATTAAAAAACAATATTGTCGGATGATAGATTACAATATTCTTTTTTTTCAAACTGCTTTTGTCAGCTACAAATTTCTTACCTCACTATAGGCATTTTGAAAAATAATCGATTATTTATAATAATTTTTTTATAGTTACGTTGCTGTGGATATGATAGCTATAGGGATTGGGATGGGATATCGTTAAACGAAACGTATATGGAATTACCTGATTCTTGTTGTGCATATATAGTGGATGAGATAATAGATTTTCCGGATCGGTGCCAGGGAAAGTACCAGGAGGGCTGTATTAGCCGTCTTTCTATTATTGTTCACCGCAGTGCATTGTACATCGGTACGGGAGCTGTAGCGATCGCTCTTATTCAGGTAAGATTTAATTTTTTTTTTATATAATCGATATCTATTGTAATCGAAGCTACTAAATTGTGTGTTTCGATTAAATTACGAAATAATCATTCTCTATCGTGTAAGAAAGAGAAAGAGAGAAAAACTTCAAAATTTAATTTTTAGTCATATTTTCTGCTTGCTAAATTGTAATTTCATAATTTAAAACATTTGCTAAATAGATAAATGTGTCAATATATTAAGCGAGATATATATTATGTTAAAGTAGAATATTCTGAAATAGTAAATTGTAATATATATATTTTAATATATATATATATATATATATATATATATATCTATAAAATCTTCAAGTTTATAAATTCTTACAAATTATGCATAAATCTCATTAATATTTTATTTTCGAAATTGTTATATGGTTCAAATTGTCTATTTAACTATTAAAATTATAATCCTGAGCATGTAATTTATATAAATAAATAAGTTATATAATTTTATATGAAAATAATTTGTGCCTACTGTTTTTTTTCTAGCTAACGGGGATTATGTTCGCGTGTATGCTTGGCCGAGCTATCAGACGTCAAAAGACAGAAAGGGAGAGGCGTCGCTGGGAATTACGAGAAAATCTCGTGAATGGTTACGAACCGCTGGGAAAATCGGATCCCTTAACTACGTTTCCCGTAGTATATATGGCACCAGATTACCCATTAAAAGGCGATAAAAAATGTTAACATTTTAATACAAAAATTTAATAAGACCAGATTTTTCCTATTGTTTTTACAGAGAGAAATTTACACACAGAAAAACTTACCATATAATGATTCTATTTTATAATATAAATATATAAAAGCGTTTATACAAAAATGAATATTTATTTTTGATGCTTTTACATTTATTTGTGTAATAGAGTTGAATATTATATTATCGAAGATAGTACAAGAGAAAACCGTACTTAATAATTGTACCAAATAATTGTGATTTATATAATTCATAGATTAATATATTTTCTTATCTAGATATAGACAGTCTAATCGTTTTAAATAATTTGTATTCCAATAATTAAATGTTGCAAAATTTTAAGTTAAACTTTGAACTTGAAATAAATTTATTCAAATTTATTTTCAATTTTCTACTACAAATAATCAAGAATGTTTGCCATAAGTGAAAGAGTATTATTACACAAACTGTTATATAAAAAGTGTGGATACTTATTGAATATTATTAATGCACTGTATTTTTATGCTAAAAATAAAATATATTTAAATGGTACAATATTTACACATTATATATTCCGTCAAATCAGAAAGAATATATTAAATAAATCTGATAATTATTTAAATCTATTTTTTATAGTAGCATCATCTGAAGATTAAAGCTTGTCTCAAAATCTCAGAAGCTTCTTTGTGATGTTCCCCATTCTCAAGATACGGTGGCGTTAATTCACGATATGCGAGACATACGCGCCTCGACGTGATGTCTTGTCGAAGCACAGAATGTTCCCACTGATATCTATGAAATTAAAAATATATTATTAATTATATAAGATATGGTATATAATCGTTTTCATAAGAAAAGCATTATACCTTGCTGGACCATATAAAATCATGAGTGACCTGGCAGGCATCGGCAATCGTACCACCACGTTATCATCAATATCAATCTGTGTGTTATCACGAATGCCTTTCTCCAAGATAGAATTATAATTTGAAACATAATCTAAGTTATATCGCATAATTGGACCTCGATAAGGAGTCATAGTCAAAACAGAATCACCGAGGATATTAACGGTTACTATACGTTCTCCCCAAATCCAACAATCATCAATGTGAGGATCGATAGAAGCGCCTCGTTCGGGATTATATTCAAGCGAACATTGCTCGACAGTTCTAAAGCCATGTAGTAATGGTATTTCCTCAAATTTACTCTGTACAAACTGTGTTGTTTTAGGAAAACCATCAAATATTCCTAATTGTAACTTTCGCTTTTTAAAGTTGCATTTTGGTCCAAAATTCTATAAATGGAAACATTCAAACATAATTTAATTTAAACATATAAACATATATAGAGACATATTAATTTTCATAAGTATAAATGTACCTGTTTTCTCCTACCACTCTGTGATGCTTGCCAAGGGAGATAATCGAGCTCTTCCATCAATTTCTTAGCCTCATCTTCACTTAAGAAATTTAACTGAAACATACATATTGTAAAAAAATGATAAAAAGAATGTTGAAAAATATACAATAGTATATTGTAATCATATTACCTTGATATAAACACCAGGATAGTCAATTAAATTTCCATCATGGTGAGGATGCTTTTTATACTTATCTATATCCCATCCAGGTGATGATTTATCACAATATGGACAATAAACATAACATTTGCTTTCCTATAAGATTGAAAACTATAAATTTAAATCAATTAAAAAATTAAAGATATATTTTCTCATTAAGATTGTATAATTAAAGATATAAACAAAGTTTTTTAAAAAAGTTTTGTAAGAAAAGAAAATATTCTATATACTTACTATATATTTAAAAATCTTCTATACAGTTTTAATTAGTTTATATTATAATTCACATTTTCAAATAAAAGGATAATATTAAGATAAAATATAAATGCCTCATTTCTTTGCAAAAAAAATTGCAAACTGGTTATTCTGGCATTCTATCCAGTTAGGAGCAGATTCAACAGCCAGAATAAAGTGATATTACATCAAATATATAAAAGGATAATATTGAAATAAAATAAGAAAAATAAAGTGCTCATCTTTTTGCACAAAAAACTGCAAACTAGTTATTCTAGTATGCTATCTGACTAAAAGCAGATTCAACAAACTGAACAGTTTATAACAGACAGCAGATAGAAAAGGCAGAGAAAATATTCACACATAAATCTTCAAATCTTCATTTACATTCTCAAGAAAGACAAGTTATAAGCTTGTAAGTATACATTATAATATAATACATAATATAACAATCCAATAAATGATAAAGCAAAAAAGATCATCAGATTCAAAGATTAGAATGCAAAAAATGGCATTCTAAAAAAATTGGAAAACATATATTAATGAAACAATAATATGGAAATTCCCCAAAATTAAATTTTATCGTTGTCGTCCCGAATTACGAGAAAGGAAATCCCGCGATTAATTCTAAGAAATGTCAACATCACACGACACAAATATTTTCGATATATAGGTTATGATAGGTTAAAAGCTTCGTCGAGTCCGTTACCTGTAATACTTCCTTCAGATCCGGCTTCGATATTTTGTATTCAGCTTCGCAAATTAAACAAGAGCGGATTCCTTTGCAGCCACAGGGTCGAACAGTTTCCATAATGCTTATTTTTTTTATATCGAGCACAAAACACTGAAAAAAACTACACACGGTGTCGGCATGCAAACCACAACAAACCGGCCTTGAAAATCGATTGTTAACAAAATCGATATGCGAGATATCGATTACATCAATTTTTGATTCGAAAGAATTTTATTTCTTAGATGGATTTAGCTTTTTAATTTTTGATGAAATATTTATAACAAAGACAGCTAATATAATTGTTAATAAAACAATGATTTATTCATTGATAAAATAAATATGTAATAGTTTTTCTTTTTCTCGTTACTATTTATTATTGATTATAAAAATGTAGACAAGCAAAAAAATTAAAATGATATTCAGCGAAGTTCTCTCGTTATCGCTTTGTGGGTCATAAGTTGAGATAATGTTGACGTTATATTTCAATCTTTTGACATTTCTCTTGCAGTTATACGTCTCTGTTTCACACTGCAAGAATGTTATCGAGGATCTGCTTCGTACTTTTGTTAGTACTTCCGGCCAGTTTCGCTAATAGTAAGTTTTAACATTTAAGATCTGTTTATCATTCGCACGATCATTTTACGAAAATCTCTTAAAATACATATAAAATATTTATATCCTTTTACGAAGTCAATTGATTTTAGATGACGTTGTACGTTCAAATATATTTTATCTTAATTGTAAAAGTATAGTCAATTTAAAAAAGTGGAAAATGTGGAAACCTCTGAAAAATTAAGTTTTTTTTCCATTTATTCTCAGGATTAATATTTTAAAAATAATGAATTTAATAATTAATTGAATATTTTCGCAGAGGTCAAATGTCCTATCATCATCGGCAGAAATGAGTGGACCTCCGTTCCCGCTGGAGACGTGAACTATTTAATCGTGCCAATACCTTATGTAGTAGTACAACATACAGTAACTCCCGAATGTAATACACGCGAGGCTTGTACAACGCGCGTCGACAACATCCGCAGTTATCATATGGACCAACTTAGCTGGGACGATATCGGTTATTCGTTAGTAATAATTATTATCTCCGTTTGAATAAAAATCATTTTTTCTAATGTACTATTTGTTTCATATAACGTTGTAAAAATATCCAATAATAATTTTCAATCTATTTATTTAATCTATTCCATAAAATATCTAAAGATTTATTATATAATAAATCTATTTATTTAATCTTTTCCATAAGATTAATATACTATTTGCTTCATATAACGTTGTAAAAATATTCAATATTTATCAATCTATTTAATTAATCAATCTATTTATTTAATAATATTAAAGTGTGCAAAAAATATTATGATCATTGTTATATTTTCTTTAAAGATTCTTAATCGGTGGCGATGGAAACGTGTACGAGGGATGTGGATGGACACGTGAAGGAGCGCATACATACGGATATAATAAAAAATCTATTGGCATAGCTTTCATTGGAAATTTCGAAAGTAAGCATCGAAATATATATATATATTTTTTTTTTAAATAATATATTTAATATATATATTATACTTATTCTTTTGTGTATCAAATTGCTATGTTTTCTGATCTCATCTCTCTTATATTTCCAAGACAAACAGGCCAGCCAGAAAATGTTAGACGTTGCACACCAATTAATTGAGTGTGGCAAATCCCAAGGTATTCTTCGAAGCAATGTACGTGTAATTGGTGCGCGACAAGTGCAGCAAACAGCCAGTCCTGGGTATCAACTCTACGTACAGATGCAAAATTGGCCTGAATGGACCAGGAATCCTTAACTTAACAGCAAATGAGAAAATATTTGTTTCTATATAATTTTTAAACTGATATATATATATATATATATATATATATATATATATATATAACTGATATAATGTATATGTATAAGAAATCTTCAATCTTTTTTTAATAAGCAGGAAGATTTTTGTATCGCAATACTTATTACTTATCCGCAACCTTTTAATCTGTTGTGTATGTGAATCTCGTTCGATGAGATTATATAGAGCAGGGTTTTTCAAATAATAAATCCTGCGATATATTTTCGCAATTCGTTGGCAAAAAAAAAAAAATATAACAAATGTAAGACCGTAAGAGAAAACGTCAATTCGAGGTAATAGTTTGTGTTTTATTATATTACCTTTCTAGCGAGAAGTCCAGCTCCTGATCTAATATAAAAGAAAGTTCTTAACATACGTTTTTCTAACGCATTAACATTTCAGAAGAACGCATGTAGACGACATGTGTAGAAATAAATCGTGGATAAATTGTGTGATGAATTTAGGAGATGGAACGGTATGACATCGTAACGTATATCCAATTCTATTCAAGTTTCTTTTCTTTTTTTCGATTATTAGGAGATCACGTAATTACTAATATACAAATGATACATTATCACCGAGAGTTTCTCTTACACAGAATAAATATATTGCGCATATTAGCGGGTTTTTCAAGAATGACGCAATCGAGCCGAGCTTAAGTTTTTTTTTCTTTTAATCATAGTTATTATTTATCGTTAATATCCATATAATTATCAATAACTACAGTAAAACACAAAACAAAAAAAAAGAATATAGTGATATCTGTACATTCTTCTTCCTTAAATGATTAACGTAAACATTCTTTTTTGTATTCTCGTAGCCTACAATTAGGAAGAAACTAAATTATAATATTCACAGATATTTTACAAGATAGATGAAGGCACGCCGACGAGCGCACGTGTCGCGTAACAACGGTACAGAAAATACAATATGATTCTGCACCTACGCTATATGACTGGCTTGCAGAAGAAAGAGGAGAGAGGCAAACGCAACATTTTCGATAAAAATAAAGCAGTTGCGTGAAATGGACGACACGTGCGCACGTTCGCGCCTTATATACTTATATTCATAGTTATTATGTATATTTATACATACATATATATATCTATATATATTATATGTATACATATATATATATATATGTATATATATCGCTCCTTTTTTTTATCACCTTGCTTCCTTTCTCTCGCTCAATTATACCTCTACACTGTACATATCCACAACGCATCTTTTACACTGTACATGCTCACACGCTCCGCGAGTATCCGCGCTGCCTTATTAAGGTAATTGCATCGTCGCAGAGATGGACAGAACAAGAGAGCGATGACTTATTAAACGATATGCGTTTCGCTTGGAAAATAAAAGTAACGAATTCACACATCGAATCGTCCAGTGCTCCTAAAAAATAACAAAATAAATAAGAAAATACAATAAGTGTCCAAAAACTTATTTGTAATTATTATACATACATGCGAGTATACGAATTTATATAGAATAAACGATACTCGATAATACACTTTTGCATGTCTTGACATTCTGCGAATATAACGAAAGAAGATGAAACTTTTCGCGAAGAAAGGTCAAATCATCGTTAAAATGTGTATTATTTAAATTACTTTTGCTTCATCTACATCAAATAATTGAAATAAATGAACGCGAGCACTTTGTTCTGTCTATCCCTGATTCTTGCATGAAAATTACTCTCTAGAGGCATGCGCCCTACGCGCAGCAGCATAATATCGTAAATAGATATAAGTTTCTTAATTTATTTAAAATGTTTTTTTGACGGCTTGGTGTGTGATATAGTGTAACCTCTGGTCTATACACGTAAGCGCATTTATTTCGGACACGAATGCTAAAGAGTCTATGAGTCGTCGTGCGACGGAATCGATAGGGATGGGATATAAAGATGGATATATTTCCTGCGACTGAATAAGCAACGAACGATAAACGAATGCGAATCAAACGTTAATAAAAGTATCGTTCTATTCGCATTCCCCTTTCAGCATTCTATGTTCATTCATTCATTGTCAGATATATCAATCTAGGATGGAAGTGCGTAGAATGGGGCATCAATGGTCAATGAGATCGGTCATACATTTTCCAAGTATGACAAATAAGCCCCATTTTGTCCTTAAATGTGTGCGGATTGATATGCTCTAGCTAGCCTGTTGTAATAACGTTAATAATAATTAATAGCAGCGGTAATAGAGTAGTGGTAGAGTAGTAATAGTAGTAATAGTAAGTAGTAGTAGTGGTAATAGTATAGTAGTAATAATAGTAATAGCAGTGGTAATAGTAATCGTAATAATATGTAACCATAATTATAATAATAATCAATAATATTAATAATAATAATCATCGTAATAAGAATGGGCGATTATCAGTGTTACCAAGGTCACGTTTATTCAAATAAATTAGACGAATTGTGTAATAAAATTTTGTCGATCAAAGAGAGAAACTGTCTAATTTATTTAATTCGTCAGTGTACCGAACAATCTTGTACAATTGTGACACTGGCAACACTGGTCATTAACATTAATAGTAATCATAATAATCATAATAAAGAATATAAGTATAACGTTAAAAATTCTTTTATAAGATATACATATAATGCTAAGAGAGTATACTATGCACGAGAGGAATTTTAGTAATTCACGAGAGATTAATAATAATAATAATAATAATAATAATAATTATAATAATAATAATTATAATAATTCACAAATTCGTATCCTGCTGTGGGAAATCATGGTACACTAGGATAGATCTACGAATAGATCGCACAAACTCTACGCAGGGGTGGCCCAACTTTTCTCATTCTTGGTGTGCTAGAGGATTAACGTTATAATTTACATTCTAAACTCGACACGACCGGCGGCGTTAGCAGCAATGGGCAGCAGCAAATTATCGTTATAGTTTCGTTATAATATAATACATAGTCATATATTTATATATATAGAGCAGTATTTATACAAAAACACATCACATACCGCACGGACCATTTTTAGTTGGGCACCCTCTTATATATGTTTTTTAACCTTTTGTCTTCTTCCTCTTTTTACGCAGTTTTACGGTTATCGTTAAATACTTAAAATCACAGTAGTTATGCCCTCGGTGGCTCGCTTATAATTTTTTTTACACAATTTACTTTATTATTATTAACGCCTAAACCTTACTTGAAATAGCTCGTAATAGCTCATATAATAGTGATAGGGTATGTTAGCTGCTTTCTATATCTTTACTTCGCGATTGACTTGTCCATCTAGAGAAACGAGTTATTTACTGCTTCCTTTATGGGAAGGACGAGCGTAAGTAATGAGTATCGCATGACGAATCGAAGGTCTTGTCTGAAGACTGGGGTTGTGCCTGACCCGCTTGTCAGAAAGACCAAGAGTGATGTCGGTCGATCCCACAAACATTGTCAGTATTAGAATTGACGCGAGTTACAAGCCGTTCAAAAAGAAAAACAAGGTAGGAAGGAAGAAGAAAAAGAAAAGCAAGAAAGAACCGAGCTTGCTTGCGCGAATTTCATCGAAGAGAGGTACGCACGGTGATGACCAGCGCATTTAAAAGTGCGAACCTCACTTCACCGCACAACCTCGTGTCTCGTCTTTAGGCCTACGATCTAAAGATCAGCTTACAACCCGCCGGGTTCCATTTGATTGTCACTGATACAACTCCGGACTAAGGAGTTCTCTTCATTTTGAATGCGCATCCCGCTCTTTGTCGCACAATTACGCGCGTATCAGGCGGACACTCCAGGCTTCATGCCAGGTATGAAGCGTCCTGCGGTGCGTGAAGACGAGACATACGGATAAATCGTAATCCGATAGGTCAATGATCGGTCTCAAACCGTGGCGATGACGATTAGTAAATGAGAGATCTTGCCAACACGGTGAAATAGGTCCGGTGCAATCCTTGCCAAATTATCGTGCGCGAACTCACAAGATGGAAAAATGTGAACTACATACGCCGGCTAAAATATAGAAAATTTTGCATTGCATTTTCATTAAATCTCATCTCATAAGAAAAAGAAATATGCTTTTATTCTTGAATAATGACAAAAAAAATCCCATATAAAATGAAAACAATTCTGACTCACCTGTTGCGATCCGGGTGCGGCAATATTTACAATTCCAGCAGCTTGCTTCTGTTGGAGATACGTGATAAATCCAGCTTGAAGGTTTTTACTTTGTTGCAATACATCGACTTCGTCACGGCCACAAGGTAATGCCAGCAACATGCAATGTTCGTTATCAGTCTGCAAAATATTTCAATTGACATATTAAAAATAGTTACACATAATTCGCTTAGACACATTCGTTACATATCGATACGAACGATATTTAACTACTAAAAAAACTGCGACACGTACCTGCATCTTCCTCGCTACTCCATCAACTTGAGTTGGTTCCAATCTCATTCTTTGAGCTATTCTCAACGGTGGTGTGGAGCCGTCGCTGTTACACGGCAAACTATCTCTGGCCACGTTAGGATTGCCGAAGACAAAGTGCATCTGTACCGCCGCCTGATCGTTCTTGAGCGCCAGTAAACCTTGCCACATAACCGGGTAACGTTGGAGTAGCATCTGGAAGCTGTCCGCTTGCGGTGGCACTTGAGACGCGTAAGGTGGTGGGGTGACTACGTGATGCTTTCTACATCTCTCCGGTGTGGTGGCTCTGCCCATCTCAGGTGGTGCTTCGCTGGCAGCCATGGGATATGGAGAACGTAAGTGAGCGGGCGGGGGTTCATAATAGCCTGCTCTGACGCCAGCTGGAGCACCAGGTAACGACGGGTTACTTCCTGCGTTATACTGCGGCGGAGGTGGCGGTAATCTCACATTTCCGTGTAGCATATAAACTTGAGCAACTTGTGGACTGTCGGTGGTACGATCTTGAGGCGTTCTCGTGCCTCGTCGTAATTCTAGAGGAGGACTGTGACTGTCCTCTATGCCGGTCTCGAGTTTCGGATCTAAAGGCAGATGCGGAGATCTCGTTCCTGGAATGCGATAAGCTATGCGAGGTGCCGTCAACGCTTCCTGTTGCGCGCGATAATATTGTTGGTATTGCAACATTTGAGAATGTAAGTAATGAGGTGGCAGTTCTCCGCCATGAGTCAGTCCTCCGTAATGATTGACTTCACTCTGTGAAACAAGATTATTTTTTATCAATTATTTATATCGAGAAATAATTTTGTCTATATATTCACTTACATCCGTAAAATTCTTTAAATTTCATGCAATGTCAAGAGATTTATGATTAATGTCTAAAATATTGAATCTCTTTTCTTTTGAAAGGCATATAGTTTTATTAAAAATATATAAGAATATCATATTAGAAAGTAAATATACCTGTGAAGTATTAATGTGATGGTGGGCAGGTGGAGGACTCTGGGATCGATGCGGGGGGACAAGACCATACTGACCCCCTGGTGGAGTAGCACCTGTACTTCCGTGCTAATCAAAACCGAATAAAGTTAGTGCATTTTCAACATATTAATTTTATTATCTTTTTTTCTCACTCAAACGCACGATTTTTAAACACAATATTTATACATATAAAATATTGACGTATGAAAAATGAAACATATACAGTACTTACCAATGGAGCCTCGTACGTCGGCATCGGCACGCTTCGACTTTGCGGGCTCGCAGTTGGTACCATGATACAACCAGACATCGGCACTTCCACTTTTGGTTCTATTATCCCAGTGGCCTGAAACATATGATTCCGAAATATGAATCAATGTATATTTTATCATTTTTAGCGTCGTATATATTGAATATAAAAAAATTTAAATGTTCTATCAAGTACTTCATCAAGTATTCCATCTTACGTACAGGAGTTTTCGGTACTGGTGGTCGGGCACTGCCAGTTGAAATCGGCTGTGGGTTGACGAGATGTGGTTGCGTGGATGAACTTCCGCTGACGATCGGTGGAACTACAGCTTGCAGCAAGTGCGTTTTTGGATTAAGCGGATGAGGTTGCCCGTTAATACCCTTGAGAGTGGTGGGCTGTGAGACCGGTTGATGCATGGTTCTGGAGACGTTCACGCTGGCAGGATGCATGTTTATCGGCATTTTCTGCGACATGTTCACTATCGTCGACGTTTGTTGTTTGGCAGCTTGCAGAAGATGTTGCTTAGGATTAGGTGGCACTCCTGTGTTATTGAGTACGGGTGACATAGGTTGACCTTGCTTCACGCTTGCATTGGCCGGCGTCAATTGCGCCGCCTGTTTCGCACGCGGACTTAAACTAGGCGACACGACTCTGCCAGGTGGTATCTGCAGATTGAGACTCTGTATCGCTTGCACGGGCGACTTGACGATGTTCTGTACTATCGTTTGATTGGGCAAGCTTGGAGTCACCGGTTTCGTGATAACCTGCTGTTGAGCCGAGGTCACGAGCTTGCTAGCGTTTAACACGTGCGCCTTGAGACTCGTAGGTTTCGTCTGCGAGGAAGAGGAGGTGGGTATCGGTTGCGTTGTTGTAGTCGATGCTACAGAAGACGTTGCAGTCACGGTAGAGACAATAGTCGTGGTCGTCGTCGAAGATTGCGCAATAGTGATGGCAGAAGTAACTTGTATCGTTGGGGATTGTGGTTTCGTAATCACGCTAGTTTGCGGTTGGATCGGCTGGGTTGGTGTTGATTGACAAGGCGTGTGTTCTATGACGGCCTCCTTCTTCGGCTCCGCTACTACTATCGGGGAACTTTCGGATTTCACTCGTGGCGCTTCGTTTGTCGGGCTCGTGCTGACTAATCCACTGCTTCGAGATTCGCATACCGTTCTATTGATAGTCTGCACCTGATTGGATGCCGCGGACACCGGGATATACTGACCCTCCTCAGATTCCCTCATCGGTATCAGCATTCCCGTGACTGGATCAATCAACGTCATCGGCTCAAGCGATACCGTCTTCTGCGGCGCCGAGGTAACAACAACAGTTTGAGCTGGTTCTTCCGCTTTCGGGCTTTCTGGTGTAGCCTCCGGTTTAGGTTCCTCTTTGATCTCTGCCACCGTCACGGTTACTTCCTTCGTCTTCTCTTCTCCGCTATCCTCGTTATTTTCGGACGTTCGTCTCGCCGTTTTACGACCGCCCCTAGGTGACTTACGAAGTTCCGTTGGAAGTGGCGCGGCAGATTGCTGTGTCGTATTGCGCGGAGCGTTGTTATGTCTGGTGCTTCGTCTGGTGGCGTGGACATTTCCGGCGGCACCGCTGACCAAACCTTTATTTGCAGGCGATCCACGGACAACATCCTCGATGACATCGTCGATCGTGTTGCGACTGCCATCTCTCTCCGCCAATCTTCTAGACTTTCTCGTGTTAGCGGCCGGAGACACAAACTCTTCCGGTGGTATTTCCTTAACTGCGGCCACGGGTATCGCCGGCTGAGCGTTGGGTCCCGTTACGTTCGGTCCAGGGGATTTAATGGTGAGAATAAGCCGTGGACGACCGGCGTTGTCCTCCTCGCTGTCGTCGTGGAACTCGTAAACGTCGGCTGGCAGTTTATTCTTCTCAACGTGATGTTTGCTACCTCGAGGACTTCTACCGCCTCGTCTGTGAGAGACGGTGCTCGCGTTCCTGCCACCTCGCCTGGTGGTGACTCCGCCACGACTGCCGCGTCTACTCTTCGCTCTGCCCCGACGACTCTTCGTAGATTCATTTTCGCACGTCTCCATCGTCTCGTCGTGCTCATCGGCTGTTGATCCAAAGTTCTTCTTACCCTCGCCCTCGATCGATGATTCAGCGTCAAACCAATCCGACTCGTTCTTGCTGGTATCGTGCGAGTCGCTGTTCGCGCTCTCGGTTTGTTGTGTCTCGTCATCGCCATCGTTACCTTCGCCGTCGCACAGAGCATCAACCTTCTTTATCACGCTTTCGATGTTCACTTCCTTCGCGGACCAATAATCGCTGTCTTCTTTGCTATCGGTTGGATCTTCCTTAGAATCGATAGCAAGAGGATCCGTGTTCGGCTCTTTCAACGGATCTTCTACTGGCTCTTCCTCCAATTCCATCTCATCATTCTCCTTAATCTCTTCTTTAATTTCACTCACAGGTTCCAGTTTTATAAGAGTTTCCGCTTCGAGTTTCGGTGGAGTCGGTACATCTACCACCTCCTCTTTAGGTGCAATCTCTGTTTTAATAACATCTTGCTTTTCTTGTTTTATGTTATCTTCTACGCACGGTTGGTTCAAAAGTTTGTCGGATTCGGTTACATTATATTCAGTTTCGCTTATCGTTTCTTCCTGTTGAGCGTCGATTGGTTCTTGTTTTATCGCATCGATCGGCTGCGTCGATTGTATAGGTGGTGTAAGTTGCATCGGTTGAACAGTTTGATTAATCTGTGCTTCAGCGTCCATTTCCAATGGTTGTCCTTGGACGTGTTGGTCTAAGCATTCCGTCATCGGTGGCGTCGATATGGAAGATGCGGTTGATGATACTACTCTGGTTATGATCGTCTGTGATTCTGTAGATGCCAGAGGTATGTGAGATTTGACCAATTGACCCTGGGAGACAGGCGACTGTCTCTGACAAGGCGTTTGCGGGATGACGGATTTATCGCCAGGTGCTGACAACGGTGCGCTGGACGTTATTTGCTGAGGAACTATAGGTACTACGGTCTTTATCAGTGGTTGATTCGGTGAAGGTACGTTCGGCGGACCTAAAGTATGCACCGACTTGTGAAGTAAGTTAGATTGACCGTGAGCCACGATTACAGGACTCGGCGTGGAAGAACGAGGTACGTGCGTAGTTAGAAGTTGAAGATTCGACACTTCTTGTTTCTGTCTAGGCGACAGCAGATTACTGTCCGTTGTGATGGAAATTTGCTTCTGTGTTCTAGACGACATTGTGTAGCTGTCCGTGATGTAACCTGGTTTACCAAACACGGGACTAGACGTACTGGCATTGATCTCAATCTTTGCTGTTTCAGGTATATACGTGGGCGGTTGATTCGGTGATGGAACCTTAGGTGAGGTAGACGCTTTGTTGGTCGGTTCAGGTATAATAGCGGGCGACAATTTTGGTTCTTCCAATCTCGGCGATGGTTCGTTCGGATGTATCGTTATTAACGTCTCGATCACAGATTTGCCACCTAAAGAGGAGTCGCGCGAATTTTTTACTTGTATGCCAGACGCTAAAGGTGGTACGGGCATGTAAGGTCGCGGTGGAATATTCAGAGTCAATGGCGGTAAACCACCACGAGGATAACCAGGGGTGGGTGCCAGCATTCCCGAGGCGTGCTGTATCACCGGCTGTTGAGTCGCCGCGGTTGAGTAGATCTGTTGAGCTGGCACTTCCGGTCTATGAGCGGGGATAGGCACGCAAACCGCGATCTTGGTAGGTGGCGGCGAAGCTTTTCTTTTACCCACGTTAGGTACATGAGGACTTAACGTAGGATTCCGCGACCATTGTCCGTTGGGCGAAAGCGGCTGAGAGATGCGTGGCGAGGATTGTGATGGTACTAAAGGTGGTATTCTCGATGGGACCAATGGCGGCAATGGTGTCGTGTTGGAAGCTGACGAACAAGAGACAGTTGTGGTTTGCATTTTCGGAGAAGCTTGGCGCATGGGTACCATCTGAGATTGCGGAGACACGGGAAGCCTCTGATACAGAGGTTGCACTGAGATCGGCGATGGTCGCGAACTCGGAATGGAAAGCGATTTCGGTATTTCACTCGTAATCGGTACGCTACACGGCACCAGCATAGGTTGCTTGTATTGCAACGGTGGCGGCGACGGGGATGTTCTCTGCACTTGCGTCGTTCTTTCCGGACTAGCGACGTTGACGTCTGATTCTGTGGTCTCTAGCTGCACAGGCTTGACGGATTCGAGGGGCTTGTGTTCGTTCAGAGTCCACGAATGAGCGATTACGGAACTCGGTGGACTCGGCGGTTTGGCAACTACCGTGGACGTTAATCGCACTTCAATCGATTTCTCAGGAGCAGTCAAGACGGGTACCACCAGCGTTTTCGTCGGGGACTTGTAGAATGACGGTATATCCGGTGTCTTTGGCGGTTGTGTCAGATCGACCGTCTCGTAATTCGGATCTTCCTCCGTATCCGTGTCGATCTGTAGGTCGTGCTCGCTCTGCGGCGTATCCGGTTTTAGATCCGCGTCGCCTTCTACCGTTGAGGCGTTCAAACTCTCAACTGCTTGCTGCATTTCTTCGACGTCCTCTTGAGGTGCCTCGGCTGTGGTTCCGGCAATCCCATCAGTTTCGGTTTCTTCCTCCTCACCCTCATAAGAGAAATCTTCAGCCGAAGCGCCGAATGTTGCTTCGAGTAACGCGGCAACAGCGTCCTCCGTTTCTTCCTGCGATATCCCACCTCGCTTGTCTTCGTTCTGAGTCGGTGGTGTCGTTGGTACAGGTACTTCCGATTCCTCTCTGTTGCCGCGCGATTGACAATTACTGTCCTTCTCATCAGGTTCCGAGATACTTTTCACAGCATTCTCATGAATGGTCTCGTCGATTTCTATTCCAAACCCAGGTATGAATTTATCCTTCTTCTTTTCCGACTTGGTTTGAATGTCGCTCACAACCGGAGGAGTTATCGACGATACGGTTGACACGTTGGAAGTCACTTTAGGTATCGGGCTCAATAATGTCTCCCTAGGCGCGGGCAAGCTGGATGATATTGTCTTGGATACTAACGGACTGCTTGCTCTTGGTGGACTAGGTTCGGCGCCTAGATAAGGTAATTCACCGCTCTTTTCATGATGGTGATGATGATGATGGTGGTGATGGTGATAATCCTTTCGGTTGCGTTCCTCCTTCGATTTCTTCCGTTTCTTTTTCTTCTCTTTGACTTTCTCCGGTGCTGTCGAAGGTGTCGATGGCTCGATACTGTCATTATCGTCGGTGAAACGGAAGACATCGTGATCACTGGGTTCAGCTGTGCACGCAGGAGCGGCCTTCGGAGAACTCGGCATACCCAAAAGTTTCGCCTCGATCTCCCGGCCGGCTTCGGCCAAATCGACGCTGTTCTCATCTTCCGGTTGATGGCGTCGTTTCTTCTCTGTCTTCCGTCTTGTTCTGTCCATGTCGAGCGAACTACGACCACCGTCGCTGTCCGAAGCGTAAACGCTGTTCTCCGACGTCATGTTGCTGAACCTGTTGAAAAACGTATTAGATGGAGCATCGTCAACATCGTCCGAGAGAGGGCCGAAGATGTCCTCCATACGTTGAGAATCCCTTGCCTCTTGCCTGTTGAGTCTCTTTCGTCTCGCTTTAGCCTTATCCTCCCCATTCCGATCGCGCCTCTTATCCTTTTTACTACGTTGTTTCTTATCGGCGCGCATTCTCTCTTCAGCGTTCTCAGACGCCGTCGTGACTATAGTTGTGGTGGCGGTGATAGTAGTCAATTCCGTGACATGATTCGGCCGGCAATCCGCGTTGGACGATGTGATGAGATTGGTTTTAGGCTTATGTTCTAAAGCCTCCATCGGTTCCACCTTCAAATTGTTGTCGTTCGAGATGCTGTTCTTTTGGCGCTTCTGTTTCTTTTTATGCGATTTCTTTCGCGAATCTCTTTCGTGATTGTTCACCACTATTGTCGGATGATTCGCGCGGAAGCTAACCGAAATTCGTTCGTCTTCGTCGGATGTACGGGGCTCTTCCTTAATATCCGTGTGTACGCTATTCGTAATAGCGTTTGAGGCTTCCAGTGGGTTCTGCTTCTCCTCGGTGTCGGCAAAGCCGAGATCGACGTCGCTCTCGAGGAATCTTTCAGTCTTCACTGTCTTGCGAACCTTGTTGTTGAATGGCTCCTCCTCCTCACTCGTATCAGAGTGAATGCGAGACCGCGAGCCCTTTCTAGAGAGAGACTTGGTTCTCGTCGAATCTGATTCGGAACTAGCTTCGTCCTCGGTCAAAGCTTTGCTACTCACAGAGTCTCCGTCCCACGACGTACTCTGCTTCTTCTCTTCTCGTCTAGCGCGACTTTGCTTCAGTTGCGAGAACTTGTCCTTTAATCGCACTTGACGCTTCTCCTCTTCTAGTTTTTGCATATTTTTCGTTGAACGAGCTTTTACCTTATCGTACATACTGATGTAAGCAGGCTCGTCGTCGACAATATCGAAGATCGAGTGCTTCTTCGGCTCGTCGCTATCCGTATCTGTAGCTGATGGATTCCTTACCGTTTGTATCTCGTGAGTAGAGATGGGACCATCGTCCACATCACTGTGCGAATTCAATGTAGAAGATTGTTGCTGTTGATGATGTTGCGCATCTCTCGCGTGATTCGATCCCACGGAAGCTTGTTCGGTTGACAGAGTCGAATCGTTTCTCTTGGAAAGAGAACTCTCCAATCTCGATAGAAATTCCTTCTCGGATTCGTGCGACACCCTCGGACTGCGTTCCCTCGACTCCTTCTCCGAGCGATTCTTCTTACTCCTCTGTTTCTCTTTGCTTCCACTGTCCCTCGAATTGTTTTCTCGAGTCGAGTCGCCGTCTCTGGTGTCCTGTGTCGCGCTGCTACTTTCTTTACTGTCACGACTCTCCCTGCTCTCCCGACTAGAACGATGCGAGTCGTTACGGTGCTTACGATCTTCGGATCTCCTGTTTTGCCTAGACCGATCTTTGCTGTCGCGCCGATGATCCGAAATTTTAATACGTTTAGCATCCTCGTCCGTGGGACAATCTTGCGACGAGCACCTGCGTTTGATTGGTACCGGTGCCGGGGTGACTTGATTCTGAGACTGCGTAACAGAAGGATGCAAATGATTTTCGGTCGATTGCCGTCTGCTGTCATCGCGTTCTCTCTTTTCCTTGTCCTTTTCTTCACGATCTCTCCTCTTTTCGCGTTCGACCTTCTCTTTCTCTCGCCTTTCTTGATCTTCACGTTCCCGTCGTTTCTCTTTTTCGTGTTTTTCTCTCTCAAGTTTCTCGAGTTTTTCTCGTTCTTCTTTCTCGCGTTTCTCCTTTTCCATCTTCTCCCGTTCCTCCTTTTCTTTCCGCCTTTCGCGCTCTAGCCTCTCCTTTTCTTCCTTCTCTCGCTTCTTTTCCCGTTCGAGACGTTCCTTCTCTTCTCTCCTTCTTTCCCGCTCTATCCTGTCTCGTTCTTCTTTTTCTCTTCTTTCCTGTTCTTCCCTTTCTCTTTTAAGACGTTCCTTTTCTTGCTTTTCACGCTCTAGGCGAATTTCCCGTTCTTTCTTTTCCCGTTCTTCATGTTCTTTCCGTTCGCGCTCCTCACGTTCTCGCCGTTCTTGTCGCTCCTTCTCTTCTCGTTCTCTCCTCTCACGATCGAGACGTTCTTTCTCTCGTCTCTCCTTTTCTTTAAGTTCATTCTCTTCCCTTTCCTTTCTTTCGCGTTCTCTTTCTTCTCGCTCTCTTCTATCTTTCTCTTGTCGTTCCTTATCAAGTCTCTCTCTTTCTCGCCTCTCCTCGTCTTTCTCTCGCCTCTCACGTTCCTCCCTTTCTTTCTTCTCTTGTCGGTCACGATCTTCTTTATCCCTTCGCTCTTGTCTGTCCCGATCTTCTTTATCTCTCCTTTCTTTTTCTTCTCGTTCTTTTCGCTCGTACCTCAGTTCTTTGTTATCCTTAAAGTCCCTACTATGATTATCCGTGTTGCCGACGTCGTTCACAATATTCGTACTTTCTTTTTCGTCTCTACCTTTACGGTTTCTTTCAATGTCAGTTTCATCCTTTCGTGATCTTCTTTGACAATCTTTACCTTTACTATGTTTCGAATCTCTGCTGTCCCTCGCATCGCGGGAGTCTCTACTTTCTCGATTGCTACCGCTTGTTTCCTTCCTCAAACGAGAACGAGTCAAATCTGTGGAAGATGCAGATAATGATGATGAAGAGGAAGAATTAGATGAGGACGTTATGGAAGACGGTGGAGCTATCGAACTGGTAGTCATGGAAGATATCGTGCCTGTCGTAGACGTCGTCGTCGTCGTCGTCGTCACTGTCGCCGACGAAATTGTCGCACTCAACGTTGTAACAGGCACTGCTGTTGTTATTGCAGTTGAATTAAAAGCATCCGTCGATGCCGCTGTCACTGTGGGCGATGCGGTTGTCGCGGAGACGCTTAATCCCCGATGCGTCGAGGTTCCGAGGGTGTGAATGTTACCTACACTACCATTGCTGCTTACAAGACTACTGGCTGACGATAAACTACTACCATTATTATTACTCGCTGCCGTTCCGCTACCGAGACCGATCGGTAGAGAAACCGGCGGTAACTCGGGACTAACTGTCTTAATAGATGCACCAGGTGTAATCGGCGTTGCCGGCGTCGGGTGTATGCAATTATGTTGCATTCGCGGATCGGTCTTCAACGCTGATGAGGCCATAGTCGTCGTCGGAGTCAAACTCGCGGACAATGGCGTATTAATACCGATTTGACTGGTAACCGAAGTACCGCTGGCTGGCTGCATCGGCGGATGACTAGGAAACGGATACTGCAGACAAACTTTGCTGGTACAGCCACTACCACCACCACTAGTCGTAAGACCAGCAGTGCTACCGATCATAGAACTAACGCCAATAACACCAGTGAATTCCCGCGGTTCGTATTTTTCGCTAAAGTTTTCCAATCTTTTCGAATCCTCATCGAACACGCTCCTTTTCGCGAGGACCGATTTCACGATGTCCGAAGGTTGCACCTCATGAAGATCCATATCGAGGAGTTTATGCCGGAGTTTAAATTTGAATTTGTCCGAAGTATTGCCATCGAGTTTCGCTAGAGCGTCGCCACCAGCGGCACTCAATGCTCTCGAACCGGACCATTTTTCGTACTTTTCGTCCAGAGAACGTATCCTTTCTTCCAGACTAGGAGATTGCGGCGCTATCTCGCTGTCGGAACTGGTCGGACTCGAACTAGCATGTCTAGGAGGTGGCGAAGCCGGCGGTTGCGGTGCTGCACGAGGGCTGGGCGCAGTAGACAAGCTGGCACACGGCGGACTAGCAATTTTAGCAAGGCTGGCATTGTTCGATCGAGTGCCGCTGCCATTGTTGTTGTTACTACTACTTGTGTTATTGTTGTTGTTTAACATTTGTGTCGCAAACCTCGGTAAAGGTAACGACAACGGACCCTCGTGACTCCTTTCTCTGAATCTTCTCGGTTCGCTGGGTATCAGATTCTCCGGTCGTTCGTCGACAAGGGGTGTACCTGGTCGAGATCCATCGTGGTGTTCGTGATGTCTAGAAATGTTTACATTATTTTAGTTTGAATAATTTTTTAAATACCTTTTGTATTTATCTTTTTTTAATTGTGATACAACTACCCACCTGCTAGCGGCATCCCGACGACGTTTGCAAGGTCCAGGACCTCTACCCTCGCAACTACCCCTTCTTGTGCTATGGTGCACTACTACTTTGCTATCACTAACACGTCTAAAGTCCATTCCTTTTCTACTAGAATGCGAAGTGACGAGTAACGATGCAATTTCCGGCTCCTCGTCTTCGCAGAGTATTGTCGTCGACGAGTTATCGAGTTTTGCACGTTTCTTCGAGACGAAACCGACCTCATCGCCGCTACTATGGCACTCCTCAAGTTGCTCCAACAAATGGACGCGTTCCTTCTGGAGATGCCGAATATCGGGCGGAGGTAATAACGGTGGCGGTGGCGCAGGCGGGTCGATACTCGTAACAACGCTTTGTACTGCATGACGTCGTGATGACGGTGGCGGGCAATCATCATCGTTAAGTTTGCCGTCGTTGAGTACGCTGCTCTGGTAGTCGTCGTGACTCGCACCGCTGCCTTGACTAAACTCGTCGTAGCTGCGAAACCGTCTCGACGCTGGTTCAGCATAATCGCCATCGTAATAGGAATCTTGATAGGATCGTCTATTACTTCGTGACAACGCTGTCGGATGAGCTGGACTCGCGCCTGGTGTACTACCACCGGAAGTTCGCGAGTAGTTGGTCGTTCTAGATCGCGGGGGCGTATCATAGCGCGTGAATCTGTTGCTCGAACTCGACACCGTCGCTGAGTCGAAGCTGTTGCGCTCCCGCCTAGAAGGAATCCTTCGAATCACGAATGCACTCGTTTTAAGTTCTTGATTATGACTTGTGAGCTTATATATATATAAGCATGCAATTTATATTGGTAAAACTCTATTGATAATATTTAATCAAATTAAAAATTATCTCGAGCAAAAAGATACTTTATATAGCCAAGATTTTGTAATCGTAAGAAAAACTTATGTATAAAAAAATATACATACGTCATATCAAACGACGACGCTGGCGAAGGCCTCGAGTCCCAAGGTTTCTCACTGGTTTCCCTGTTTCCTTGACGCTCGAGATGTTCGTAAAAGGTCTCTTGACATTCCCTTGAGGCGAAATCGATCTGCAAACGGCGGCCGCGAACCGTGACTCCCCTCATCTCTTTCACGGCAGCTTGAGCGCAGCTTATTTGATCGAAAAAGACCAAAGCATGGCCACGCTCACGATCTACTACTACCTGAGTTGTCGGTCCAAAAGTATTGAATTGTAAGCTTAAAAACTTCTCGGACGTACAATCTAGAAAAAAGAAGTCGATATAATGCGACGACCCTTGTTGGCCTTTCTACTATTAAAATAATTGACAGCAGTGTAATAGTAATGCGCTTACCTCCAATGCCATCAACCCAAACGCAGGGTGTGGGCATCGATTTTCCGAATCCGAGTTTGATTCGATTCGCACCTAGATGTTCACCGTCCAGCGACCTCATGGCTTTGACGACGCTACCAATATCCGAATATTGACAGAAAGCATAACTCGATACGGCGCCTTGTTTCTTAATGTCAATTTCCTACAAGCGAATACAATGACAGAATGTAATTGATTTTAATCTTAATGTATTACAAGCTTAAATATTATTTTTATTCGAGATTTATTTAGATATGTGATTTTTATTCGGCCAACCATCTTTAAATTTACTCTTACTTTATTTTTATTCAATCTTAGTTATCTAAAATCGAATTTCGACTTACTATTATCTCCCCAAACTGTTCAAAATGCTTCCTGAGCTCGGATGCGGTAACATCCTTCTCGAGATTTCCGATGAACAACGTTCTCGTTGCCTTCGGATGATACTCGTCGAGTTCCGCCTCATACGGCCTGAACTCATTATCCTCGACATCATATCCCTGATAAGGAGCCACTTCAATTTTACATCCGAAGAAAAGCTTATCTTGCGAAACCTCGAGGGCCTTCTCGACATCCTCGGGTTTCCTGAAGCAAACTAGAGCATATCTCTCGCTGGCGGTTCCGATAACTTTCACCCACGTCACCTTGCCGTGCTTCTTGTACTCATGGAAAAGGCCATCTTTGAGCGAGGAATCACTGCTACGAATCGGTAGATTCCTCACGCAGATGGCCACCGGCCTGCGATCCTCCATGACGGACACATTGCTCGTTCGATGCGGCGAACTACCGGGCGATGTGCTACCTCCGGAAGTGCTGCCACCCGAGCTACCGCTTCGACTGCTGCTGCTACTTCCGGAGCGACTGCTACCGCTCGGCGAGCTACTCCCACTGCGTGATTTTCTGCGTTGTTTTTTGTGCTGTCGCAGAGCACCGGTGCTACTGCTACCACCACCTCCGCCACCTCCTACAGGAGAAAAGATATGACGGAAATGGGATACACGTCGCACCAAACGGCTTAAAAAGTATCCTGAAATATTTGTTTTCTTTTCTGCACAAAAAATTTATATTTTTATCACGGTGAACAGTTAAAGCTACCTCTTACACACACTCGAACTTTCGCATTCTTTGCTCATAAGAATCAAACTTTTCTATTCTTTCTGACTCTTCTCTCAGAGACCTCGCGTATATTCCAACGCTGTACAATTCTGTTGATCCTTACGAATAAAAAATGCGGCAGTCAGATTGTATCGAAAGCCAAAGTAGTGCGCCAAGTGATGCGACGACTTCGCTCTCTCACGGATAATTACCTTGCTCATCTTGGTAAGAGTCATTGGTGGCAGGCGAAGGTGGCGGCGGTGCGCTGCCGTACCTCGAACTCGTCGGCTCGTACGCCGACCAGGACGACGGCGGCAGACTTCCACGATGACGGTCTAAATGGGGCGGGGGCGGCGGCCCGGAGACGTACGGGCCGGTCCTCGGATATAGCCGATCCCTCGCCCTGCTCGATGTCACGTGGTAAGAGCTCGTAGGTGGTGGACGGCGGGATATGTAGCCGCTGGGGTCTCCCGTAGTAGAATCCGCCGGATGACCGACGACGACGACGCCGTTGCCGCTGCCGCTGCCGCCGCCGCCGCCGCCGACGACGACGCCGCTGCTCCCGGTGCCAACCACTCGGTTGCTCCTATCGCTACCGTAGAAGCCGCCGTGGGAACCACGTGAGTCGAAACTCTCGCTTCCCCTCTCTCCTCGTTCGCCGCCACCGCCGCTACCGCCGACCCCGGAACCGGTGCTCCCGCTACCGCCGCCGCCGCCGGAAACGCCGCCTGTTCCGCCACTTCCTCCCCCGCTACCGCCGCTGGATCCATGATCCTCCGAACTTCTGAAAGACGCAAAAACAAGGCTTAGTCATCGTTTAGGTTTAGGAGGGGGCTGCTGAACAGTTGGGTCGATGAGTCGCTGCAGAGTACGTATATTCGCTATTGTTTTACTATTTAATGCTATCGTAAAAATTCTACTAAGTTGAATTGATATAGAAAAAAATTATTTTTATGTGTCTAGACGTATCTATATAATTCATCAAATTATTATTTAAACTATTATATAACTTGCAACGCAGAATTAAAATTATGTACATAATAAAAATTGTATCTTCTTTTTCTCTATCTCTTAATTTTCTTATTCATGCATATATTCTTCCAATATTTTATTGCATTATTCTCATATCTTATTAGTATTTTGTATATTCTTGTTTTGTATTATATTATATTATTTTTTCTCAAGTAATTTTTTATAGTATATTGTATCTGTCCTCGGGAGGAGATGTGTTCCAAAACAAAATCAATCATCACTATTATTGCTGTTACTTACTATTGCAACAACTGTCGGTGTATTGCCTTTAGGGAATATCTCTTGTGCTTACCATAATTTACTTTTAATCTTCGGTCATCTTTAATCTGTGCCGTGCGTCATCGTCATCTAATCGTTTTGTCAATTTTGTTTGTCAAATGAAAGAGAAAATTAGCACATAGCAAACGCTTTCTTGAAAAAAAATTGATTCTGAAATACAAACTGGTTTCAACCCAATCTAGATTTCATATAGCTATTATTTATATATACACATGTACAATGTTGAGAAAAGTCAAATATTTTCACAGTTTTAATCAATTTATATTAAGCGACTATACTGAAATTCATATATTGCGAAATCTTATTCGTTTATTTGATTAATCTTACAATTTGTTTATTTCACAATTATTTTAAAACTTTCTAACATATGTTGGTTTTTGTTTGCTTCGACAATTCAAATGCAAACAAGCTTAATTTGCATCAAAATTGTTAATTAACGTGGAAGTGCGTAAATGCGTATAGATGTTAATTTATTCGAAAATATGAAAAATATAATATAGGAAAGAAATGAAAAAGAAAAAATGTCTGATAAAAGAGGTGTTTGATTTAATGCATCCGTAGATATTCCATGTCAAAATTGAAATAATTTTTCTTCGATTCAAATGTTTGTGTATTGCGACATGAATAATTTTCGTAACAAAATGAAAAATAGAGTATAGTTTGTATCGCAATGCTATAAAAATGGTAGATTAATTTCTTTATTTAATTTTATAGAAGAAATTTAATGGAATTGTCATTTGAGTTACCTAATTATGCAGTATAATTTAAAATTTATAGAAAGATATATATACATGACGTTAAATAATAAAAGAAATAGTTTTAATTTTCCTCGAGAAAGATACATTATCACTCGATACACTTATTATACTGAACATCGTATATACAAATATGCTTTCGTAAAAAAAAAAAAAAAAAAAAAATTGTAATGCTCATGACCTTTACAACGATGTAAGAAGCTGATTATCATTTGCATTCAGTCACGCGCAAAAATGAAATGATAACTCACGTCGTACAAGTCACGCGAGAGAGAAAGCAAGGCTAGAGAACAAATTGGAGTAACAATAGACTTATTGCGTATAAATTCCGATCTGAAATATTATATTGAGACATTTCAACGACAAGTTCGAACATTGAAGCCATAAGAGTACCGCTTTAGCACCAGTGACGTATTTGCTTTTCTAATATCCCTAGGTATTTCTTAATTGCAAAGTATCTCTTTAAATCTTTTTTCAATTCTTTCTCTTTTTCTCTCTGCCCTCGTAAAATCATGATATCTACAATCCTCGACACCATCCCGACTTTTTATTTGATCTTAATTCTCAAAATAAATTTTAATCGGAAGATTACATTATCGTGGACAAAGATCATATGTTAAAAAAGCAGACGTGTAAAATGTGCAATCAAGTCATAAAAGTCGAGTGAATTGAATTTGATCATTCGTGACGATAATTTAAAAATTATCAGACATTCAAAATTAGTTTATTAATAATTTCAGTTATTGCGAATGTATGTAGAAATAAAAATTTATTTTGCACTATAAATTTCAGTCAAAAATCTTGGAGTAACATAAAATTAAATATTCGAACTTGAAGATTCAATTTCGCTCGTATATATTTTAATTAGATACATGGAAATATCGCATATTTTATTAAACAGAAACTTTGACAAATGAAATAGAAAGGCGTATCTAATTGGAAATGTACAATATTTATGTAAATTTCGTTATCTCGACGGGACTTTACCCGATGACGCTGTTATAGATACGGTTTAATGTTCGCGTCGATTAAAAATCGTGATCAAGCAAATGACTATTGCAACAGGAACTTATTAAACAATCTATATTGGATGATTACACGAAATGGTAATTCCCTTCGCTAGGGTCATTATGACTTATGACATCTGCTGATCTATTATATTAATCGCTTTTTAAATTTTAATACAAATGTATGCCCTTGCGAAATCGTTAAAAAGATACATATGTAAAAATAAAATTTATTATGTTTTCAACTTGTTCGATCATCCCATTCAAAAGAAATTATTTCACCAAATATAATCCATTTTTATGAAAATAACAATTATAAAATAATTATTTTTTTTACACATATGTGTTATTATGTTTTTTTCATGTTTGTCTAGTGTTCGTAAATAAATACAATGTAAATAAAACATGAATTTTCATTAAATTATACATATATAAAAAAAAATGCAGATAAATTGTTTTGTTTTTCAGGAAATCAGAGATCATCTACATTGAATTCAATGACTGTAAATACAATCAACATTGCGGAAATATCCTCGGCATCTGGAGCAATCTGGTTTCGTGCAAAAAAAATCGACTCGACTGAAATATCTCAATCCAGACGCTCAGGATGGTCTCGTCTCAAGAGAAGAGATGCGAGACGATGAGTCGGACCCGGGGCTCGTAAATTCTTGACTACACCACTGACAGTTTAACGCGCTCTCTCCCTCTTTTCTCTTCAGTTCAGTCTCTGCCGTCACACTTCGACAGTTACTACTCTCGGGCGATAGCGCCCGCGCAGCCGTCAGGACATGGCAACATCGCCGACCACGTCGAGCGACCACGTCCACGTCGTCACGGTCACCTGACTTTTCGTGGAAACGAGACGCCGCTATACTCTCCTCGGTCGCGCGCGCGTGAATATAGGCGTGCACGAACGCGCGTAGCGTGCACACACGACCTTTTTTCCTTCTTTTTTTCCCCGCTACTTCTCTCCATCTTTATCTCTCTTTCTAACTATGTCTCCCGCCCCCTCTTTCGCGATGAGATCGATCGATCGGAGGCAGTCACGACTCTTCTGTGAATGCGACACACGATACGCCTCCAACTTTAAGTACGTGCCGCGTGCCGCTGATGCCACACAGAGAAAGTGCAGGTTCTCTATCTCTTGGTCTTTATAAAAGCTATGTCCTCACTAGAGCAACAACGAGCAATTTTTGTAACATCAAATGTTGCTCCAGTGAGGATGCGGCTTAAGAAACTTTCGGCAACAACAACTAGCAACTTTTTTAAGAAACATGGAACATGAACAAAAAGTTACTTATTGTTGCTTCAGTGAGAACGCAACTCTATGTCCTCATTTTTGTTAATGTTCCACGTTTCTTAAAAAAGTTGTTCCTTGTTGCTCCAGTGAGGACATAGAGTTGCATCCTTACTGGAGCAACATTTTGTTAATGTTCTTTGTTTCTTAAGAATGTTACTCGCTGTTGATGTTCCATGTTTCTTAAAAAAGTTGTTGCTCCAGTAGGACAGAGTTGCGTCCTTACTGGAGCAACATTGTGTTAATGTTCTTTGTTTCTTAAGAAAGTTACTCGTTGTTGCTCCAGTGAGGACATAGAGTTGCATCCTTACTGGAGCAACATTTTGTTAATGTTCCTTATTTCTTAAGAAAGTTACTCGTTGTTGATGTTCCATGTTCTTAAAAACGTTTAGTGTTGCTCCAGTAACGACATAGAATTGCGTTCTCACCGGAGCAACATTTTGTTAATGTTCCTTGTTTCTTAAGAAAGTTACTCGTTGTTGCTCGAGTGAGGACATAGAGTTGCGTCCTTACTGGAACAACATTTTGTTAATGTTCCTTGTTTCTTAAGAAAGTTACTCGTTGTTGATGTTCCAGGTTTCTTAAAAAAGTTGTTGTTCTAGTGAAGACATAGAATGGCATTCTCACTGAAGCAATATTTTGTTAATGTTCCTTGTTTCTTAAGAAAGTTGCTCGTTATTACTCCAGTGAGGACGTAGCTTAACACGCGCAATTTGTCAAATGCGTGGTAAGTAGACGAGGGCGAGCCACGTCGTGACTGGTGACGACGTTAGGAAATATGGAACACGAGTGCGTGGCGCGAATTTCGCAGGGGAAAGAGAGAAAGAGAGATTGCGCTATTATCGAAGCCACGATAAGAACGTCAGGGATTCTCAACTTCAGAGAAATCATGATGATTACCCATGCTCTAAATTACTCGAATATGATTTCTAGAAACTGACTTCACGTATCTTTATTGCTATAGAGTTTAGACGTTTCGAATCACGAAACCATTTATGGTCGCGCTAAAGTTGTACTCGTAATGCTAGCTTTATGAATCATCTCTTTTTGTGAATATTAGAAAAACCGATGATCGTGTCTATAAACTCATCGCAATGCAATTTATTGGAAATAAAATAAATGAGACTTGGAATGCTAACTCTAGTATTTATCCATCATTCATCGATCACGAAACACTGCCAAGTACAGTTTGTCATTTCGTTAAAATGGTGTGTTGCCCGAAACGATTTTATATATTTCTATATATTTTATCATGATTGTTCTAATATTAAACTCGGAATTTATACTACGATAAACGTAGGATTATATTTAACGATATACGACGAAGTTAAAAACGTCGATAATTCGTTATGAGCAATACTATAGACATCACGATCGAATTGTTTGTATCGGCGAAAACAATTACGCTGCCTACATATGTATTTATATTCTGACGTCAATATAACAATAATTTTACGTGGCATCATCGAATAACAACAATGCGATTAATTCTTGGAATCGCGGGATAACATCGAGAGAAAACGATATTTTATCAACAAATTCGTAAAAAAATAAAAAAATTCCCAGAGAAACATCCAACTGTTTTCTTTCAAAAAAAATTTCTTTTATTTTGACGATATTTGCATCGTTGGCGTATTTGGGTATTCACTTTTCCTGAGTTTTTTTTGAAATATTTTTGCACAACAGCTGCTCGGGATAGTAAAGCTTATTATTATTCATAGACTTGCGAAATTAAAGTAAATATTTCTCCCGATGACTTTTACGCAAAACTCTAATCACAATTATTTCTTTGATACAATTTAAGAAAATTCTAAAATCAAAGAATAAAAATCAAGGATAAAAATCCAATAATCGTTGAATTTTAGTCGGATGAAAGGTCACGAAAAAAACATCCATTCGTGAATTTTATTCGAAGATGAAGAAGATAATGAAATGATCGTCATTCCAATGTTGTCTTTTTTTGTACCTGTTTCTTGTAACGTGCGATTTTTAATTAATTCTTAGAACGTGACACATTCATCGTAAATTAGCGCTTGCACAGGTTACCTCAAAGCCGAGAATATCATTCTATTCCTGAACGCGACTGTTTTGAAGAAAAAGGAATGAACGAGGACATTTCCATATCGACCAAAAGAATGCGACTGTACAACCCAAAATTCTTTTTCTTATATATATTATACAGATATCCTCTTGGATATTATTTAATGTATTGTAATCTGTAAGTGTACGAAAAGTAGTATTTTCATTGTTCAACATGACAGATTTTTTCCTAAATTCCATCGAGAATTCTAAAACTCTTCAGGAAGGCTCTAAAGAAAATTCCAATTCCTTTTCTAAAACCCTACTAAAGAAAAGAGAATAAATAAATTTCATTTAGAGAGGCAAGAAGGACTGGATCATCTGCTCCGGAAACCGTATATATTCATCTTTGTCTTTGAAAAGGGAAAAATATCCCCTTGGGACACGCAGTAGTATGCACCTTTCGCAAATTCTCTTGCGCCAAAGAATACCTCGAAGGTCTCTCAAGGTATACCTACCCGCGGCGACTCGGACAAGGACCCATAATAAGGGCAACGTAATACCCGTGAGTGGGGAACCTGTGCTGAAGATGTTGAGGCTCGTAATATTGCGCGGTGAGGACTCGGTCGTCCAGCGTGTGCTCAATCGCGTGGGCCTTCGCTGCGGACTTGATATCCATGAACGCCACCGTCGCGCATACACCGCTGGTCGAGGAACCGCCGCCGCTGCCGCCTGAACTGGAACCGGAACCGCCCTCATTGCCCTCGCCAAGGATACTGCTGGAACCTCCGTCCACGGGGCACACCTCGCCCCGTGGCAGCAGCTTGACGCTCTGCACGCGTCCATACCTGAAGACAAAAAAATCATCATTAATCTCTTCATCCGACAAATGTCGACTTTTGTTTACTCAAGTGCGACAAGAGCGACGATATGTTGGAGATAATAAATTTTCTCAAATAATTGATAGAAATTTTCAGTTGTCAAGACTCTCAAATTTCCCGATGAACATTGAACGGGAATTTTCAAGAACCTTTTCTACCTATTCCCCCCGGTGTCTTCTGTCAAACATTCGCTAGCTCCAGATCCTGCAGCAACGTCGTGCTTCTATTCACGGTAACTGTGCGAAAGGATATCGTTTAAGATTACGAAGAAAGGAGGAAAGAAAGAGATTCCGTAATCCTTTGCCTCGCTAGAAAGCTTTCTCGATACTCGATGCGAGCACAGGAAATTAAGTCTAAAGCAGAGAGCGAGAAGAGAGAAAGACGAGACTTTGGCGATCGAACTCTTCCTTCGCTTACATACAGATCAGCACGGATAAAAGTTGTCGCGACTGTTTTCTTGCAGAGAAACCATGACTGCTCGGACACGACGGTACAAGGTGTTCCAAAGCAAACATCGGCTTTAATGTTTTCGCGTTTCATCGATCGCGCCAAGTTGCTGGCGCGATCTTCAAAATATTAAACGCGACGTGAAAAAAATTCAAATTATTGTATGGGTGACTCGCGTCGAATCGACCTCCGATTGACCTCGGCTGCAATTTTTGTTCGCTCGAGTTTCTCACATGGAATATCTGAAAATTCAACGAGATACAGACGAATGCGGGAGTTTTTTTTTTTCGGAGCACAAATGGAGCGCCCAGCGGCACCGATATCGATTTATTCCCCGATCGCGTTATTCCGCCATTGGTAGCGATATATGTATAGCTTTCGCGTCTCGTCTCGGCCTGGTCTCTCGGCGCAATTTTGAATCGACCAAGTTTCGGTCTCGCGAAAGGCGAAGGGCGAAAGGAAAGAGAACCAGGAGGGACGAGACACAGCCGGAGGAGTCTCTCTCTCTCTCTCTCTCTCGTTTTCACCCTGTACAGAGAGAACGGAGAACTTGGGGGATATTGAATTTCGCGCAAAATTAAAGAAAACAAAGAGCGTCCGGAAAGTTGTTTCTGGCACACCCTGCTTGCGTGTGTGGAGGAGAGGCCGCATCACCAAGTAGGGGAAACAACAAGTCGGGTCATCGGTGGGACGAGATCGTCGAGGATTGGCCGTTTTCAGAGGAGAACGTTAGCACGCAGGCGCAAACATCCGGACGTTCAGGGACTCTCCCGGGGAGTCGTTCGTCTAATCTCGCGTGAGTCGCACGTATCTGCTCTGCTCTGCTCCGCTTGCTCTTCCCTGAAGGACTTCTCTGCCACTTAGTCTCGCATAACTTGTCCGCTGCGTTATATCCTCCGCTAATATATAAAAGCGTACATATATCGTCGTCATAGGGAAAATAAGTCGTAGAGAACATATTTCTCCCACCTACATCGGGACCCGAGGAGGCTACACGTCGTAATGATTGTTCTTGCGTGTTGGTAGACGGATTAGTAGGGTTCCTCTACGAGAGCGTTGGAGCTCCTAGTTTCTTTTGCCCTTTTAGGGGCGAAAAAGTATCGAAAAAGAGAGGCTTGCGAGAGCGTGTCGCAATGCCTGATGTTTTTTTCCTTCGGTCGTGTCGATCGCACGGACGGGGCGTGGTCCCCATCGTCGCTCTATCGACTGATGAGAGAAGGGTTTTTGCGTTTCGTTGTTTGTCGATGATGCTCTCGCGAATACTTTCACGTAGAATCGATCGATCGATCGTACGGAAAGAAACGGGTTCTTCTCTCGGACTCGAACCGTTTCCGGCGACCGAGAATTATTTTTGGAGTCTCGGTCGCTCCTCGCCGAGGAGGAAAGACAGGAGAGAAGAGGCGCAAATGCGTGTAAACGCGTCTGCCACGTATGCGCATCTTGGAAGAATGCTCGCACGAAATGGCGGACACGCGAGATGGTGATATCGCTCTCGTACAAATCTCTCTCCTCATCTCGTCCCTCGCATATGTAGGAAAAAACGATAGGTGTGTGATATTTTACTGTGTTGTGTCCTCCGGACTTTCCGTGAAACAGTGAAAATAGTCGCGAGATTCTGGGACGAAAAGGAAATCTTCACTATAGTGCTGCATTTCATTTTTTTCTCTTTGTTTCTTGACATCTCCTTCCTTGATCACGTATTTTCACGAAAGAACAACCTTCCCCAACAGCACACGTATTCGAATGTCCTCTGGATATCCTCGGGATATTCCCTGAACGTTTTTTTCGGATATGTTGTGCTGTTGGGGTTGGCTCTACATTAAGTGTCGAGATTCTCTCTGGATAGAAACGGGGTAATTGCAACGAGAGAGCTCCGTAATTATAACATTCCTGGACGATCGTCGGGGAGTATCGATCGCGTGTATTCTCGTCCGTATCGATAGCTGCGAGAAACTGCGCGACCCCGAAGATCGAACAAACGACTCGTCGTCGTCGGTGTCGCATAGGATTTTCATCATGGAAATCCAGAGAAAATTCTCGAGACTCGGCAACGCAACGTACTGAAACCGCGACCGCGTTCTGCCTCTCTTTCCTTCCTCATTCTTGCCTCCTCTCCCTCCCACCCCTCTTTCCTTTCCCCTCGACGAGCCAATCCCCACGTTTCCCCTAATACAATAAAAAAAAAAAAAAAAAAAAAAAGAGAGAGAGAAAGAGACGCACAATACAGACACGTTCGTCGGCGCGCTTTGCTACAAGTTTCATACACGAAGAGCGCCCTTTTCTATGTCGCTCGTATGAGTGAAAGCAAGTAAAGCAAGAGGGAAGTGGGGGAGATTAGCGGGGCAGAGAGAGAGAGAGAGAACAGGTGGGGAGGGTAGCCAGAAGAGGGTAATGGCGGAGAGGAAAACCCGAGTGTGTGTGTGGTTGGCTGGCGAGCGAGCCGTAAATCGTATACTACCTCCCCCTCTCGAATCGCTCCCTTTCTTCCTCCCCTCCCGGCGATCCCCCTTCAATGCTCATCGAGGAATTTTACTCGGGCAGACTCGCTCCCAGGCCTGGTCCCTCTCTCCCTCACCTTTTCCCCTATCCTTCCCCGTTTCTGGTCGACGCACGACGGGTTCTGCTTTATGTGGCGGCATTAGCATGGGTCTCCATAAACCGAAGGAGTCTCTAGGTCAGCGCCGTGTTCTCCAACGTTACAAGAACGCCAGCCCTCGCTCTCGTCCGGGCCGGATAATACCACGATCGAATCCGCTTCAAACGCTATCCCGAGTAATGATCGCGCCTTCGGAAGATGTATAGTTTCGTCCCAATATTCTCCATCTATCCCGTTTTATTTATATATGTATCTCACGCGAGACATTCCAATCGACAAGTTGAAATGATTTTTTTACACTATCGTTGTCCGATATAGATAGATAGATAAATTTTATTGTTCCCTTGGGGTTACAATTTACACACATAATTTCCAGTTTCAACAATTCCCAAAACAATCACTCCACAAAATTTTACATTTTTTTCCTTAATCTAACGTTGTCCGATATAGAGATTCCTATTTATTTTTCTCTATCTGTTGAACGAAACTACGATGTAAATAAAGAGGAAGATACCATACTTTACGTGTCCATCGTAACTAAACTAATGAAATCTCCATAAAAATCGAATCGGAGAGTGAATCGACTTGGAACGCAATTTGCTGCATTAACGTAAGTAGACGCAAAAAGGTTTCATCGAGGAGCGTTAAAGTTTTACGAGAGAGCTGTAATTTTTTTGGCACATTTTATACTCTTTAAAGCTACCTGTACACGTCAGTCCTGCCGGTGACTCACCGGCGCGAGTGTTAATAGTATATTGTGTATCAAGTGCGGAAAGTTGACAATTGGTCACGAGTGCGACCACCCCACACGAGTGAACAATTGTCAATCCACACGTGATACACATACTATTTTGTATTACAAGTGCAGGCAAAGTGGCACTTTATGTGCGTGTTTTTTGTGCGAAAAGCGGCCGATTTCCCACGCCGCCATCTAGCGGTGCAGCGAGTAATTCCCGGGAATCCCAATTCCCGGCTGAAGGCGTGGACAATGACTTTGAACACGGCTATTCCCGCATCGTGCCGCCGCTAGATGGCGGCGTGGAAAATCGGCATAAAAAACACGCACACAAAGTGCCACTTTGCCTGCACGTGTAATACAAATATATATTTACGCTGCGTTATCGGCGCGTAGTTGCAGGTGGACGATTATCGCGATTACATCGACGGGTCTGAGCCGCTTTAATCGCGCCCGTCTATCGGCGACGGTGACGTCGGTGTACCGATCGCACGTCTTTTCCACGTTTCACAAATGGGAGAGACGTACGGGAAATCAATACATCAATACCACGGCGAAGAGTCTGCGGGGCGAGACAAACGCAGAAACTCGTCTTCCGTAAACTCGTCGGCCGTTATAAATAACGAATTATCGATCTATTTTACCCCGCGAACCATCGTCGTCGTCCCTCTGTTTATGTAACGGCGTCGTCGCCAGAGATAGCGAACGTATGGCATTTTATCACGGTTATTGCAAAGGCTCTATTTTTAATCTTTACGATAATGCGAACAAAAATATTTCTCTACATTGGAAAATTTATTACTTTTATATTACTGCACAAATTTATTTTATTTCCTAGTTATAAAAACTTTCGTATATAAACTCGCGAAAAAAAACTTGGATTTTTTAGCTTCTCTTCGTGATACGTAGTGCGCATATTGCACAAGAGTCCAGAGATTTTCGCGAGTGTAACGATCTAACGTCAACAATGCGATGTCTCGCGATTCCACGAAGCGCAACACAATGCAAAGTGGGCACACCGTACGACATCGTCAACAACGACAAGGAAAGGGCTTTGTTCCACCTCCCCTTCCGCCGGTTCGTTTGTGCTCTCACACGGTTCACACGCCGCACAAAAAACGACTCATTGTTAGATGCTGTCTCATTGTACAGAGGTTGATACCTTCGGAGATTTCTGGTTGTTCGAAA